AATGAGATTGTGGACATAAATTAATATTAATTCAAAGAAATGGAGTGTATACCACTGCACGTTTGATTTTACGCCTATGTATACTTCTTTTAAAGGCGTGAATTTTGAAGAGCTTTAATCAAGATAGATTAACAGTCTTCTGGTATCTAGGTCAGAAATACCCTGTGGCTGATAGATATATTATTACATAGATATTACGTATATAATACGTAATGTTACGTATCACGTACGCTCTTTTAGAGAGTCTGGTTTGGTTTGTCCATGCATCCTTCGTCACAAAGCGCGCGAAATATATTCATAGATAATTATACCATGTAGCAACATAATGGGGATAAGGTCACCCATAGCAACAAATAAAAATCATATGAGGAAATGTCATTGAAAACCACATGTGGTAGAATATTGTCAATACTACATTAAAAAACATAAACAATTCTATGACTCTATCGCAAACTGTTTTCAGCGTTCCAATTTTTAGCCTGTATCTCCCCACCCCTATCTCTATACTTTTGTTCTTTAATCACACCCTATACCCGTTTCATTACTTGACCTATTTCTATATTTCATTAATTCTTTCGTTAGATGGATACACGTCATGTAAATTTGAATGCAACTCAAAAGGTGATTCCAGCTAATACGACATATTATAGAATGAGAAGTTTATCCGAACTATGCATTCACAACGATTCTGAATTTCATGACGCAACATGATATATTTTGTACATTAAATGACGTAGCGCGGATATGGCTGTTGAGTGGCTCTTAAGTCTAAGAGAGAGGGAGAGGGGGAGGGCTGTACAAGAGAGAGAGAGAGAGAGAGAGAGAGAGCAAGGAGAGTGAGACAAGGGAGGTTTTAGAAGGGATCGGATCATCTACTTGCAACTTTGCCTTTCACCTCTCCATTTCTCTCCCCCCCGCAATTTGATTGGGAGGGAGGGGGGGGGGTGCCGCCGTAGCTACCCCAATGCACACTCCGTATAACATCCAAGTTATATCATCCAAGAACAGGATGATGTTTGTCTGTTCAATCATAAAACTTATCAAAATTAATGAATTGGATGAATGTCAATTTACAGGGTGCGGTTGAACAACGTCACTGCTCTCTCTAACACATAGCGCCGGTTCGTCTGTTACTGTTAGAATACTCATTTCATTTGCCCGTGCCTGTCACTGTGTGCTTAATTTGCTAAGAATATTATGTTGCCTTCAGTGCTTTTTTTAACATAACATTAAAGACTGACATTGGATCGAAATACATGTTTCCATGAAAGTATAGATTGTTACCACTATAAAAACACGATTGATAAACATTATGCTAGTATACACACTCACACTTTTTTTTCACACCTTTGGCTCGCTCACCTACACACACACCCACACGCGCGCGCACACGCGCAAACACATACATAATAAAAAAAAATACGAAGTTAGTGAACGACCATAATCATGAGGTTTTCTTCAGAGTTTAGCCTTCACTGCAACACCGGATGAAATCGAAATAAACTTTGACCCAAAAGAAAAAAAGAAAAAAGTGTCTGCATTTATCAAGCGAGGAATAAGGACGAGGAAGAAAATGTCCGCTGATAGAAAAACACATCACTAAGATACTGTATACTTATCGAAAGGAAGAGTTGCTCTTCTGTTGAGTATAGATTACATGGGTGTGTCATGCTGTAAGTGCAAGTTACACGGAAATCGTGTAAATGCAAAGAAACGGAGACAATCAGCCTGAGCTGTAGCTTTCTGTACGTACACGGGTTCGTATTTATTGTTATGCGACGCGAAAAGAACATTATATTGGATAGCTAATAGCGTGTGTTTACTCTTACTTACACGTATTCCTCAGGCTGTTTGAGATTCATTTAGAAAATGTCAAAATATGAAATGCCATCCGAGGTAATTGCTCGTAAATATAGAGTGATTTGTTATTACATAAATTATATTTATGTGCACGTCATACATGTCATACAGTAGGACGGCTATAAATTAGATTATGATTTATATCCAGTTTACAATATTCATTTAATTTTGAAAAAAATATGTAATTAAAAAAAAAAAACCTTTAATATGAGCTTGTCAAGGTATCGTTATAAAGTATACTAAATGTTAACAATATCTAGATTTCAGGCCGATGGAAATTTAGGTCACACATGAACGAAAACATAATGATGCTATTAGAGAAAGAGTTTTGAGGGCTATATCTTATATCTCCAAATCATCAATATCATTTTTTCTTTCTTATTCTGTTCAAACTTCAAGAGGAAGATAATGAGAGGGAGTAAGAGGAAGAGAGACAGATAGAGAGGGAGAGAGTGAGAGAGAGAGAGAGAGAGAGGGAGAGAAAGAGAGAGAGAGAGAGGGAGAGGGAAGGGGAGAGAGAAAGAGAGAGAGCAAGAAGGAGTAAGAGTGAGGGGATGGGCTTGCAGACTGGAATGAAAGGGAGAGCACGCTCGTTTGTAACCTGATTATGATACTCTGTATCCATGGCAACAAAAATGAAATAACAATTTACACGAATATAAAGCTGGAGTATGTAGCATTAGTCATATCGTTATAGTGTATACTTTTTGCATACGTACACGTTCGCTTTACATGCGTGAATTCATGGGAGTTTTATTTATTTGTTATTACCAGTGACATTTATTAAGATATTTCATTAAACTCCTCAATCCTACGAAGGATTCAGCACCTGTGTAAGCTGTTTAGCCCGTATACTCTACAGTCAAATCGAATTAGTATGAGTATGATCCGGTGAAGCAGCTCCAATGAATAAACAATTAGGGATGGAGTGTACTTACCAGTCTTGAACTAAGATTAGGATTAATCCAAGACGAAAAAGGAGTGATCTTAAGTCACTAAATACTCGTCTTGTGGAGATGTGTATTCAAATTATTATTATTCTTAAAATTATTATTATTATTATTACTATTATTATTATTATTATTATTATTATTATTATTATTATTATTATTATATTATTATTATTATATTATTATTATTATTATTATTATTATTATTATTATTATATTATTATTATTATTATTATTATTATTATATTATTATTATCATTATTATTTACTTCAATACGGCCTCGCTATACTAGTGCTTGTTATGGGCATTGTGTGGTCTTCAAGAAGCTCGTTATCAACACGTGATTTTTCGCAAAGCCCTCAGACCTTTTTCTTAGATTCTTTAATTCTAATTGATAAATACCACGATTGTAACGACACAAAGCTGTCGTTAAGTTTCTCTAAAAGCCCCCACTGTACCATAGCTAATTGCTCCCTCTATATATAAAACAATGCCTAATCGGTGCCTGTTGGTCCCCCATGATCCTCTTTTACTTACGTTAATTGAAAGCTCAGTTGATGAGATAGCCACCTGTCAGTGACCTCGCTGGGTGGTCTAATCCCTCCTGGCCCAACTAGTACAGACGAGCTTTAAAGTGGAATACGGGAGGTGTAATATTGGTATAGCCATTTGTGTTTGTCCCATTTTTTCCTCAATATTCTTGTTTTGGATGACATTTTTAAAATTGAAGTTAATTATTTTTTATATCATAATATCCGTCTTATCGCGAAGTCTCTAAAGAAAAGTTAAGTTCGAGTCATAAAATTAAATGGTGGGAAAACCCGTTTCAATTCAATCAAGAAATGCTGATTATGTAGTAAATATGAAGTGGTGTACTGTAAGGTTTTTGGGTTCATCACTTGGTCTTGCTACAAGACAAATGCACTGTACACAGATATATACGTATATGGGTCTACACAAAATATTATGTGACATGAAAATGTTGGTCCAAATATTTGTTCACATCATATTTTAAATATGAGGGTATTTGAAGAGTAATCCTTTTCAGAGGACATTTTTACTATGATTGTCATCCAAACTGACATAAAAGTAATGGAAAGGCTCAGCAAAATAATCTTCACCAGAACTCAACGTTCTCGTTAAGTGTTTAAAAAACATCCAATTTATTGTGATTGTCAATTATTCATCTCCAAATGATTGAAATGCGGTTGACTTGCACACTCAGATCAATGTAAATTGCCAATACCTGCATGCAAATCGTAAGCATCTTGTATACTGAGCAGTATCATAAACATTCTGAAGTACCGTATTTTAAATATAAGCATCATACTTTCCCGGGTCATGTCTCACATCAATATTTTTTATTTTATGTGTGAAAGAAATTTTAAAAATACTGCATATTTTGTTTAAATTTGTATAGTGGAATGATATCTATACAGTGTATTTGCATGTAAACGGTATAGATGTGTAAATTGTGAGCAAAGCTAAGTCTCTTGGAAAGTTGAATTTGAATATCATGGCATGCTTTGATGTATGATAATGCCTGACAATATTCGTTTTTATTACCCCCCCTCCCCCCCCCCCCCCCCGTTCCATTAGAATCAACGCTCATGTTGGAAACAGTCACTTATTAGTGGATGACACAATACCTGATATATGCAGTGAAGATAATGATATTTTAGTATATAGCACATTACGCGATTTTTTTCAATGCGCTTTACTATGTTTACAGTGTTATTTATTGATATTACCCACTGGTCACTTTTTTCAAACCTGCACACAAGTTTGAACTTGACTGGAAATGAAAAGGTCCTTGGTTCAAGCCCCGGCAGCGCACTTATCTCATGTTATTATACACCACTGATCAGTTTATCTACACTACTCCTCTCCGTCAAGGCGCTAAATGGGTAACCGGTAGGATGCAAAGGTCATTGAAATTGGCACGCTCCCCAGGGAGTGGAGAATGTGCACCGTAATGTACAGAAAATTGAGTCCAGTGACCATAGTGATCAGGTAAACACTGCAAGCGGATGTTACTCTTGTACAACGCTAAAATAAGAACGGGAATTAATTATTATTGATGTTAATATTGTGTGCACCATCTCCATGGAGTCTCCCTGTCGTTCTGCACCATCCACACGTTAGATATGCCTTGCTAACATTGCTCATTATATATTATTTTATTTCAGAAACTCCCAGCGCAAGAAACCCAAGATAATCGTTTTTGATCGTTCATCGGGGACCTATTCATCCTGGCTGTTCATCATCACTGTGGCAGTCCTATACAATTTGTACCTCATCATAGCTCGGGCATCTTTTGTTCAGCTCCAGACGAACTATCGAAATATTTGGTTTGCTCTGGATTACATCTGTGATTTCATTTACATCCTAGATATCTGCGTGCAGTTCAGAACAGGTAAAATATATGACGAAAAATACATTCTCACACAATCATACCACAAACCTTTATATTCTTCCATAATCTTACGAAATAAATATAATATTTTCTCACACAATCATACCACAAATCTATATTCTCCCGTAATCTTACGAAATAAATATAATATTTTCTTACATAATTATACGAGACGCTGCCCACAAGCATTTCGCATCAGAGGATATTCCATAATTTTATATGATTTTACTGCTCATATAATTTTGCCGTATGATCTCATTTACTATGTTTTAAAATGGACAATCGGTGAAATTGTATAGAATTGATTTGAGTTGAAAATAAATAATGAAGTTTCAAAACGTAAAATACTACAAATACATTACATCTGCTGTGTTTTGGATAACAACAAGAATAGGCTATTTGTGTTTATTAAAACAACATGAACATTAATTGAGCAAGACAAATCACCACGTGCACTGCTAAGAATATGTGCACAAATGTGTTTTTAGTGTTTTTTGTGAATAAGAATTCCGCCAAGTTTTCACTAGTCTGTTTATACGGGTTGTCTAAAAATTGAACCAAATATTAATGACTATGTTACCAAGTATATGCTACCAAGTATGAATAAACACCAAAACTGTGTAATTTTCCTTCATCTTTGGTCTGACATAAGTTCTACTATAGGGCTATTAACTTTCAGATATACATTTCAGTTCATATATTTCTTTATTCGCTTTGAATTAAAAAGCACGTATAATAAAATTCAAGGTTAAAAAATTGAAGTTAATATGAAATACAAAAGATTCACATAAACAAACAGAGTTAAATTATAATGCAGATATGCAATAACTTAAATAAGATACTAAAATCAGATATGGCATTGGTAACGCATGGGACAAAACAGCATGGATTTACACGTCAGAAATCGACCTAATTCATACTTTTTCATTCAATGTTAATTCACACTACATAATGAACATACAATGAAAACCAGGTATGTACTTAATAATTCTTGATTCATATATCATTTCACCTAAAATGAATATTTTTTTCAAAGTGAGTTTTCTTTGATCTTGCAGGTTATTTGGAGCAGGGTTTGTTGGTGGTGGATTCAACGAAACTGAGAATAAACTACATGCGAGCCCGTAAAGTGACCTTCTACCTAGATGTACTATCCATGCTCCCTCTTGATTTCCTCTACTTCAAAATCACCACAGTCTATGCCATTGTCAGGCTACCCAGACTATTAAGGTTTCATAGAGCATTAGAGTTCTTCGAACGTACAGAGACCATCACCAACTACCCCAACATCGTCCGCGTCGTCAACCTCATCATCTACATCATCGTCATCATCCATTGGAATGCTTGTATCTACTTCTCAATATCCAAAGAAATTGGACTGGGCGAGGATGAATGGGTTTATGATAATAAATTTATGATGGAGTTACCAAACGGAACAAAGATATCTACTGATTCACTAACCAGAAGGTATATCTACAGTCTGTATTGGTCAACATTAACACTGACTACCATTGGAGAGACACCGAAACCAGTGACGAACGCAGAGCATCTTTTCGTTGTAATTGATTTCCTTGTTGGGGTGCTTATCTTCGCCACCATTGTCGGTAATGTAGGCTCTATGATAAGCCACATGAATGCGAGTAAAGCAGACTTTCAGAACCGTATTGATGGTGTGAAGCACTACATGAGCCTGCGTAAGGTCAGCAAAGAACTCGAACAAAGAATCATCAAATGGTTTGACTATATATGGTCCAATAAAAAGACCCTCGACGAAGAAGCAATACTCAACACTTTACCCGAGAAACTGCGGGCTGAAATTGCAATCCACGTTCACATGGACACTTTAAGACGAGTTACAATCTTTTCTGATTGCGAACCAGGACTGCTGGTGGAACTGGTCCTGAAACTGAAACCTCAGGTGTTTAGTCCGGGAGATTTCGTTTGTCGGAAGGGTGACATCGGACGAGAGATGTACATCGTGAAGCAGGGTAAACTTCAGGTGGTCGGTGAGGATGGTAAGACTGTTTATGCTACTTTAAGTGACGGCAGTTACTTCGGTGAGATCAGCATTCTTAACGTACCTGGTAGCTTATCAGGTAACCGTCGAACTGCCAACGTACGAAGTGTTGGCTATTCGGACGTGTTCTGTCTATCAAAGGACGATCTTCTAGATGCCCTCAAGGAGTATCCTGAAGCGAGGGTTATTCTAGAGGAGAGAGGGCGTACTATCTTAATGAAAGATGGTTTGATCGATGAGGAAGCCGCTAAGCGAGGTGGACGCACCGCAGAGCAAGTCGAACAGCTTGAGAAACTGGATCGCTTGGATGGGAATTTGAACCATTTGCAAACTCGCTTCTCACGCCTTCTGCAGGAGTATAGCAATTCTCAGATGAAACTGAAACAGAGATTGACGAGGTTGGAGAAGAAGATGAAATCAGTGAGAAGCTCTCAGTCAAACAATGAAGCGACACCAAGGTCTGGTCTGGACACTGAAATAGACACGAACAGAGGTTACGTGTCATGATGCTGTCACACCAGTCAACAAGACAATTTAATTCTAGCATTAAGCGTTAAATTATGCTTTCAATAAATACTGGAATAGTTTTGAAACCAATGACAAGAATGAATATTCGGTTGGATAATAATGCATCATATCCCGTCATGTATTGGTTTCATATTTTGTTTTGCATGGAGTATATGCAGAAAATAATCAAACAAGTATATGTTTTCATTTTAAACAATTTTTACTCCTTTTGGGCTTGTTTATTTTATTTGTAATACAATAAAATGCAGTGATGCAAATGTATATATATTTGAAATCATAAAAAGGATTTGAATATTTTTCTAGTAAAGATGCCACTGAACATTCTAGTACTAGTGCCAATGAAAATAATATCAGTTTCTTATTTAGAGATCAGTTTCGCCTCTCGGTGGCTCTGAAAGCGTTTTATTATTACCACAAGGTTATGCGGGATTGAACACACTCCTGTCGTTTGTTCGTCGCAGATGGAAATATTCTCTTTCTATATACTTCTACATGTTTCTATAGAACAAAAATATGAATAATTGATCAAAACCTTTTTGATATGCATTTATGAACAACAATCAAATTTGTGGTAGTTTTTAGAAGCAGACAAATTTCGTATATAGTCGAACAAATATCGTTAAGCAGTATATCTGAGGCTTTGACATACAGTTTCAACAAATTTTTGTCATGATCTATTTTCTTACAATGAACAAAAGTATACAATGAACAAAAATATACAATGAACAAAAATATACAATGAACAAAAGTATATGAAGTAGAACAAACATGTAACTTTTGTACATTTCATATTGCTATTTTATGATGTGAAAGAAATTGTGACAAAATTGCAAGTTAAACTTTGAATCACTTTTTAACTATTCTAATGCTTATCTAAACGCGCTTACTGTGTTCTGTCATATGTGTTACTTTACTCATTCAATACAAAAAAAATTATAGTGATTTACATATTTTCTGTTTTTATCTCTTCCTAAACTGATATCTATAAATTTCCACAAAAAAAAAATGATGAAGATATTAATTTAGAATTCGGGATTATCACTATGCAGTGGCAGATTTTTTGTTCTTAAATTGTAGATAATTATGTTCTCAAAACTTTCCATTACTGTCGCTAAAAAAGGTGTGACAGAAAACAAAAGTTGCCTCATATGAACTTTACATAATACCGTAATTATATTTATGAGTTGCAGGGGAGATATGAGCGTATATCATTCTTATTAGTATATGAGTGTGGCATCCTACATGTAAAGAAGAAAAGGCAACATTAATTACCATGCATTAATGCATTACCGTGGGTAGGATCATGACAATGGATTGTAATTGCATTTATTTTGAACTATATACATTATATAAGTTGCTTCGCTTATCCTTATTCATTTACTGAGTTTAAGATCAGTTTCTCAGTACATGCTCAACGACTTTTCTGCTAGGTAAGCAAATGTTCATTTATAACAAGTTCATTTTACAAATTTTCAAAGGAGTCATTAATCCAAAGAACTTTTCGAATTTGACATACTTACCCGTATGAATGTTTTTAAATTTCGGAGTTTTATAAATTTTGTTTGGTGTGGATATCCTATATAAGTGTTATTGTAACAGGCAGCCAGGATGCCTGATTATATCCTATTTGAAATGAGGTCATATGTTCAAATTTACATGCATATGGTGTTAATATTGTGTGTTTCTTTTGCTTTTCATATTTAAAATACTTATATCTGTATATTTTGAATGCTTTCTCATGGTTAGGTGCAGATAATTATATGTGTTAATATAATTATTGAGTCTAAATATGCCGTAAAAATATTATATTCATGTTGTGTTTTCTTTGTACATATTAATTGTAATAGCTTCCGTGATTAGAATTTGTGACATGACTTTAAGAATATAATTATGATACCCGTATACTTAATTCATTCCGTACGTTTAGTACAAGATGGATATGCAACTTATAAAAAACCCAATTGCAAATGTTAAAAGCAGGCTTTTTATGCAAAACAGGGCTTCTTAATATGGAAAGTCTGAAAGTCTACCTGTTCTCTATTGTAGAGTTGGAATAAAAACGTGTATTCATGGGGTATTTTAGTACTTTTTTAAAACAAAGTTCATTAAAATGTTGTATAATCATTATTTATCAACAATGCAATGTTAGAAAACAGTAAAAATGGAAGTGAAATAGAGACCTTGAGGAAATGTCGGTGATACTTACAAGAAATCCACTCAAGGGTAATATTAATAGCTCATTGCATTGCTTGTATAGAGGACATGTTGGGATTATGTAATATGTCACTGTGAAAGGTGATACACATGCATAAGGATGATTTATGAAGTTTTTCCAGTTGTGTTGCCCTGATTTCTCCTCACGAATGGTTTCCACTTCTGGAATAAGAATATTTGCTGATAATAATGGACACCCTGAACAATAACAATTTATTGTATAATAGATAATATTACACCCCCTGCCAGCCAATATCTGTATAATGAGGTATGTTACTAATGGCATTCATCGCGTTACTTTTGTTTGTGGTCCCATTGGAGGTATTGATCTAATCAGGACATGACATTGTTTAACCTTTCATCTTCGAAGAGTAAGATGACAAGTCATAAAATGTGGAGGGATTCGATAAAACATGTTATCATGAAGAACAACTTGCTTTGACGGGAGGGTACCTATAGGGTGTATCCTCCTCCTTCAATCGAATGGCCGTCAGGAAAAAAATGGAAATAAGTAAAGAAAGAGAAAGTTACGAGAATGAGTAGACGATGTGAAAAGATGATTAGACAATAATTTTATATCATGCCATCCCAGTCATTAGATGACACAGGACCTAGTTTTCTCTCATTCTATCTCCCGATTAGACCAATTTCTCCGATGGCATCAAGCCCTATAACTGCATGTCTAGATGTTCACAAAATAAAAGGTGTTTGAAATCATGATACCTCTAGACAGATAATGGAATCGACACTGTATTAGATTGTATTGGTTTATAAATTGGTAGGCCCATTTTTAAGCACGAATACAAAAATTTAAAACAAATATAGAGTGATTAATTTGGAATAAACACGACTTAAAACCTAAGACCAATATTTACAAAACAAATGATCATGACTGTATAAAGATTATGAATAAGTAAACAGGGAGAAGATTTCCATAGAGTAAGGAATAAGTTAAAGTTATAATAATAATCAAATTTTTCTTTTATATCATGTTTTAAGGAATTAATAAAAACAGTGACATTTGTAAATATCTCTTTTCTGAATTAAATCATGAAGTCAAATTACTGTAGTAAAAATGAGATTGTTTGACCTTTCACCTTTAAAGAATTAGATACAATCATGTAGCTATAGCACTAAATAGAAAATACCATCATCTCATGCATTTACAGATCAATTGAACAATTTAATTACTTCTGAAAGGCAGGTCTTTCTAGGGTCTAGTTGTAGCATAAGTTTGTCAATGCGTTAATGTCAAAACACTCTCAATGAAAACATTACTACCAATCTATGATATGCATGTAATATAATTCTCGTAGTGGTCAGGGTGGTATACTTTTGATTTGGGGTCAGGGGTGTACCGAGCATTTTAAAGGCAGTCAATAAAGGACATGAATATGTATGTATGTATGTATGTATGAAATCTTGCGGTTTTTGTAAAAATCGAGAATTATAAACGCAAACATTTACATGATCAAAGTTAAATGAATGATTGGCTTGTGAGAAGAAGAAATAAAAGGGATAATATTAGAGGTTTGCTGCTTTTTGTGGGAAAAATGTAATCCTTCAAACTGATAGACCATAATAAGAGTCAATATTTTAAGATTATGGGGACGTTTAATTTCATTTGCATTTAATCGTTTACCGAACTAATGAGTGTGTCAGATATAATATATGCGTAATTGGTTGGGTTTAACAAGTCGCTTGCTAAACACCTGTCAAAGTTTTGATTCCTTTCCTGGGGGAGGGAGTGTATGGAGATGGCCGCAGAGTCGGTCTTACGAGTATTAGAACTGGGGGCGTTTCACAAAACTTGTCATCAGTGACAAATGACAATTTGTGTTATAAGCTACTGAAATCCTTGCTTCTGATTGGTTATCAGCAGATTTGTCACTGATATCTGTTATTTGTCATTGAAAAAAGGCTTTGTGAAACGCCCCCCATGCAGATTTTCATGAAATCTGATTTCCTGCATTGGTCTGGAAAGATGCATATTCACAGGAATTCTTTACTTCTTAGCAAAGGGTTGCAATGAACAAACTGCTACCCCCATATACGTAAACAAGACAGTTAACATATTTGGAGAGAAGAAAAATCGGTTAACAATATCATCCTTAACTCGGACTACGGCAATCTATATACAGTTTATTTTTCCAAATATTTTTGAATATAACAAGCTTGATTTTGGAAAGTGTTTGCTTATTTCTCAGTGTCTTTTCATTGAAATGGTAACAAAAATCATGTCTAAGTGAATGCAATCCCTTTCTACAGCCATGATGGCACGACTGATTAGTTTACTTTCATTTAAATTAAACTAATCCCAAATCGTGATAAAATGGAAACATGGAATAGACTCAGAAGCGGCATACGTGCGTTTACATCAGTCAGTACCACGCTTACTACATTATATTTTAATGGATGTAATGTCATTGAATTGAGATCGCAATGATAATAGTTAATACTGTCTTAACTTTCTTTTCTGTGCAATTTTACAAATATGAGGGGAAACGTCCTTTCTTGACGTCTAGTATTGCTTACGTTGTTATCTGATCATGTATGTATATTGCGACTACAGGGGATTATAATTGGGTTGTAATATGATATAATATTTTAGATATGATTTAGAATGATTAGTATGCAATTTGAATTTATATGTTTACGAAATAAAGATGTAGAAGTTTCAAATAATTCCTTTTACGTTGTGTTATTATGTAATGCTTTTGAATGGAAAATGAGGTACTTAGGTGGTTGGCACTAAAAGTGATAGAAGAAGGGAGGGAGTGAGGAAGGAGAAGGAGAGAGAGAGAGAGAGAGAGAGAGAGAGAGAGAGAGAAAGAGAGAGAAAGAGAGAGATAGAGAGACAGAGAGAAAGAGAGAGAGAGAGAGAGAGAGAGAGAGAGAGAGAGAGAGAGGTTTGGGGGAGAGGGAAGGGACAATTTGAGAAAATTGAGAGAGGGTGAGAGAGGGAGCGAAGAAGGGGGGGGGGGTCATACTAGTTTGTCTATTTGTGAATGGAATTAACATAATTATGCCTAAAATATTCTAACCTTTCAATTGATTCATTTCGATTTGGCAAGACATTAACCTACATTTGCCACACCCGACCCAGGTGAGGTAAATGGGGTACCTGACAGGAATTCATTCCTTGAAATGCTAGCCTGAGCGCTGTAATGGCAGTCATGCTAAACTGAGCCGGGGTAATAATTTCAAAATTTGTAAACGCATAATATAGAGACGTATAATGCTCTAAACAAGAACCGAATATCATTATCATCATTATTAAGTAATGTAATGTAATGGAATTGGTTATGTAATGTGAAGATGATAGCTTTGCATTCGCATCACGTCATTCATGTTTGATTGATTTATGGATCCAAGCCTTGTACGAAAGTAACTCTTGGATAATGGTGAATTTATCACGATTTCAGAATCAATAATATAAATACAAGTAGGGAAAGAAGGGAGGCAAAAAACAACCACCATTATTTCCCTTGCAAACAAAAAAAAAACACAAAAAAAAACACAAAAAAAACAACAACAACAACGAGAGAGGCAAAATAAGAAGGCAAAGAAAATGAGAACTAAACAAGACGAGAAAAGAGTGCATGATTCCGACCAAACTATTCGTTGCGGGCATTCAATTACTTCGTTTCGTTTTGGTCTTTTTCATCGCAAGTACCACACGAGGACCCACCACACCTCTCCTACATGTTATTGACCGTCTGTGCGTGTCTATGCATTTGAATACTTACTGATGAAATTCGATAGACGAGATACATTTCGAGAGATCTATAGCAAGGTTGAAAACCCTCTCGGGATCATTACAGAACAAACCCTTGGACTTCGATTGGAGAGGTACACAAAATAGTCAGGGAAGGATCGAGGTTGGGAAGTTAACTAGAGCCTTGCATTCTATAAGGACCTGCCAATCAACTAGAGTGTATTTTGTATGTCTTAAAACACACGAAGATAGAGATATAATACATTGCACTGAAAAGCCTTCATTCCATCCCACTACTTTCTCCTATAGGTGGTAATAGCGGTTTCACTGAATATTCAAATGCACGTACATCGTAATGAAAAGAGAGAGAAATAATGTAAAGTGTTTTGTAAGAATACGGAGTAAGGTCCATTAGCAATTAATTAATTCGACTCAGGAACTAACAACTAACTGAGATATATGGCTAAAAGGATGAAGGGCGCGATTTATACGCAATTCTCTTTCTTTGAAACTAATTTGCCCAGGTTTTGATAGAACACTGATTAATTCTGAGACTTGCTGGCGTATGATTGAACGAAGTTAATTTAATAAACGAAGTTGGGATTTAGAAGAATGCAGAACTCCATTCCTAAACCCCTGACAAATAATTGATACAGAGCATAAGGGCTGAGATATATCCAAGGCAACAAAATATACCGAATCGGAACAAAGACATCTAAATGTAATTAAATTAGTTGAAATCATGATAAAATCATCCTCTTCATCATCTTTTAAATTTTGCATTCTTTATCGAAAATCATTCTCGTAAATCTTGAATTAATTTTATGTAGCCACTGTATCTGGGCGAGCCCAAGGTATATGACTGTATGCCACATAATTACCAAGTAAAATGGAATTATATTATGGAATTGTGAACATGAATTGATATAAAATATCCTTTATTTGACTTTTCGTCTGATTCAAGCCATAGTGGGGCTATCAAATTCATGTTTGTTTTGTTTTGTTTGTTTCTTTATCATTGACAATTTTGGATGTGTACCCCTCATACTGCCCATTTGAAATATTTCTTTCAATGAAAAAAAAAATGCACATTCACCCCCCCCCCCCTCAATCCTCACATACACTCAAACACATCCACCTCCACATACATCATTCTCATCTCTCTTTAATAAATGCATACAGGAGTTATCAACATATGACAAAAGTGAAACGGTAATAATCAGTTTATTAATTTTATTAATTGTTTTTTTTTAAATCAATCTTCATTCTGATATATGGCTATTATTGAACAGGAGTTAACATACACAAAATATTTCAATCGATCCTTAGCAATTTATACATCCAAGCATTGTTACGTTCCTTTATAGAGAACAAGTACATCAAGGCAAATACAACGTATATCAATAACTTCAGATGAAAAATACATCTTTGAAAGGTTTTAGCCCTCCATGCATATGGTTCTCTTCTCTGATAGCATCAAAGAAACAAGGAATTGAAAAAAATAAAAGACCAGACTATTTACAAGAAACAGTATATATTATCAGAGTTCTTCCGAAATGTACATTGTACAAGTATATAGTATGCAGTAATCAAGTATAATTGGACTATCTTTTTGTACTAAAGAATATACATCATAAATAAGATATGTACAAAGGTACAAACATTTGAGATTCATGTTGGAACTAAAATCTGTCTGTACACAACATGTCACAATACTCATATGCTAAGATACATGTATATAAATACAATATTGATGTTTAAAAAGTCATACATGTACAAATTTAACTCAAGGATTTCTTATTCATTTCATGAGTTGCATAAGTATCGTTCTTATAGCAAGCCTTTGCTGTTTGATTGTTAATGATTAAAAAGACATACATGTTACAAAAATTACTCAAGGATTTCTTATTCATTTCATGAGTTGCATAAGTATCGTTCTTATAGCAAGCCTTTGCTGTTTGATTGTTAATGATTAAAAAGTCATACATGTACAAATTTAACTCAAGGATTTCTTATTTATTTCATGAGTTGCATAAGAATCGTTCTTATAGCAAGCCTTTGCTGTTTGATTGTTAATGATTAAAAAGACATACATGTTACAAAAATTACTCAAGGATTTCTTATCTATTTCATGAGTTGCATAAGCATTTGTTTAAACCACAAAAAAAAAAGGGAAGAAAAATAGAATTAAGAAAGGCTACAGTACAAAATGGTTTAATTTTATTAGAAGATGGTCCTTTACAGGAGATTCTCGTTTATCATAATTCAATTAAAGCACTCATTTATATTCCTGTTGCTTGGATAAAAGATATATAGGAAAGGATTAGACGGTTTACAGTTCATTTCGTAGTTAAGGTTCTCATCATAAACATAATTGAAATGGAATACAAAGTATAGAAAGAAATAGAAACGGGAAAAAAAACAAATAGGTGTTTCAAGGAAACAATGAAAAAGAACCTGCCGTTCTCTCCATGTTAAAGCCCCACTGCAGTAGTTTGGCCAGGAGGGATTAGACCTCCCTGCATAGTCACTGACAGGTGGTTATCTCATCAAATCAGCTCTCAATTCACATAAGAAAACAGGGGATAATGGGAGACCAATGGTCACCGATTAAGCATTGTTTGCTATATAGAGGGCGCAAGTAGCTATACGTAGTGCAGTGGGGCTTTAAAAGACAACCATCATTTTTTTCCTTTCATCTTTTACTTAAAAAACAGTTTGATCTGGGTATGTTTGATATGGGCAAATTCACATTCGACTTTGATTACATCACATGAGCTCTGTGAAAAATCTCCAAAGTCAAATTCAAACAACAGTTTAATACAATGCATGACACACACAAAAGAAAAGAGGAAATATCCCCATTCATGAACTAACAAGATCATCATCATCATCGCCATGACTACAAGAGAGGGCCTTCGGTCTTGAAAAGCGCTATATAAGAACTAGCTATTATTATTATTATTATCATGAGTTTACTTTGAAGCGTCACTCACTTTGCCCCATCTTGGTATTGAAATTATTAAAAAATACTTGCTACATGTTTATTATTTTCAGTGGGAACAATAAACAATGAATCAAACAAATATTCATTAGCTCAGAGAACCAGTTATTCTGCTAAATACAAGGATAGAAAATCATGAAAATGCAGTGATTCCAGAGTTGTTCAACCCTCACAGGTCTAGCTTATACAAACAGTTTAGTGCAAATCTTTAGTTATATCTTGAATACTTATTCTCACAAAACAGAGATATTTAATTAATGTAGTATGGAACCACATTCTATCACATGCTTCTAACTTTGGTGAATTATCCTAATGGTACGTGTTATTACAAAAATATAATGAAATAGTTTATAAACTATATATATATATATATATCTCCCTTTCAGCCTTGCACATTGCAGTCATAAATTACTGTCAAACTGGGTACCTACAATACAAGTATTCCTTATTTTCACTACTACACAAATCACACAAAGAAAGCACCACAAAACTCCTATCACATATTGTTATCACATAACACATATTTAGTGAAGTTGAGATTCATAACTGAGTAAAATGTTTCTTCTGCAGTTTTATATGACAGAAAATCAAATGATTCCTGAGAAGGCATGATTGCAAAACTATTAAACGAGGTCCATATTCTTAGAGCTAAAAGACATGGTACCAGTCAGTTATATACGTGTAGTGTGATCTGAATATTTGAGATGCATAATTCAACAGATTCCAGTCATAGATTAGGCCCCTGCAGCTTTGCTATTTTTTTATTTAACCCAATGCAACCACTAGCATTTCAGATGGGAGTGAAATGTCTAGTAAACTAGATAAGTTTAATTTTCATTCTTAAGCAATCTTGAAATGAGACCAAATCATAAGACCACACATATACTAAAATTCTGTGCATGAATGGCAGAGATCAATGACAATAATGATGGTAGTATACATTTCTTTCATTATTAAGAACATGTTACAACGTCTTCAATTGTACTATAAAAATACTGCTATAGTGGCCAGGTAGATGTTCAACAAGAATTTTATAACATCTGTTTGTTTACAATTCTACCATCATTCCAACAAATCTGACAAATGTAGAATGTTGGTATTGGTGGTAATGATTGGCACGGTGGGGCTACTGAATGGCAGTATCCGTCTTTTTCCTCTTGTTGAATAGTGTAAATAAAACCTGTTCAACCAATCCCATTATTCCCTTTCACACTGTCATGGCATTCATCTGCTACCACCTTGCTTCATATACCCAGCCATCTGTCAAATCAAACAGTGCAAGAAGTCTTCTACAGCTACACAGTTGATCTCTGGCTACATGTAGTGACACCAGGGGGACGTTTCACAAAACTTGTCACCAGTGACAAATGACAGTTTTTGTTATAAGCTACTGAAATCCTTGCTTCTGATTGAATATCAGCAGATTGTGTCACTGATTTTTGTCATTTGTCATTGAAAAAAGCTTTGTGAAATGGGCCCCCAGGTGAACTGATCTCCCTGAATGACTTTCTAACTCCAACTAAGTTGCCTTCATGCACAGATATCTCATACATGTATCCAGCTACATTGCCTATAAATCCATTAACATAGTGCAGTATATACTTCTACACTGTTTGGTACTACCAATGTCATTCAGAACTATATCATTCAGTAACCGTTTTACCATACATGCCCTCTGGTGGTCTGTATAGTTTAGGGACTATGTTGTAACCGTTTTACCATATGTGCCCTCTGGTGGTCTGTATAGTTTTAGGGACTATGTTGTAACCGTTTTACCATACATGCCCTCTGGTGGTCTGTATAGTTTAGGGACTATGTTGTAACCGTTTTACCAAACGTGCCCTCTGATGGTCTGTATAGTTTAGGGACTATGTTGTAACCGTTTTACCATACGTGCCCTCTGGTGGTCTGTATAGTTTAGGGACTATGTTGTAACCGTTTTACCATACATGCCCTCTGGTGGTCTGTATAGTTTAGGGACTATGTTGTAACCGTTTTACCATACGTGCCCTCTGATGGTCTGTATAGTTTAGGGACTATGTTGTAACCGTTTTACCATACGTGCCCTCTGGTGGTCTGTATAGTTTAGGGACTATGTTGTAACCGTTTTACCATATGTGCCCTCTGGTGGTCTGTATAGTTTAGGGAACGCTCTTAACTGCATCTTGTTGAATGCGTACTTGTTGATTCCAGTGTTCTTTCTCGAGTTGTCTCTCCTTGTTCCCTCACTGAAAAACAGAAGACACAACAGTAAGAGTGATTTTATTACCATTCTAAGACTTCCCAAAACCTTTGAATAATAGTCTCATATGATGCAAATCAACTTAAATACACAGTGGCTAAAAAACGGACCTCCCTATAAGGTACTGTACAATGCAGACGTTCTACATTTTTTCCCTCTCATAATGCTACAAAAGATGCAGAATCTCAAATTATATTATCTGATTTCAAATTAAATCTTAAAGACTTCAGATGATGCAAAATACATTGAATTGACAATAGAACAGGGAACACATTGTCTGCCTAGAGCCTGAAGGGCAGTATAGTTTAACAAAAAAAAACAACAAAAAAATCAGTAAAAATCTATTCAAAGCCATATTGACTACATTTACAGCAGCAAATGGTCATCTACAAAAGACATATCAACAGTCCAATGTACAGGACATCTAATAGCACAGTTTCATCTTATAGCATGACACAAAATGGACAACACTCTACAATACAAACCTGCGCATGGTGTTGAGTAGATGTACAAACATATGGGGCTCCATCTTGTGTTCATCTTGAAGTAGTTGACATTGTTCTAACGTAACAGACATGCCTGTCCTATCCTTGGCACTCTTACAGCTCATGAAACGGATACCATTGATTCGTCTCACCAACTACAAATGAGGACAACATTTCACATTCATCATACATTCATCAATTCATTTTTTGAAAATTATTTATTTAATCACACAGTGTGGAGCAACGGGGTATGAAACGGTTGGCTCAAGACCGAGGAACTTGGAGAGAAACTTGGAAAGACACTTGATATAGAATTTTGAATGGGTCACTGAACCTGTCATAAACTGACAGATCACTATTGATGATGATTTATTGTAAAGTTATTGTTATTTTATGTAATCAGTGAGGTCCAATTTTAACAAGCCATTCATGTGCTCTTCATGGTCCTCCCACTTCAGACACCTCATTATATGTGTTTATATTGAAGATTGTATAATTTTGTTTTGATCTTGGCGTGGAAATAAATAAAAGCTGCAAATGGTACATGTATCTTCGTGATCGAAAACAAGCAGCAAGTGGTACTACATCCCACGACATGAAAGAGAAAGAGTAAATGAGTCATCCCACAACCCATGCACTGAATGAGAAAAAAACAATCGATGGACCAATAAAAAAAAATTAATCTGAATACACAGAATCTATCATTAAGTGAAACTGAAATTGATTGAACAGCTCCTTCTACAGAGTCACACATTATTATATGTCATTTAATATAGATAGGCATTCAATTGATTTAAAAGTTTTCCTCCACAAAGGGTAATAGTGTCTAATAATAAAGAACTATGAAAATTCAGCAAGCAGATTAACTGCATGAATGGCCAAAAGTACTGAGTGAAGTGAAGAATTAACTAGGCATACCCATGTATTTTTTAGTACATTTACGATGATGTCTACGCTTTCATTAAAGAACATGCACTGTAGCACATATATATTATATTGCTTAGTTTGATGTACACTGTGTATTGTATTTTACCTGTCTGCTGATGTGTAGTATCTCGACATTCTTCTGTCTCTTAGACTGTACATGATGCCTCAAGCTTGTCATCAGCAGCTCTATACTCAATGTACTCGTCGAATGAGGACGATCTGGACAATAAAAAAGAGAAATAAATGAATAGTTTCAATGCAAACAGCAAACAATCTGAAGTTGCACTACTTAGCAAGTAATTTGAGACTCCACTGTAAAAGTTACATTAAATTATAAAATAATATCCTAACACAATTATCACTATCTTACTATCCTTATAATAACTGTAAATCATTCACTATCTGGCAAAAGAAGTAATTAACCAAAATACATAGTTTTTCAGTCAATATACATTCGGATGCAAGAAATCAGTGATCCAACATATATTCAATTCAATTCAATTTATTTATTCATCATCCATAAAAATTATAACAAATATTGACAATATTTGACGATGCATAACAATAATAACAATAGATGAAAGGATACCTTCAAAAAAAGCACGGGGCTTGTACAATAGAAGGCACCTGAACAAAGTTAAATAATACATTTATAATTGCAAAATAATTCACCCAGCCACAAAACACAATAGTCACACACAAAAATGCGCCGACACACGAACACACACACACACACACACAGACACACCCTCACTCACAAACTAACTAACTACTAACCGAAATGTAACGTAAACAATCTTTTGAAAATCATTGTTGGAGTACATCAAGTATTGTAACTGTTAACGAAATGCTGGTTAAGTTTACGTTTGAATACATTGAGTGTGGTTGCATCGGAAATACAATTTTCAATTTCGTTTAAAATTTTGGGACCAGTATACCGAATGGATCTTATATCTAACGAATTTTGAGGTTTTGGCAGTCGAAATTTCATTGAATTGCGGGTAAAATGTGAATGAATATCTGAATTTAGCTGAAACATATCATGAAACGAAAGTGGAAGAGTATTGTTTGTATATCGATACATGAAAATACCAACAAGATATTTATATATGTCAAAAATGTTTAAAAGATTTAACGAATGAAAAATAGGACTAGAATGGGCAAGATAATGCGAAAGAGTACAAATTCGAATAGCTTGTTTCTGTTTCTTAAAAATACTTACTAATCTGGTTTTACACGCTGAACCCCATACAATATTACCACACATGAGATACGGCAAGATAAGAGTATTGTATAATAGAATTAATATATGTGGGGGTACTGTAAATTTCAATTTATATAAAATTCCAATGGTTTTACTTATTTTATTACAGACATGTCTGACATGAAAATCCCATTTTAGATAACAATCAACATGTATACCAAGGAAATTATGACAGTCGACGAAATCAATCAACTCTCCGTCCAATTGTACTTTGGGTAAAGCGATACTCCGTGAATTGTTCAAACAAAAATATATACATTTAGTTTTTTTAACATTGAGACATAGCTTGTTTGTTCTTAACCATTCAACAACCTTGATAAGTTCTGTATTTGTTTGACATATTAAGTCATTCTGATTATAATTTGAGGCAATCAAACAAGTATCATCTGCGTATTGAATAAAGTGAAACAATTTTGAAACACAATATAAATCATTAACATATAATAGGAACAATAGAGGACCTAGAATTGATCCTTGAGGAATACCTGTTTTGATCAAAAGTTTTTTAGAAATATGAGTTTTATACATTGTACATTGATTTCTGTTTGTTAAATAATCTTTAAACCATAAATAGGGTATACCACGAATACCATATCTAGATAACTTAGAAAGTAATATGTCGTGATCCATTACATCGAAAGCTTTCGACAGGTCTAAAAATATACCGATAACAAACTTATTTGAGTGCAATGCGTTACATACTGTATCATTAAAATCAATAAGAGCATGATCAGTTGAATGGTTTGGCCGAAAGCCATATTGATGCATGTATAAAATATTGTTATGTTCAAGAAATTTATATAGACGAACGTAAACTAATTTTTCTAGTAACTTTGAAAAACAAGGAAGTAAAGAAATTGGACGATGGTTGCATATATCATAAGGATCCCCTGTTTTTGGTACAGGAACAATTTTTGCAGTTTTAAGCCGGTTTGGAAATTTTCCAGTCGAAATTGATAAATTCATAATGTGCATCAACGGACGGGCTATAGCGTGAATAGATTTCTTTGCTATATTTTGACTAACATCATCAACTCCAGTGCTATTTGTATTCTTTAAATTCCTAAAAATATTTATAATTTCGTTTTCAGATGTAGGGCACAAAAATAACGAATTTGGATTTGATGCGTTCATGTAATCCAAATGGTGTTTATAAGAGCGAGGAATCTGGGCAGCTGTTTTGGTTCCAACGTCATTAAACATTCTATTGAACAGTTCGGATATTTCGCACTCATTGTCTACTATCACACCGTTGACTTTGAAATGATTCGGCAGGACTTTAGCTTTTCTATTTAAAATACCATTGATAATGCCCCAGGTTTTCTTCAGGTTATTAGAGTTGTATTTAAGCATATCACCATAATATTTTGTTCGTGCTTGTCTTAGAAGAAAAGTAACTTTATTTCGATAAGATTTATACTTCCTACTCAAATCTGAAGAAAATTTCAACTTCAATTGCTTATATAACTTATTTCTCCGATTGATACAAGAGAAAAGATAATTATTTATCCACGGTTTTCGAATTGATTTTTTCTTCCTACTTTTCTCCTTGAGGGTAAAGTGTTTATCATACAATTCAGAATAGATATCTATAAATATATTATATGCCTGTTCGACATTTGTGGATCTATAAACACACGTCCAATCATATAAATGTAGACCAATGCAAAATTGTGCAATGTTTGCCTCCGTAAAATGCCGTGTACGAACATTTAAGATAGGAATAGAAACCTTTAATTTGTAGTTAATTTGAAAAATTGGAAAATGGTCTGTAATATCACAATATAGAACTCCAGAATGAATATCATCGATATATGTTGTCGATCAATGACATTGATTTCGATGTTATTCTGGTGGGTATACAGGTGGAACAATTGCTTTAAGCTTCATTTCGTAAAAGATGCAGAGCTAGAGCTTTGGTTTCAATTGGGTAAGGCTAAGGTAAGGTTAGGGTATAGCCCTGTTTAGCCCATAGTTTAAATAAAGATACAAATCAAAATGTTCTTTTTGATTAATTTTGAACATTTTGTCAAATATTGAAAAGTGCTATATCACATCACATGTAGATACCAACCTTCATGTTGTATTAATCTCAAGTATCTGTCAAAGTAGACATCTATTTTGTGCATGTTCTCCTTGTTGATAGCTTCCTGTAATGATGTGTCTCCAAACCTGTGAAATAAAGCAAAGATTTAGCAATACTTCAATAACATAGACTCTCATCAATCTCAATTACTGTTGGATGACGTTAATCAGAGTGACAACCAACTTCTTTAAAAGCCTCCTATAAGGGGGCTAAAAAGTATAAAAAGCAGGTCAGACTGATTTTCAAATTTTTAGCTGGATTGGAGAGTAAAGTTTCTGTTATTTTACTTGTGATGTTCTTAGCAGAGCTCATCTGTCTTCAAAACTATTATTCCTTTGAAAGAACATTATGGTGTTACCTTCCAAACTGGTAAACAGTTGCAAAAATCCTGTATTTTAAGAGTAACTTGATGGATTCTTAGATATTTAAATAGAGGTCTGGATGTTTCCCAACCAACTGAGTTGTAATAATCCTTCTCCTTCACAGAACTTAAGTATTTTTAAATTAATATTTCAATGAGTATAAGAATATAATTTCCCCTGTACCTCAAGACTCACAATAACTCATATAAAATTTAAGTGAATATTTACTCTTGCCTCGATTGGTATCTTTGAAATCAAATGACAGAATTCAGCTGTTGCATTTATTTTTTACAATCAAAAGATATACTCACAATTCAGCAAGTGACTGTTCTTCATTGATCCCTACAGTGAAGAGAATGGGAGTGACCTTGATGGGCTGACCTCTACTGAGGTCATCTGGTAGCTTGGTCAAGGTGTTCACATCCAGCGGTACTTCTACTACTATGCTGCATCTGAAATGGAAGATTAGAAAGCATTATCAGAACAGTGCCAAAATGACTACTGTTACAAATCTTATTATTAACGATATGGTGTAATTACCATATATTGATTTTTCAAAGTTATTTCTAATGATTTGTATTTTGTTTACATTACCTGTCCTGCATGGACCATTAATCTGGTCGAGTCCTGGGGGTGTTTCACAAATATCCTAAGTCGAACTTAAGTCTAAGTTGGTCTTAAAAATCATGGAGAGCCATTTTTATCCTTAAATTAAAATATATTAGATAGCGGAAATTCAAATAGTTTTTACTTTTTATAAATTCCACATCAAGACCATGAAATCTCCTTGATAATAGAAATCATGAATGATTTTAATTAACATTTTATGCCTTTTAAAATAATTTTTACAATTTTTTTTATTGATGCTAGCAGCTTTCCATAATTGTTAAGTCCAACTTAGGATCTTTGTGAAACACCCCCCCCCCCAGGCTTGTCATTGTATTCTCTCCTTTTCTTAGTATGCCTTTTTCAAAATGTATCTGTTCCTTTATTGCTGAATTATCAATAAAGTGATGTACCAAAAAATGAAATATTCATAAAGATGTTTGAGCACATGCATTCAAAGCAGTTGATGAATGAGAGACTTCACACTATGAACATGACGGACAAAGAAAGCGGACAAAATATACAGTTCCTCATTCTACCCTAAACAATTGCTACGGTAGACAAAAGCTATGGTCACAAATCGGAGCAGCGACCGACCGATCAGTAGCCTGCTCGGTCGCTGCTGGAATTAAGCATCGCCCAGCAATTAGGTCGGTGCCCGGGCGGCGACCGCCCAGGCACCGAGCGTATTTTGGGCGGCGAGTGAAAAATGAGCAGGCGCCTCCCAAATTTTAACTACGCGCTAAAACTTCAGCGGCGACCGAGCGATGCCCTAAAAACGAGCGGTGCCTGGGCGGCCGCCGCTCGGTGGCCGGGCAGCCGCCGGGCAGCTGCCGGGCAGAATTGGTTAAAAACTCGCCGCTCGGCTGCCGAGCAGGCAACTTTTGGGTAATGTGACCATAGCATTAGGAACACCCCTTCACTGCTATTATGTAAACATGTGTAGAACAGGTGAATATGCATGTGACACCTGTTCTACACATTTTTACATAATAGCAGTGAAGGGATGTTCCTTTGTCTACCACAGCATTGAGGGTAGAATGAGGAACTGTATATTTTCTCCGCTTTCTTTGTCCGTCATGTTCATAGTGTCCATAAAGGACCAGTCACCAAGGGTAAAGCTCAGCTAATGTTTGTGATTATAATATTTTTTTAGTTTCTTGTGTATTAGTGTGGGATGGCCGGGTGATCCTTAAATAACGTAGAGTCTTCATGTAATAATACCACAATATAGAGGGATGTCCAAAGATATCTAAAGTTACCTACTTTTTCAGCTTTTCAACTTTGAAACTATAGATTAGGGCTCTGTCTTCTAAACTAGAGTCATGATAGATTTGAATCAACCACAAGTCATCCAGTCATCTTCAGTATCTTCTGTACTGAATTAGGATTGATATCAAATCTCAAATTACGATGTAAACAATTCAAATCAATTACATCTCTCTATGAGATGGGATCCAGCTCTGTGTTATGTTCGGTAGAAATCAATTTAGGTGATTTTAAGAGTTACCACATTACAGGACAAAATTTGAAAGCTAATGTACTGTACATATGATATAATAATCTTGATTTAACGCCCTTTTTTTTGGGGGGGGGTCTAAACAGAAAGAAGGCCTCTTTTAATTTGCACCTCAAACTAAAAGTAGGTTAAGATAGATACCTGCTTCCACAGAGGATAGGTTTATCATCTTCTGATTTGCTTGGAATCAACTTGAATGTTACTCCTTGAAGATCTTTGATTGATGCTGACATGTCTTCCAGCATCCCCATCTCATCACCTAGCAACAAACAAAAAACAACACTCATAATCTTCTTCATAGACTATCTCAATACAAATTAACTAACATGGAGCCAATTACTGAAAGGTTTATAAAAAAGTAACACTTTTTAAACTGATGGAATATGGTTTTAGATTTGTGCAATAAACACTCACTCCACATGGACAACATATTCCTTTACATAAATCAATGTACTACATTGACTAGCAATGACCAAAATCAACTTTCTGGGCTGCAAATAATATTTCTTATTTATAATACATAACACGACGACAATCATCGATTGATCTATTTAGTAGAGTGAATATCTATCCTTGCATCTTAGAAAGGGTTACCCGATACACACATCAATGCCATGTTTATTTTCCACAATCTGCAGGTGTGGCAACGGCTGGCTTAACGGTAAAAAAAAAAAAAAAGTACACCGTAGATTTTAGCACTTTTGTTATCACCTCCTAGATAACTGTAAGCTAAGGGTTATAAATAAAGAATCCCTATTTACTATAATCTTACCATATGTACTGAGTAGACTCTCAAAGTGGGCTAAGAATCCTAGTTTACAGAGCTGTTTGAGGTAACCTCTGTTGTTGATGTTCTCTTTGAGCTGTGTCACTACACCAACAATCAGAGATGTGATCTGATGGAAACAAATATTCAAGAGAGAAAACATTTAAATTTAGAGTCATTGGTTGGAAAGGAAATATATGTATCTATGTATACCATGCCTTTCATCATGCGAATCCAAGAGGCTAAAAGGATCTTAATGAATAACTTCTACTACCTAGACATATTTAATTCAGTATCTTTGATTACATCTGAACAATCATTGTCACTAATAAAGTGATGTTCCTTTGTGGTTTGACAACAAACCAATATGCACAGTTCTGTCTTTATTGATATTTTATAGTGTTGAAAACTTGAGGTGCCAACAATTTAAGTCCAAGGTATTTGATCAACTACAAGAAAAACTTTACTGCTAATATTTTACCCCCAACTGCACATTCTATGTCATAGAGCTCTTAATATTGCTATATTTACAAGACTGCTAAAGATACATACCACTTGGGAAAATACAAGGTCTCTTCTGTTCTGTAGATTCTGCAAAAAATCAAGGTTTTTGTATTCCTCCTGAAACAGATTCAAGAAAAATAAAGATTAGAAAGTAAAGTTCGAGCACTGAGGAGTTCCTTCCCCATCAAAATATTAAACGAGGAATAAACATATGTAGTTACTAATGTTAATGATCAGATTATACAAAGTCTCCCGAGACCATTCTTCCACACCCAGATGTTAAAGATGTATAGTAGTGGGCTCTCATGAGGAATTTGACACCATTAGGGGGTTTACCCAATAACAGGTGTTGTCAATCATCAGGATTAGCTTTCAGTTTTATGACCAACAGCCCTTACGTAAAGCTCTGCATTTCCCATCAATCACACCATACGGAAAAGTGATCATCTTAATTTCCCTTACCCAAAGACTCTTCGAGATAGTAGGGGATTTCTCGATGGGACCTCGGGTTTGCTGTGTGCAGACTTGTACACCCTGATATTTCCACCAAGTCTGGTGGCGGCGAATTATGACCCACTACAATTGAAAACTGACTAACACCTCCCTTTAAAGTGTGGTACCAAACTTTGTTTCCTTGCTCTCTTCTTGCCACTCCCCTTACCCATATTCTCCAACCTCTTTCTTCTTGAACACCACCTACAACAAATTCTAACAAACTGCAATTCAAGATAATTATGAGACTTCAATATCTATGTCTTTTCTTTTGTCCCAAATTACATAACAATAATAATAGTTACATTCCGCTTATTACTAATGTCTATGTGTTGTATGAGACTAGCATTAGCCAAGCTAGGACCGGTAGGAAGGAATTCCTTGAATGCTGTGAGCACCAAAATCGGTAGCCTAGCAGAGCCGGGGTAATATTGGAGCGCTTTGAGCACCTTGCAGGGTGGATATGTGCACTATATAAATATCCAATATTACTATTATTATAAGGTGCTCTGGCGTTCAAGGAAATTCTTCTCACCGGGTACCCATTAGCATCACCTGAATGGAGATTGTGTCAAAGTTGCTACATTATTTAATACCTGTAATCTCTGGAAGCCCACACTGAACTTGGCTTGTTCTTGTAGCTTGATCAGAGCCTCATTGAGAGACTGGAGTCCAGGGTCTACTGCTACCATTCTCTCCTCAGCACTAGCAGCCTCAGGTAACATCTCAACTACTTGCTGTAGCATGCTCACAGAGTCCAGAATCTTCTTGCACATACAATCCTATAGAGTAGCAAAGATAATCACATGAAAGTTATTCTCTTTCATCACTGGCAAACCTAAGTAAATAACAGTAATCTTTTACATAAACAATCTTGAAGAGGCAATGATTTCATTCCCCTTTCTGCACTGGCAGGTTTGACAAAGCATTTCAGCTACTTCATGTAGCACGTTCACCTAGTCTTAGATCTTCTTACACATATAAATAGAAGCAGACTCAGGCAACAACTCAACTACTTAATGTAACATTCTCCCTAGTCTTAAATCAAATCCTCAGGAGTGAGAAACTACTACTGATGAGACACTTTATCTGTAAAGACATGATTTCTCTAGATAATAATTTGAACTACCAATAATCTTCATAGATAGTACAGCATATTACTCATCCATAAAGGGACACCTTCTCTATTAGGACATGATTTGTATTGACAAACACACAGTCCTCCCTATCTATAAAGGTAGTGCAGTACATGTTACTCACCCATGATGGGACACCTTCTCTGTTAGGACATGATTTGTATTGACAAACACATAGTCCTCCCTATCTATACAAGTAGTTCAGTACATGTTACTCACCCATGACGGGACACCTTCTCTATTAGGACATGATTTGTATTGACAAACACATAGTACTCCCATAGAGATATATACTTAATAAGGCTAGAGTGCGGACTCGTCATACGCGCCCGTTCAAAGCTCTGTGCGCGCATGGAGCGCGGTCCGCCATTACTAAGGAGGGCACAACTTCGAGAAATACCCGGATGTTCCCTTCGAAACTGTGCTACTGATAAGCAATGTGAAGCTTTATTTTTCGAGTTGATTTATCGGTTTTCGAGTATGAAACGTTATAATTGTGGTATTTTGCATAATGCATGAACCCTACTCATGCCTCAGTCATGGTATCTGGTGTAGGTCAAGATTAATTACGGGTGTTATGGTGAGGTAAAAGGGACACAAAAAGTTATTTATATTTCAGTATATCTTCAATTTTTCTTCCTCTTTGTCAATATAAAACTGCGATATTATGACATCAAATATTACTTGGCTTTCAACCAATCAGAATAAAGCATTTGGGACTTGTATTTGATATTTATGTCATGATATTAACCAAAGTTTTATGCTACAGGGCCAATGCCGGGGGTCAATGTTTCTAATTCAGTTATTATGAGAGCCAGGGTTTATTGATTTAAAACGCTTTAAAGGTTATATATTCATTTTATGTTTATGGCTATTATAAACAGATTGATACTTATAGATTTGGGATAGAGATGGGTATGTAGATAGCTAGACACATAAATAGATGGATAGATAGATATAACATAGAAGGATAGGTAGATAATGGAAATGCAGATATAGGACGATACTGAAGATAGGAAGAGGGGAAAGGAAAGAATTATACACATTTATTTAAAAAAAATTATGTTATTTACTCATCCAATCATTCATCCATCCATCCAAACATTCTTTTTCTTCTTCTCTCACTCATTTTATATCAAATTCACACCTTATGTCTTTCACCTAATCTCTATAAAATTTCTATATGTCTGAAAGAATAATTCAATTTTTTACAGTTCACTATAAATATATATGAATATTCTTTAAAAACAGCTGATCATTGATGTAATAATTATTTATTCACATCACCTTTTTTCTCCATAAATAATATTCTCCTTGATACAGTGTATTTCTTATTTTCTTCATCAACCAGTTTTAGAGAATAAACTTATAATTCAATTTGAAGGAAAAAAATGAATAAATGAACCTTTTATTACCACACGGCACACGTGTGTTGATATTCTACAGCATAGGCATTTAAGTTTTGACATTTTATTATACTGCAATAATACAACACAATTGAAAGGACAGACATTGCAAAAACAACACCTCAGATTTTAGCCCCAAATTTACTGTCACGGATCATAGGCAACACAACCACGACAAATTGATTCGCCACCAAAGACAAGCATTACACATCCCAAAACCGCCACAATAACTCCCAAAACATAAATGTCAGGAGGCCAATGTCTATGTGTCAAGATGTCAGCGATAACGAACACTTTATTAACTAGTCTTGGCTCCAAGCGCACGCAGGCGCGTTACATTTACTAATAATACAAAGACATTTCATCGAGTAATAAATGCAAACCAGAAAAAGTAATTGAGCATATATATTCCAAGTCACCTGTATTGCTATGAAGAACTATAATTGAAGAGACTTACATCTCAGGATACTGCACTACACTATTCAGTGAAACCTCATAGTAACATGGTCTTTTGACATCATTATTCATCAGGTATAATAATAAATTTGAAACTGATTACCCTCAAATGTACACAGTAGATACAACAAGCCAAAGAGTGCACAATCTTATGGGTTTACATCTAGTGACATTATTCCATATAATTGTTCTGTTATCAAATCTCTTCAAAAGCAGTTTTCCATTTTGGAACAAAATTCAAACCTATGTACAAAACGATCTATGGGTGTGTATATGGTGTGCAACTGTGCATTACACAAGCTTTTCAATTGCAACACATCTGTGAATTCTTCTCGTTTATTGAAAATGGGCTCACTTGATGTGAATTTCTTGCTTTTCATCTTTAATGATGTAAATCACTTGGTTGAGAGCAATCCAGACAATGTTATAAAAAAAGGTCTACATGTTTATCTCAGGTTATCCATACTGTACCTGCAGAATCAAAGCACATGTAGAGTGCAAATAATTTGCAAAAGTTATAGCAACTGAATCAGATACAGCAGGTACAATTATGAAGCTTATAGAGTAAATATTCAAATACAGTGTACCTCACAACAACTCAAAATTCAAGTACATTTTGTTTAACCCCTAATTTAATCAACTCTTCTAAGTTCCACTTTAGTTTGCCTTCGTGTAAAGTTAACAAACAGAAAATTATGGTTAGGTTGTGCAACTGTCACAATGTGTCCCAAGAATTTTATTTCATTACACAGAACAAAAGTCTCAGATTGTTCTGTTTTTTTAAAAGATTATTGAAAGCTCTCTCCAGTTTTAAACGGCTTCACAGTCAATCATCCAGTGGATAAGCTATGCAGACAAGAGGCAAAATATAAAAGACTGATCTGTCTTTGTAGTTTGTACGAATGAAGTTCTATGTTTTGGTTTTTTTTCCTGAAAATGCGTTCTCTCCAAAGTTGTGTTGAAGTAGGTCAAGCTGATCCTGGCTAATGAGCTTGCTTTCGTGGACTTCCTGCAAGAGAGTCCTGGTTTTTCCATCTCTCCTGTTTACCTTGTTTCACCACTTGAAGCTGTTTCTTGGCATCCTGCACTTGCTGTCTGGTTATATTCAGTTTCTAATCAACTCAGACAGAAAAAGAATAGTCATGTTCTTTTGTAATGTCATAGGGTTTCTTTGGAGGCACGGGAACACTTTCGGATGTTGTACATGGTTTTGCTGGGAGTCTTGAGCCATGGGTCTGTTTATAGGGAGGATGTCAAAGGGAAAGACAGTAGGCACAGCTCTAGGAATGAGATGTGGTGTGTAACATCCTTTCCTCTCTTGAGTGTATTCCTGCATTACAATAAAAGCAAATGGAAACAATAATGAGTTTTTTCTCATAACATGACAATTGTTCTACTATTCATGCTATTTCATGTGATTTTTAAGACTGAAACTGAAAGCAGCTTCCAGCCAAATAAATAAAATAATAATGTCAGCAAGTCATAAGCAAATTTGATAGAAATAGTGTAGTGTGCGGTGGGATTTTTAGGCTTGCCTAGCCTAGTTGGATAACTCCTGTGATGTGAAATATGGCAGGCTAGCCTGGCTTAGACCAAAAGCTTCAGTCTCTCTATATCGTCGGTTGTTCTACTGAGACTGCATCTGGCTCCACTAGACCTCTGATTATATTATGGGGAATGTCAACAAATGTCAGTTTTATTAAAGAAATGACCCATATCAGACGGTTATTTCTGTCTAACCTGGCTTTGCTTTTCAGGCTTTAGAAATTAGAGACTAGAGTTTAGATCTAGAGTCTAGAGTCTAGATCTATCATCTAGCTCTAGTCTAGTCTAGTTAAAATATAAAGAAGCTGACATTTGATTTTTAATTTATCTTGAAATTAGATAAGATCAAATTAATTATATCATTTTATTCTAGACTTTCCTTTAATAGAATCAAGCTCATGGAGTTATATTTCCGAGTTGGACTCTCTGACTCTTGGAGTTGCGAGCGACTCCAGCGCAGCAGAATTTTCCCATCACCATCCCCAGAACCTTAACCCATGCCTGCCCCAGCCCGGCGGGCGTGGACTGGCGCGCTCCGCTGCTGCAGGAGCTGCCGTGGCTTGTCATGAGACAACCCGGGTACAGACTACAGTCACTGCATAAACTACATTTTTAGCTCTAAAATCTCCTTATTAATCAACATAACATTAAGAAGAACTTACTTGTGAAATATTATGCAGTTCCCTTTCTTTCTTCGGTTCGAACATCCAAATGCAACGCACGAACCTGGCTTCTTCAATTTTTCCACGTATGTTGTGCACAGTATCTTGTTGGGTCGTCCGTTTTTCTGCCCTCCTTAGTAATGGCGGCCACCGCTCCAGCTCGGAGCAGCAATTTGAGCGAGTACGCCCTCTAGTGTTTAGTAGTATATATCTCTATGAGTACTCCTTATCTATACAAGTAGTGCAGTACATGTTATTTACCCATGATGGGACACCTTCTCTATTAGGACATGATTTGTATTGACAAACACACAGTCCTCCCTATCTATAAAGGTAGTGTAGTACATGTTACTCACCCATGATGGGACACCTTCTCTGTTAGGACATGATTTGTATTGACAAACACATAGTCCTCCCTATCTATAAAGGTAGTGCAGTACATGTTACTCACCCATGATGGGACACCTTCTCTGTTAGGACATGATTTGTATTGACAAACACATAGTCCTCCCTATCTATAAAGGTAGTGCAGTACATGTTACTCACCCATGATGGGACACCTTCTCTGTTAGGACATGATTTGTATTGACAAACACATAGTCCTCCCTATCTATAAAGGTAGTGCAGTACATGTTACTCACCCATGATGGGACACCTTCTCTGTTAGGACATGATTTGTATTGACAAACACATAGTCCTCCCTATCTATAAAGGTAGTGCAGTACATGTTACTCACCCATGATGGGACACCTTCTCTGTTAGGACATGATTTGTATTGACAAACACATAGTCCTCCCTATCTATAAAGGTAGTGCAGTGCATGTTACTCACCCATGATGGGACACCTTCTCTGTTAGGACATGATTTTCCAGGTAAACATACTCCATTCATCTCCCAATCTTCATAGATCCCATTTGACACACCAGTACTAGGGCTAGTGGGGCTTGTACATCCACTACCTGAGCTTAGTACGCTACTCCTCTGGGGTGGCTGTAAACAAATATTTATACATTATCAGTTAAACTGTACTGCAAAAATAATTATCCTTTCAGGTTGCAGGGTATCTGAAGCCTGAACAACTTTTTTGGGCCATTATTTACACAAAAAAAGAGAAGAAAAATAGTGGCAGTCTGTAGTTCTAATAGGAAACATAATTGCCAATATCATTAATATTACAAGCTTTATTGCAGTTACAAAAACTACAAAACGCAGCTGCATGCATCATTTCTCTGTCAAGCAAACCTAGTCACATTACATCTATCTTACAAAATCTCCATTGGTTGCCCGTAAAGGAACGTACAATCTTCAAAATCCTTCTTTTAGTTCATCAAATTATGAATAGAACTGCTCCTGAATACAACCATTCTTTAGTTAACCTCTACCAACCCACACCTACCCTCCAATCTGGTCATCTACACATACCACTTTCAAAGAAATCTTGGGGGAACAAGCTTTTGCTCATGCCAGACCAGCCCTGTGGGCTTCACTTCCACAGGAGGTGAAAAACTGATCTTCAACGTCTTTTAAGAGCAACCTTAAATCCCATTTGTTCAATTTTGCGTATCAAAGACAGACATTCATTCATGTTTTCATTTTTGTATTGCTTTCTTTCTTATGTAAATGTTCACAATCCCTTTGTCATGATGTAATGTGTTCCCTAATATTTTCAAACGCCTTGAGCGCTTAATTAGAATAGATAACGACGCTATATAAATCTCAGGTATTATCTAATTGTATTATTTACACCTCAATAAATTTAATAAAAAAACGAAATGTACTCAACTGAATATCAATTACTTACTATGTTTGAAATCAGAAACATTGTGATCCTAGTATTTAACTGCCCTGGATTAACTGAACAGATCACATGAAACAAATCAAACACTCCCGTTTTTAAATTTTGAAACAAGACTTGTTACTTACTGATGAAACACTGATGCTGCTGTTGCGTGAATTACCAGCGCTCCCATTGTCGGTGGTAACAGGATGATGGTGACTTTTATGATGCTTGCGATCTGACTTGCCTTCAGCCTTAGTAGCATCTTGGTATGATCCATGGGTCTTCTGTAATGCTGGGACTACACACTGCTCTAAGAGTAAGGTTACCTGCGAGATCAACACACACAGAAACATATACATGGGACTGGATTGTAAATCAATGAGAATGATCATACTTGAGTCTGTCTGGTACATGGAAAGCAGATAAGGTTACATTATGGAAGATGATATGAAAGGATCTATGGTGGACAACTCTAATATACATTGTTATTTTCAGTAAATTTCTCTGGTTCTGGTGATTTTTTTCCTACTTCTCTCTTTGGGATGACACAATTTTCATAAGTTTTGTTTTACATTACATATTTTACAACAAAATCCATTAAGCGATGAAATGAAATAAATAAATAGGCCAAAACAAGGAAATGCAATATATATAACACCTATTCACACAAGGAATAAGGATGGCAATGATACATTAGTTCTGCAAATCAGTTGATCATCTGATATTCTATAAAATATTATAAGAACAAAATCTGACAAGCTTTAGGGGAACTTTCTAGACATACATGTACAATTGCTTTGTCAGAGTAGCAACTATAAAGATGTATCACAGCAAGTGACATTGTGTAGGAGCCAATTCAGCTCTCAACACAAAATGAACACACAATGCATAGTCATTGATAACACTGCATCAGGGTACCGGTACATAGAAGTTTAATTTAGACTTGTTGTTATTCTGCCTATGAGGATGTAACTTGAATTTGCCTTGCTTCTTTTACAATATCCTGAAAACCTTATTTAAAAATTCTTACCATAAGCCTCCTAGTAATTTTTTATTTATGGATGTATTTAATAAGTCCATGCCTCAAATTTTAAAATTTGTTACAAGTGGAATATTAGTATATACATGAATGTTATATGCTGGCTTCTTGTTATTAGTTGATCTTTCTTGAAGCTCAAATGCTTGACTATTCAATCATCATGAAAAAGACATTCTATATTATGCGCTTGAGTACAATACAATGTGCCTCCTGCCACCCCCTTCCAACCCTGTTCAAGTAAACTAGTTTGCATTATAAGCCAACTGTATATGGTTTAGTCAAATGACAGGTATATAGGTTACATTGAAGAAAATACATTACACCTGACTGATTCATTACATGTTATATATATGTGTGTGCTAGTGGAGATATGTATTCAAATTAAGGTTAGGATCCATTAGTAATATGACACAAACTAAGCAATAAATGAATATTTGTACATAATAACAGAATCAATCAACACTTTTGGTAATTTCATCCATAGAGGTATTTTCCTTTACTGATTCGCTGCCATCTATTTTCATTTGAATCATTTCACTGAAGATGGCTCTTGAAGCTTAATATTGAGTTTGTAATACATAAAAGATCACAGAGGTAGTTGGTTTGATGTACCCCTTTAAAGGGATCCAGTAACTTTGTCTCAGATTCTGAAACAAAATCCTGGATTTAGCTCATGCTGCAATGATAATTATAAACCTTTAGGTCAGTCAGGAACCCCATGACTTTTACAAGCCGATCACCTGTCTAATTATCACAATATGTATGATTGGAATTACAAATTTTGAAAACCGTTTCCTAAACGGTTTTCATAACAATACAGTCTATTGGGGAAAACGAGTATGGTAAAACCGGTCACTCAAAGATTTTTACTTTTTTGAGGCATTTCTTGATCATTTTGAAGCACGATTTTTGTAGGGCTTCAATATTACACCATATTACAGACACTGATAACACGTAAGGTCGTGCATCTCGGATTTAACATTGTTAAACGATGCCTTTAAATAAAGACATTCTTAAAGGAGCTAGCCACTGACTGCTCTCACTTCAAGTATTATGCAACCTAGATTTACTTCCAAGTTGGAGCATATTAAGCTGCTCATGGCTTTAGTTCAAATGTTTCAAGTTAGTTGTGCAGTGAAAGCTGAACTGAAAGTCGATGAATGAAAGATTTTACTTGACACAATAATACTTTTTAACATGATGTTAAAATGTTTAATAGGTACATACATTGGCATGCTAGGTTGGGATAACATAGAAAATCTCTGACATTAATCATTAACACCTTATAGACCAAACCAATTGGAATCCAAATCAATTGAAGACAAGGATGAAATATAAAGGGTTTATAAAACCATATTCAACACTCTCTCACTAGGTATACAATGAAGACACTGAATTAGTACAAATGGGATTACACGCTTAAGCATCATGCAAAAAGAAACACATAGATTTAGAGACCTACCTCTCTGCAGAAGATGTTAATCTTTTTTTTTTTTTTATCCCATCATGATAAACAAGAAACATTGAAATACAAGTTAGATTAAATAATCCCATTGACAAGTCCACAAGTGAATAAAATTGAAATCAATAAAATATGCAAATTGTGCATTCCATTTTCAAGTGTTACATACAGCACATTACTTAAAGAATTTCACATATATACATGTGTATCATATGTTAACACAGTAACACATTAATCAATACGTGTATGCTATCTCAATTGATTATACACACACACATAATATGAGCTGGTATTTGAAGACCTGTTATGAATGTACACATGTGCATTTATCTAGTATACTTGGCATTATCTTGAATTGTATTCTATACAACTTTTATTCAAATACACACTGTACATCGTTATACTTTTCTTGCAAATCTGAAAAACTGGATATTATAAGCATCCTATACATACCAATATCATGGTCTCTAGTTAATAACAAACAAGGAAGAATGCCTAGTACCATTTCACACAGTGCAATGCACAATAAATATGCTTGGATTTTTGTTAATTTGAACATTCTATGCATACAAGACATTTTAAAAGCCCATTGAGGAGAGTATAAACATTCTTGAATATAAGAAACTATCTTGTATCTATTACCTGTTCAATGAGAGCCTGTGTCATATGCTTCATGGTGGTGACATCTTTGTACTTGGCAGCTAAGCTAACGTCTTTACAGCACTGATCAACCTTCTCTCTCAGCTCAGACACTCTGGTTAACACATCAGCTGCTTGGGAGGATAGGCAATGATTGTTGCCAACACTGCCGGCAGGGTTGGAGAAGAACGAAAGGTTTCAAAACAATTATCAAGAATACTGCAAACGAGGAAATATTTACGGTGTAATTTTCGCAGATTTCGCTCTGAAATTGGCGTCCGCGAATTTTAGAACCTGCGAAAATATAAACATGGCTTCTTTTGCGTGTCCTGAACGGGCTGAATTTGGTTCAACGCGAATTTAAGAACCAGTGAATATGTTTTGGGGTCGCTCAGCGCGAAAAATTAATCGCGGGAAAATAACAGCGTTAACAGTATTTGGGAAATTCAGTATGGGGGAGAAATGATCTCAAATGAAGTACTGGCTTCACTTTATCAAACTTGTTGAAGAACAGCTGTGGATTTTTTTCTCTTGGAAAAGTAATGATTCAAATTCATTTTGAATTTAATTTAAATTAACTTAATATCTGCAAAGGAATCTTTAAGCTGCTAATTTATAAATTTCAGGAAAATTTCTTTCAAAAATTAAATAATATTTCTCACAGATTTGAAAATAATTGTTTCTCAGATCTATTTATTTACCTTATGAAGAAACAAACTATGAAGACAATAACATGAACAATCCTTTTAATTTCATAGTATATCTAGGTAAATTATGGCTGTCTACAAGATATCCTTCATTGATGATTGAGTTCAAGAGACGAGATGTATATCGTTGCCTGGCTAGGAGAAGGGCGTTAGCTCGAATTTCAGGTAAAAAAATGAAGCATTAGCACTAAATCGTCTCAAACTTTTATAAAACTGACTTATTTCCGGGAATTTTTTTTTGTGTCTTTTAAGTTTTAAAACAATTTTCGGGACGGAAAGCAGTTTAAATATCAAACAAATCTTTAAATGTGTATAATTCGAAAAGTAATTTTCTGCCCGCCGGCCGACGATATATCTTGGTACTCACAGTCTACTTTGTTCATCTGCATACTGCTGGAAAAGTCTTCTTAGTCCTCCATGTTTGAACTTCATTGTGTGTGCACAGGGGGCTCCAAAGGTGATGGTGTTATATACAACTCCTGTATAGAGGATGCAGAATATATCATAGAACGGTCTCTTATATTTCATTGAGCAGAATAGGTAGTGTTGAAAGAGACTTGTAACCACTTCGATTGATTGGACATCAAAAAGAATTCAGGCGAGTTCAACAAAATATCTTAATTTGATAGAAAGTATCCAAAATTATTATATAAAAAGTCTCCAAGAAGATGAATTTACAATGCAATTTTGCAATAGATTACACTTGCATTGATATCCTCAAATACAATGTCCAAGAATATTTTGAATTAAAAATGAAGTCTTTTACATAGTGCCCCTAAATCTTTCTGATATTGAAAGAGGTTACCAAATCTCAATCAAAAGGAATAATACCTAATTAAAACAAGGGAAACGCTCTCGGCGGTCTCGCCTGCATATTCTGCAATTCAATATGATAAACCAGAATGTCAATGACGTAGCGCTCATCCGCATCTCGCAACAACAAATATCGTAAATTTTATGTGGTACACTTTTGAACTGGTCAAAAAATAAAAATTTGATGCCCTGGAAGGGACATAATTTGATTTCATTTGCATAAAGTACCATAAATAATCAATGGAGCAAAATCTCACAATTCTGTGTAGAAGTTTAGTGTTCCAAATTTAGCTCTACCAGATAAGGCAAACCAAATCAAAATCGGTCAAGAAATGAGGGAAAAGAAGCAATTTTTGTTATTTTTGGAATAAATTTGCATAAATTACCATAATTAATTAATGGAGAACAATTTCAAAATTCTGTGTAGAAGTTTAGTGTAACAAAGTTAGCTCTACGATATAAAGCAAACCAAATCAAAATCGGTCGAGAAATGAAGGAGAAGAAGCCTTTTTTGTGATTTTTGAATAAATTAGCATAAATTAGCATAGATAATGAATTTCACGATTCTGTGTAGAAATTTTAAATCCCCCTCCTAGCCCTATCATATGAAACAATCAGAATCAAAATCAGTTGAAAAATAAAGAAGAAGAAGCATTTTGAAAATCTTGATGTTGATGCCACAACAAAGTCTAAGTTTGTTGACCTTAAATGACCTTTGACCTTAACTTAGTGACCTGAAATTCTACTCACATGATTGGGGAGACTTGATAACCCTATAGTCCAAGTTTCATTGACTAAGAACTTATACTTTCAACATTATATCAAAAATTCAAAAACTTAACCTTAGGTTAAGTTTTCGATGATGATACATAAATTAAAAAAAAAAAAAGGTTTTCGATGATGATGCTACAACATAGTCCAAGTCTGTTGAACTGAAATGACCTTTGACCTTGAATTTGTGATCTGAAATTCTACTCACATGATTGGGGATACTTGATTACTCTATAGTCAAAGTTTCATTGACTAAGAACTTATACTTTAAACTTATATCAAAAATTCAAAAACTTAACCTTAGGTTAAGTTTTTGATGTTGGCGCCTATGTCTCGCTTTTTGCTACGCAGGCGAGACAAAAACTATTTATAAAAATATATGTTCTCTAACAGGTATTCAAACAGTTATTACAAGCAATCTCATATCTTGCTTGGGACTAGCCTGTAAATATACTCACATCATTTTGACTGGAAATACCTTGTTTTATTTAATACATTAATCATATACTTCATCACATGGATCTCTGAGGAACAGAAGTCTGATATATCGAGGGATCAGTGACACAAAGATGTAACTCCATTTCAGCCATTTTGAGAAAAAGTGGTTTATGTGTCACTGAGCACTTGGGCCTGGAAGAGTTAAGTCTATGTTTCACTAGCCATTGGCTGCAATGGGGTGTTGAGTGGAGTAAAGTCTTTGTGTTTCCTGGAAAGTCCAAATTTTCTGATCATTTTGATATCAAATACTCATTTTGGCAAAATATGGAGTTACTTCTTTGTGCCACTGAACCCTCGATATATAAACATACCTTTTGAGCCTTGCTCCTCAACTCTCAATCTCTGAAGATGAAGATTGGTAGGTACAAACTCAAGTCTCTTATCAGTCTTCTCTGTGCTCTTCTTGAATAACCTAAGCTCTGCAAAAAATAGGAATTAACAATTTATTACAGGTGACAGTCATCTATAAATAGCAGGGGTGATAGTGAGCATATGATTTGACGACTGGGAGGAATAGAAAAACACAAGTTTCATTTCACTCCTATGCTCTTCTTTAATAACTGTACCTCTGTCACAGATAATAATCAGGATCCAAAACTGATATTGTTCCTTATACAATGACTTCTATTTAACATTCTTCAATGGTATACAATGGAGAAGAAGAAAAAAACTGTCATATGAAACTGATATTAAATCTGACAAATCTACTGTGAATTAATTTTATTTCAATATTGTGTGTCATGTGAGCGTGTCAGAATGGGTTAATGTGACCATTTCCACCACAATCTGCCGTAGCTTCTAGATGGATGTATGGAAAAGCTGGATATCATAAAATGGGTGCATTAATCAGTACTGTCTAAGTTCCAGGGCCATTAGAACTCCAGTTTACCTATCCCTAATATTTTCTAATCATTTCAACACACAGTTTACTCACAGTGTACCAACCCTCCTATACATGATCGTGCACTGTCTTATCACACCTGGAATACGTGCTTCAATTTAACCACTTCCTCTTCACATCACTCAACGTCACTCCGCATCAAATGTTGGTTGCTATGACAACCATTAAACATGACAGGAAGGGGAGGAGCCCCCCTTACCACATGCAAACATTTGAATGTTAATCTGCAGGGGGGCTGTGGGGTGCTGTGGGGGTCTGAGCGGAAGGGTACGGTAGTGGAAGTGAAGGGTTCCTGTATTGGAAATGGGACACTCCGTGAGGGATAAGGGTGGCTCCTAGTTTAAACCTGTCTACAATGATGTAATGCTGCACTCTAATAGCAGTTTGCCTAATACCTTTAAAGGTAGTGATCATCATTTCAGGCTTTCTCATCCTCTTCTTTTCTTCATCAAAGCTGGATGTCTAATTACAATTTCTATACTATCAGTATGAAATAATGAACATGTTTATATAACATCGCACATTAAAGAAAACTAACAGGTGAAACCTCTTCACAATAAAGTAAATGATGATCATAAGACTCTACGTACTCCCATTTTCCACTTGACTCTCTTTTTGATTATATTTATCTAAAAGAGAATACATTTTGAACACTTAAGTCAGTGATATAGTTTACCCTTTTTCTGCATCTTCTTTAGTTGATCCAAGGATTGTGTGTACTGTTCTATCATAGTAACATGTTCAGCCATCACAGCTCGACCTATTCTATCCCAGTCTTCTGAGGGCTGTAGAGGGTGAGATTTCAAAGAGAGAGAGAGGGAGAGAGGTGAGGAGGGAGAGAGAGAGAGAGAGAGAGAGAGAGAGAGAGAGAGGGAGAGGGAGAGAGAGAGGTGGAGAGGGAGACACAGAAAGAGGAAGTAAGGGAGGATTGAGATAGAAGAAGATAAAGGAACATAGAGAGTGCCAGAAACAAATGGAGATGGAGAGAGAGTGAGTGAGATAGGGAGGGGGTGGAGCAAGGGAGAGGAGAGGGAAGGGGGTAATAATGTGTAAAAGGGAGACAGAGAGAAGGAGAGGAGAGACAGCGAATTGGAATAAGGGAGAGATTTAGATAGAATAAAGGAAGATAGAGCGCCAGAAATAGATGGAAATGGAGAGAGAGATAGATAGAGAGTGAGATATGGAGGGGAATGGAGCAAGGGAGGGGGTAATAGTGTGTTTAAGGGAGACAGAGAGAAGGAGAGGAGAGACAGAGAATGGAGGTAAGGGAGAGATTGAGATAGAATAATAATAATAATAATAATAATAATAATAATATAGAGTATTTGTAATAAAGGAAGATAAAGAGAGTGCCAGAAATAGACGGAGATGGAGGAAGAGAGAGAGAGAGAGAGAGAGAGAGAGAGAGTGAGATAGGAGGGGGGATGGAGCGAGAGTAGTAACATGGTGAGATGGGGAGTTACATTGCAGAATAAAGAACAGGATGTGAGTGAGAGGGGAAAATAAATATGAGTATGATAAGATTAACACAATATTTCTTCTTTTTTTTTCATTTCATTTCGTTTATTTCCATTTCCAACAAAAGAAATAAAGTACATGGGATTGCATTGTACTTAGTAAAACAATGAAACTCAACAATATATTTGTAATTGGTCCACAGTGTATAATAGGCATATAAAACAGGTTGGTCATGGAGGGGACTGCTGAAAAGCTGGGCTTGTAGATTGCAGCCCCCTATAACTTATAGTTGCAAAAATAGTATATCAATAATAAAGGAACGCACAAATACATAAACCAATAAAACATAACATAGAAGGAGTGAAAGGGACAAGGAAAGAAGGGAGACAACGAGAGAGGGCAGGGCTCTTACCTATAACACACACAACACAACACGGGCCGAATATTCTCATTTTGCCTTCCTAGTTATAAGGGTTAACATCAATAAGATTAAACAAAATTCCATTAAAGGTTCATGCAAGTGGTTGGCAATATATTTAGGTTTGAAAAGTCTTCAATTCTCACTACTTGTTTTTGAAACCTTTTGATAGATCAGTGAATCCACACTACCGAAACCAGCGATATGAAACTTGCAAGACACACTTTAAAAGGTACGAATAGAGCAGTGCATATTAGTCTCTCATATCACGCTACATGTACTTTTGTGTGGCTTTAAATAATAATAATAATAATAATAATAATGGTGGCTTCTTATAAAGCGCACATGTCCGTCACGTTGTGACGCTCCTGGCGCTGCCCCGAATATGACATACCCTGATTAAACCATGACAAACATGTACATGTAATGTAACATACTATTTACAGTAATTGTAGAATCAATGTGACAGTACTTAAAGGTAAAGACCAGTTATGGTCATGCGATTGCATTGTGAAAGAAATGTTGTGGAATCGACCAGAAAAGGTTGATCATCTAGCATTTAAGTATTGGTGTGTACTGCAAGGTTCTGGAATCATCAAAATGATAAGAAATTTGGCCCAGTCTTTGTAAAGTTACAAGCACTGTACACAGAAAAATGTATACGGGACTACGCACACGTGCGCGACACGTGTGTTTATCTCACACACCAATAGATAAACTAATTTACCAAATATATCAATTAGTAGGCGGTTTCCCAGCAAAATTTTTATCATCATGTATTAGTCAAAACATACTCTTTCACATGATTGGTAATAAGAGCTTCCATTTCCTTTTTTGAAACTGGGGCGTTTCCAATACTGGTCTATACCTTTAAACATACTCTTTCATAGTCACACTCTTGCTACATGAATAATCATAACTTTTGTCACAAACTTCTACAAAGTTTGTATGTGCATATATCACTTCTTACATATTTCACTTTCACTAAAACATCATTCTAAGATAACATGTAACTCACCAAGGCAAACACTGAAAGTTCTTTTAACTTCCTCTTCTCCTCATCTAAATATAATTCTCTGCAAAACAAGAGAGGACACAATTAGAAAAGAATAAAGATGAAAATATTTCCTGCTCAAGCAGAATTTCACCATTTATTTCAGTAATATGTAACAATCAAGCTCGCTTAATTGGGAATAGTATCAGGATCTGCTTATTACAAAAATATCATTGCCAAGTGAGAATTCCTTCCTCCTTGCCATATACAACATAATACAACATGACTATACTTTAAAAGAAAGGCTTTCTGCCAAAAAGGTATTATATTATTTCAATAACAGGACAAATGGAATCATTAAGCTACATGGCCACAAAGAAAACATTAGATAAGATATTTTCTTTGAGGATTGGAATTAGAGATGAATTACCTCAAGTTTCATTTCATGTTATCTGGCAAGAAAATGATTACAATAAAATAGATTCTCAAGAAAAACAAAGAGAAGAGGAAAAGCTATGTGGAATAATGCTTACAGCTAGATGCATGATGGGGGGGGGGGGTTAATGTTTTCTATCAAACTACCTAACTCTAATTGAAAAGGAAGAAAGAAAACAAATTGAGTAAATGTTCAAATGATCCTTACAACATCTTCTGTGGAATGTAGAACGAGAGTTTGCTCTCCGCCATGATCTCTTCCACCTGTACTATCTTTCCATCTGGGTTGAGATAGCGATACTTCTTATTACACACACAGCCATACAGACCCTTTGAGATGGAGTCTCTAGTAGATGGGGTATGGAGTGTGCCTAAGCGAGGTGGGTGCAGAGTGGTGGGTGATGGGGGTACCTGCAGTGCAAGATGAACAATGTTGAATAATATGGTCCATGGATAATTTAGCAATAAATAAACACTCTCTAATACAGTCAAACCTGCTTTAGTGACCACCTGTCTAACAAAAACCACATTCGTTGTTTCCCTTGAAAATGGCTTCTCATTGAAACATGTACTAAAGGAACCTGTTTACAAAGGCCACCTGTCTACAAAGACCACTTTTTGTGTTTCCCTTGGGCGGTCGCTATAGATAGGTTTGACTGTACTACATTTAAAACTTAATTAGTTGAACTTACAACTTGCTACACAAGTAAACCCATAAAGGTAGAAAAAAACGAATTACTCTACAGGAAGACAATTTCCAGGTGAATCGAAAGATCGTGGTGATTTAAAACCTATTAAAATACCATCTCAATTGATCATTGATTATACAGCATTGTCACACACTCAAAATAACTGATAATGAATGAATTACAACTCAAGCCTATTTCATACATGTACATGAACGTAATCTGAAACCTATTAAAATACCATCTCAAATGATCAATGCAGCATTGTCACACACTCAAAATAACTGGTAATGAATGAATTACAATTCAAGCCTATTTCATACATGTACATGAACATGATCTGAAACCTATTAAAATACCATCTCAAATGATCAATGATTATCCAGCATTGTCACACACTCAAAATAACTGGTAATGAATGAATTACAATTCAAGCCTAGTTCATACATGATGTGCCAAACAAGGGTCTAAGTGAACTCATTTATCTCTCTGTAACAAGATAGAGCAATGTGAAGAACACTACACTCATGTAATATTACCATGCCCTCTTTACCACATAATGCATGTGAACGAGGCTTAAAGAGAAGGTTGAGTTCTGGAAAGAGGTAAAAAATAATTTGTGAGCGTTATCATTGTATTATGTAAATGTGGAAGAACATCAGATAAAAAATGTTCCCTGAAAAGCATGGCTCTTCAAATGCCTTAATATTCTAAATTATGGCATGTAACATCATAAAAATTGGGATGGATTTTTATGCCACATGTTTGTGTAGTCCCATATACATATTTCTGTGTACAGTGCTTGTTACCTTACCACGACTAGGCCAAATTTCTTATCACTTTGATGATTCTAGAACCTTACAGTACACACCAATACTTTTTTGGTAGATGATCAACCTTTTCTGACAGATTCCACAACGTTTCTTTAACAGTACAATCGCATGACCAGAACTCAACCTTATCTTTAAGTTGACATTTAAAGACTTGAAGAACTTACTCCAATGATCATATTACTGAGTGGATCTGGCGGGGTCACTACTTGAAAACCTCTCTCAGTTTCAGGAGACACACACTGATCAAGCTGCAGCAATTAAGTAAAAACAAAATAAAGAGTTCAAAACAGAAAGAGAGCAAAATGAAAGAAGAAATCTAAGAAGTTGACAAAAAGATTTGAACTCTTGTCTTTACTTTGATAGATCTTCAACTTTTGCTCACTGTAAAGTTTACAGATGTATCTTTGCTTTCATTTTCATTGCATGACCCGATTGAGGGTTGTTAGGAGGCATTCATTCATAAATATTTAAAAATAAAGAGTTCAAAATAGAAAGAGAGCAAAATGATAGATGAAATCTAAGAAGTTGACAAAAAGATTTGAAGTCTTGTCTTTACTTTGATAGATCTTCAGCTTTTGCTCACCGTAAAGTTTACAGATGTAAAAATGATATACTGTATTTTCATCAGTTGTTTTCAGGAAGGTAATTGGTTAATTTTCAGTCGAAACATATTAAATACACTCATACTGTTGAGGGCATTAATATAAGCTCCTTCGACCTGGGCCATATGAAAAAGAAAACTGCTTAAAAAACTTGAAATAACTGCCACTTTTTTATTTCAAAATTGCTTATAGACAATCAGTCCAATGCAATGTTGGTTGGTTAGTGTTTTTATGGCAATCAGTCAATTTTGACTATTATCATCAACAATTTTTTAAATATTTTTTTTAATCATATGTAATAATACAACTTTTTTGGTAGTTATAGTTTTAATATTTTTAATAATTGTTATATTTTGTTTTTAAAGATAAAACAGTATCATGCCAGGTTACCGAGTCCTGTCCGTTCTAAATTGGCACCGTCCGGACAAACCTGCTTGTGTTTTGTACAAAGGTTTCTGGGAAACAAGTTTCCCATGTCTCTCGGGTGCAGACACGGGGCTCCCTTTGGGATACCTCAATATCTTGAAACCATTTAAGTAAACTTATATCAATTCTAAATATGATGTGAACTTGTTATTGATAACAAGTTTGATTAAATAGAACCTGTAAGTCCTTATGACCTACCTCCCACAGCAGCAAACTGATGGTGCCACCGCAAGGTTTATCATCAGCACCGATGATGTTGAGTACAAGCTTAATGAAATAGAACCTGTATGTCACTATAACCTACCTCCCATAGCAGCAGACTGATGGTGCCACCGCAAGGCTTATCATCAGCACCGATGATGTTGAGTACAAGCTTAATGAAATAGAACCTGTATGTCACTATAACCTACCTCCCATAGCAGCAGACTGATGGTGCCACCGCAAGGCTTATCATCAGCACCGATGATGTTGAGTACAAGCTTAATGAAATAGATCCTGTATGTCACTATAACCTACCTCCCATAGCAGCAGACTGATGGTGCCACCGCAAGGCTTATCATCAGCACCGATGATGTTGAGTACAAGCTTGTTACCCGGAGCTGCGATGATGTCTTTGAAGGAACAGATGGCATGACCTATAGCACAATGCTGGTGGGACGATGAAGAGGAAGACAAGGAGGAGGAGGAGGAGGACGAAGAGGAGGAGGAGGTGGAGGAGGTTGAGGTGGAGGAATTTACACAGGTATGAGAGCATGACTAAAATGGTAGCACACACAGATATCAACCAAGTCAAGTGAAACAAGTTGGTTATCATTAATGATTGTTTTTCCCCATTTTTAATGAAACAGCAACCCGTTATAATGACAGCATAGAAAATGTATCATGAGAAGGATTTGAAGAGCAGATGAAAAGTAAATATAAAGAAAAAAAAACAACAAAATATAAGGAATACATATTTTTCAAAACATTATCTAAACATTTAGTGACTAGTTACTATGGATATCTATTCACAAATATCCTTCACCTTAGGTAGCTTACAGAAATGTAGTGGCACAAGAGATGCGTCCGGAACACAAAGGATGGAATACTTGGTAACGTACATGAATTAAAAGTTCATTTTGTGATTTATACATATTATGAATACCAATTTTAAGTAACATTAGGCCTTATCAATGAAGTACATGAATTTGCCAGCTCCCAATCTTTAAAAATATTCCACCTCTTCAAATGTATGTCATAAAGATATGATTTTCAACCATTATGCATTTTGAGTTCTGGATGCGTCTGATTGTGTCACTGCGTTTTGCTATTAAAGCTACCTAATTCCATTGTTACCACAAATAATAAACAAAACAAAAAACAAGATAATAATAACAAAAATAAGTGGTCTAATAAAATAAAAACTAGAAATATTCTTGCTTCAACATACTTTTGCAAAAATACAATAAAAAACAAAAGAATTTCAAAAAACTTTGAGTAGGCAATCACAAAAACACTTCTGGAGTATAACCCATGCAAGGAAATTTTCAAGCAATCTCTACCAGTTAAATAATATTGAAGATGATATCCTTGTATGCCTGACTGAGTGAAGTTTGCTCATATCGATCAACTTTAGTTTTGTACTGCAAGCATAAAATGGAAAGAGGTTATATCCTATCACTCATACTATGAAGATGATGCAGTCAAACATTTTTCAATGCAAACTTCTAGAACTGTACATAGAAGCTGGCTCTTCCTCCATGTTTGTCTTTCATTCTGACTAACAATGATACTCATACTTATACACTTAATTCTAGGATGGCATTCTACATCCCACACTGTGCAAGATCTACTGTATGCAAGATCATACACATGTACATCTCTAGGTATACTCTTAGAAGATTGATGCAACATGTCTCCTTCTCCCATTCTGGACCATGCAATCCTATGTCTGTGAAGTGCAACTAATATACAGTTAAACGTTTCTAAATCCAAACAATTGGGATTCTCAGCAGGAGTTTGTCTACTCTTGGTCAATGGACCAAGTCAATTTTGCGGATTGAAAGTATGTACCAACATACATGTAACTATGGGAACTATTTTGAACTCTTATTTAGGAGAAATGAACTTAGTATTCTTTTTCTAGAGCACGAAATGTATTTTGCATCGATGGAAATCCTGGCATCATCTATTAAAATCTTGATTAATTGACTACTTTCCAACTTACCGACTGGTTTGTCCTGTCTTCCACTGCATAAATATTAGCGCGTAACCTGGTGATGACAGCGATATTGCGACTAGTCTCAAAGACTACCGTTGATACAAAGAATGGATTAGATTGTTTATCAATGATCTCTGTTTGACCGCAGTTTAACCATCTTGTATCAGGCGGCGTCATACAGTTGATGCTTGCAAACACGCTAGGTTCATCGCCATTTGATTTCATAGGGAGATGATTGCAGGCTGCACAGGAAAAGTGAAAGGAGAACGAAGATAATCCATCAGTCTTGCTGTAGAAGTGTTTACAGCTACTCGCATGACTGAAAATACAGTACTTCAGGATTCTTTTCTTTCTATTTGGCAAACATTTCCTGAATGATTAGAGACAACCGACTATTCTTCATAGAGGCAGAAGGGTGCTATAACTCATAACACGGAATTAACACCTTTCTGGCTTTCAACTGATGACCAGGAACTGTCTAACATGCTTAAGATGTCTAATCAAGAGGTCATTGGTATTTTGAACTGACGACATTTGCTCTTGGAATTATTTCCTAAAAGATAATGGTTTACGACTTGGGTTATGATATAGAATTTCAGGTTAGATTGCAGGTTATGGTTTAATAGGGCTATGCTGAAGGTTAAAAGACATTAGAGTCTCTTAAAAGATTTATTGGAGGGAAAAGTAAAAGGTACCGGACCAAGAGGGAATCAAGAACTAAACTGGGAGGGGAACATTAAGACATGGCGTGGAACGACACTGCAAGAGTGTACTAGGGTGGCAGAAAAAACAGAGATTTGTGGAAAAGTGTTGCAATCAACATCCAAGCTGGGAGAAGATACCTTTATAGGTAGAAGGGTAGAAATTTGAATAGTGAGACAAAATGACTGCTGAGCAATTGTCATGGTATCTATTGGTATAAGACGAGCACTGTCAAAGCTCTGTCGATCAACAGTAATCTTCATATTGCCTAATTATAAACTCTGCATCTAGGTGATAGCCACTTACATATCGACATCTCCAGGACTGGGTCATTCTGCATCCCATCAGAGAGGTTACCAGGGTCAATGACCCCTGGTTGACCCTCACTAATGGGGTCACGACCTGTGCGCGCTAAGATCTGGATGCGAAGCTTCTGTAGCTGTACACGTAGCATCTCGTAGCTTGCCAGGCGTATCGCCGCTACCCACTCGTCTCTAAGTTCTGTGGAGTGTGCAGCAAAGTACTGGTTGTGTTCCTCTCCGACAAATTCTGCACAAAAAAAACAATCATTCCAATACAAACTATTGTTAGTTAAATGCTATACAATACATGTACAGTACCTACTGTATAAGAACAAGTGTTTTAACTAGGATATCCAGTCTAAACTGGTCTCTTCTCTGGTCTTTAGGCACCTTAACTACACTGTATGCACAACACCACCTAAAAACATTTCATATACTCAATAGTTGTTACTATATCAAGCAAGGCCCTATACAACCTAGAAAGAAATGCGTACTTGGTTTATGTAACCTCGCTAGACTCATGGACTACAATCACGTGATGGAAAAATGAATTTCCGGGTAGAGGTGAAATTTGATGCATTCATACCCACAATCAAAGTAAATAAACAAAAACAAACTGGAGCAATATTTCACATAACCATCATATTATCTTAATCGCTGGGAAATAATCTACATGGATAAGTTAACAATATAAAAACAATATCCCACACACTTCCTGGAATTGTTCACATTTATTGTATTATTAAGACCTTGAACTTTGCTCCTTGCATACATACATTACCTGTGAGAAAAGGTCCATGTAACCGGCTGCACATACATACAGTGTACATGTATACATTTTAAACAATCATATTTCTTTATAAGGCCTAAAAAGAAAAAGATGTTGTATCGCCCTTTGCGACTGACCCAAAATCTTGAAATCTATGGTCGACTTTTGAAAAAGTTTTTTTTTTACCGCTTTTTAGAAGAAAAAAATGTATTAAAGCATTTAAAACTGAGAAATATCAGCCCAAAGAGGGAGTAAAAAAAAAGAAAAGATTTCTGACCGACCACAAGGTTTTGGCAAGTAAAGGGCAATACAACATTTTTTTTTTAGGCCTAATGGGAATTCAAATCATAAGAAGCTACATTTCAGTATTTGATGATTCGCTATTCACCATCGCTTTTCAAACAACAACTTCTGTGAAGAATGAACAAATATTTGATTTCTCTTAAGAACCCTTAGGTACATGTAGCTATTTATACTTGAAAGCAAATATAATTAATAATCCTTTAGTGGAAATATACTAAGAAAACAAGGAAATCAAACAGCACTAAGTGCTCCATTCTATCTTATAATCCATGAACCTAAATAGTACATGTATATCAATGCCAGGGGTTCTTTCCCTCTTTAAAAGGAAGTGGTATTTTTCACTAGAAATGGACTATCTGTAATCAATGTTTGGAAATATGGAAATTCTGATTATCCCAATATGAGCATTTTTTTTGAAAATTACCTTCACTCATAGATCACCCCCACAATCAGTGTAAAGTGTATGTGATTCATGAAACAAGAAAGGAAAGTAGGCACTCATCATCCCGTCGTTACAGAACAATTCTCAATATGGTTGTCATTAAAAGGAGGTTAACACAATATTTTGTACTCATTGAACTGGTTGGAAAACAAACATAGGTTGATATCCTACTAATTACAGTAAGCTAATAGTAAATTGAGCAATTAGAGTAGAGCTAAATCACAATGACCCAATAGTCAGCATTATTAGTACATGTATTAACACATTTTTGAAAGCAACAAACTAAGCTAAATAAAATTTCCAAACCTAACCAGTTGGAGACATTTAAATTTCTACTCTTACTTGCATTCCTCATGGGTTTGGTCCAGACTAATGTCTGGCTTAATTGGTATTTAATAGGTTGACGGTATTGTCTGAGGCATTATCTCATGCATACAATATATCACTTACAAATAAAATAATTCTACTATGTGTAAGCATCTAACTGGGGAAAGACATTACACATTACAAATATTACTATGATGTTGCTGACATGCACAACTAACCCCCTAGCTCCTCCATATCCCAAGAGAAGGCTCATATTTCAATAAATCTAGAACCCCAACACTGGGTTAACGCTTTGCCTAGACGCAAAACTAACATACAAATGTTTTACAAATGTCTCATTTTTTTCCCATGTCAAACAGGAATTAAACCCAGCAAAAGGTTAAAGCCCTTTGAAAGTGTTGGGAGCCCCAAATTCGCCAACAATTTGATGGCAAAATGTTACTTCATTGTATCATAATGTGAAACAGAGTGTCATTTAGGACATACCAGGTACTTCTACATAGATTTCCCACCCAAATGTCTTTGAAGTCAAATATTGATAAAAGAATACATAATTTAGGTTTTCTGTTATATGCAAAAAAACAAAATTTGTGTATTCTTTGACTTCAAACACATTTGTTTTGAAAATCATTGCAGAAATGTGTCCTAAATGTTATCTCCTTTCACATTATGATACAACTGGAGTGAAATTTTGCCATCAAATTTGTCATCCCAATACTTTAGAGGGGCTTTAAACTAAATGAATAGAAAACAAGCTCTAGGGTTTGAAGAGAACCCACCTAGAGAGAAGGCATGTGGTTTGACCTCGGCATATTCCTCTTTGATAAAGCACTGCTCAAGTACGATGACCCCTTGAGGCTCCGGGAGGAGGTTACGATCCTTGAAGAAGAAAAGAAGATTACCTCGTAGTCTGCACCATCTTTCACTGTAATCTGTGAGAAGAATCAGATTCAAGTTTGAAGTTTTTTTGTTCCAGGGAAAAAAATACACGGGGCTCAGGGTAAATTAGCTCCCAAAATGCCCAAAAGAGCCCCCGAAAGTCATAAAAGAGCCCCCAAAATTTGCATAGAGTTCAATGCAAAACAAATTAAACAGTGTTATTTTCATGCAAGCAAGCGTGAAAAGTAGCCCCCCCCCCCCCAATTTTTAAAATATTTTTTTCCCCTGATTTGTTCCACATTTATATAAAAAACAATTTAATTTTTATAAGCGATTAAAGCGTAGATTACAAAATAATTTAAAGTATAATGTACGGAAAATAGGTACAAAGTTTCAAAATATATGGATATGACAGGCAAGGTAAAACAATGTAAAATGTGGGGAGCCTAAATGAAAAGCATAGCTTGTATGTAGATAGGCTCTCGTCCTGAGTAATATAATAGAGTAAGTCTGAATTAAAAAGGAATTATAGGAGGCGAAACGGAGTAGTATAGTATGAGATTCTAAAGACGTATACAAGGAGAATGAATCTGAGAAAAAAAAATAGAATAAAGAGTATTAATGAATGCATTATTCATTCATACTATCTTATGATTGAGCATAACTTCTTTTGCGAAAAGAAAATAACAGTCATGGATTACACATAACGTGACAACCAATGAAATAGAAAGGAATGATTTCAGATTACCAAGAAACGTTAACTAGATAAACAAATTGAAAAGCAAGTTGTACTGTACATATCACAATAGGGGAACAGTAATGAATTCAATTTATTTACTGTTTTGCTATACAAGTATGTTTTGATGAAATCATAAATATACACAACTTGTCATCAAATACACAACACCTTGGTTTTAAGCTTAATCTAGATGGAAAACAACATACACCGCAAGGTGCAAATTTAAGAAAGTCCATTTAATAACGCATGTTTATCTAGTTTTCTCCATATCCCAGAATTTGTTCACATCTTTATTTTTTAGTATGTGTTTTTTTTAAGGAGATTTACTCTTTTGGACCATGGGATAGAACATACACACAGAACATGCACATGGATTTTTTTACAACTTCCTGCACAATAAATGGTTTGAATTTCCTTTAATTTGAGTCCCATGGAAGATAGCCAAGTGTGAGGTACAAACATTCCCTAAAACACGTACAAATGAAAATAGTTTCACAAGGGCCTCTAGATAGAAGTCGGTCAAGGTAGCAAAAATTTAAAACCTAAAATATGCAGGAAGAACATTCTACATGGACCTTTTTTCTATCCTTAACAAACATTTGTAGAGTAAATAATAATACAAATAAACCACAATTGTATAGCCATGCCAAAACAAAAATAAGCAAAGCGAAAATAGGTTACTGAGTTTCTTTTATCTGTTTAACATTTTGAAAAATGTGTTCTAAAGGGCATTCTTAAAATTATGATTAATGTTTCTAAGAGAGTCAGGGAGGATATTCCTTAAAACTGGGGCAGTGTGGGCATATGAACATTCACCATATTTGCTTATAAATGTCAGAATAGGAAGAACAAATCCTCTTTTGGACTTGCGTATTACTTGATTTAAGAAAAAAAAAAAAGATTCAGAGTTTTATATTCAGAATAAACAAAACTCTTCTTCTAATTATAAATGGCAATAAAAAGGTGTTGGCAATCATTGGTTACTTATTTGTCACATTTCATATCATTCATAACATTATTTGGTTTTAATACAAATCAGTACAAAAAGTTCTAAACATTGAAAAGATAAGGGAAACCTTTCTGCAGTTTGTTCAAATGCACAAAATAATTTGAAATGGATTAATTTTCCACTTTTTGCACCAAATGCAAAGATTTTTGTTTTTGTTTGTTGTTGTTGCGGCAGGATGAGGAACTTGATCATGTATTCAACACTTGGGTTATCAATATCAAACCATATTATCATGATTCATATATTCAAATAAATAACTTCCTCATACAAAGTTGTCTTTAGCTGCTGGTGCTGTGGATCATCATTTTCATAAAAACAGACTTCATACCCTACATAGTACAGTACAAGTAGGTTAAACTAAAGGCTCATCAACAAATACTATGATAAGATCATAATAGATGTTTCCTGTTACGTGCGACTGATCTACATTAAATGGGTAATGGGTAAATTCTTTAGAAAAAACTAATCTAGCCTGTACAAAATAGGATCATTGAGTTATCTAGTGCTATTAACAGCTGAATTCCAATACTAAAAGTGAATCATCAATAGTTTTTGTTTGTTTTCCAGCTAATAGAAAATTAGTAAAATTACTGCATTTACAGTGTACTTCTCTTCTTTCCCTTATTTATATGTAAAAGCGTTTATATTATTTCGTCCCGTGAAGATTAAGGTCAATTATCATAATGCCAGCCTGCAAATAATTCTGAAATGTGATTACTCTAGTACTCAACAAACCATCTAGGTTTGAATTGCGTAATGCACACAAGCATGGGAGACCCAAATTAGCCAAAAATTTGATAGCAAAATTTCACTCAAATCGTATCGCAATGTAAAAGAGAATGTTGTTTAAGACACACTTCTGAAAAGATTCCCCCAAATATTGATAAAACATTACATAATTTGGGTTTTCTGTTGTACGCAGAAAACCTAAATTTTGTATTTGACTTCAAACACATTTGTTTTGAAAATCCTTGCAGAAATGCGTCTTAAAAACACCCTCTTCTATTCCCTATATTAAAAGCGATACAATTTAAGTGAAATTATGCCATCAAATTTTGGGGCTCCCAACACTTTAGAGGGGCTTTAACAGATCCTTCTAACCCTAATACATGCAATAGGACGGCTTGTATCAGACAGCATGGCTTGCATATTTCTACTTGACCTAGAATTAAGATCTTTCCTCTAAAAGGATTAATCAATTAGCGAGTGTGGACCTATCCCCTATTCCTGAAGTAATTAAGTCAAATCTAATTAGCAGGCACTTATAACTTGGCTCTATAAGCAAAGTAAACACAAATTTCAAACCATTCCCCAGTCATGCATATTTCACAATTAGTATTGGTATTATGGAAGGACTGTTTTACTCTGGAGCTTTATAAAATAATATTTTGGTGATTTAGGGCCCAGCACTAGCAAATAGAAATAGGCATAATGCTATATACAGGGTGTACATGCACTCTGGTCATGCAAAATTATACAGGACATTTTATCTTTAAACAGAATACTAATTCAAATCCCAATAATACCCTTTTAATTTTAATCTATGGTCAATAATAGTATGGAAGGCATAGAAGACACTTGCTTGCAATCATTTGCATGGCTAATACTCTTTTTTTTAAAAAGTTTCACAGATTGATCCAAATTGATAAAATTTCCCATACATTGTTTATGTCTGGACGTGCACCTGGCATCCTACTGATTAGCTGCAGTTCTTCCAAAGTTTGAGGAGGGAGCTCATTTTGTACATTGATCTGTTTAGTCATGAAAGAGAAGTCTAATGTCTGTGACTGATAAGATTAATTATTAGACAAATACTTGAACGATGTCTAATTCCTCATAAGAGCTCATAATTATATGTCTAACTGATGAGATAACAAACTTCTCATAAAAATGGACCTCAGTTTGTGAAGACCAGATTTAGGTACATGTAGGCTGTTAAGTTGTAGCTCTACATAAGCTGCACATGTATTCTGTTAGCAAAAACTATTTTTCTCACTTTCCAGTGTTTTGTTGCAAGTTGCTATTTGCTAAACAACTGCCCATAAATACAACGAGAAGCCCAAATAAAAACAAAACACCTGCAGAAGCTTCACCAATATTTTAAGTGTAAATTATGCTCGTTCTTAAAACATTGGTGAATCATTTTGATTTTTCGTCACACAACTCTAGCAGCTTCCGTGTGAGCTGCAACAAGTGGCGCATGCGCACAACTCACCCCCCCCCCCCCCCCCCCCCCCGCAAAAAAAAAGTAGTGTAAATGGCCGTAAAATTATTTTAAAAAAAACACAATGCTTTTTCAAAATGGTTTGAGGGCTGTGTAAATGGGCCATTATGCATATTTTTTTAATAAACATTATTAGTTTGCATTTTTATTGTTGACCAGTGTATAATTCATGGCTACAGGCCAGATTCTACCCTCTCAAAGAAAAGCAAAAAAAAAAAACCTAAAAGAACAAGGGAGAATCTGATTCACAATTGAACAATGGATTTTTCTGCAAAAATACGAAGTTGTGAATACCAGCTTAAAGATAAAGACCAGTTATGGTCATGTGATTGCATTGTGAAAGAAACGTTGTGGAATCGATCAGAACAGGTTGATGATCTAGCATATAAGTATTGGTGTGTACTGCAAGGTTCTGGAATCATCAAAATGATAAGAAATTTGGCCCAGTCTTGGTAAAGTTACAGGCACTGTACACAGAAAGATGTATATGGGACTACGCGACACGTGCACGATATCTATCAGGTCCTAATAGATATAATAATTTACCAAATATATCAATTAGTAGGCGGTTTGTCAGCAAAATTTGTATCATAACGTAACAGTTAAAACATATTCTTTCACATGATTGGTAATACATGTAAGAGCTTCCATTTCATTTTTTGAAACAAGCACAATAAAATACAGTAGGCTTGCGGGTGCACCATGTGAGAGAGAGGGAGGATTGAGGAGTCCTGAAAAGGGCTCTCGGTAATCTTTCTTGAGGGTTTGTAGTCCTGAAAAGGACTGTTGGTATAGTCTTGAAAAAGACTGTTGGTTCAAGACTATAACAACAGTCCTTTTCAGGACTACAAACCCTCAAGAAAGATTACAGAGAGTCCTTTTCAGGACTCCTCAATCCTCCCTCTCTCTCTCACAAGGTGCACCTGCAAGCCTACTGTATATCTACATCACCATGCAAGCCGATACTTACAAGCAGCATCTAAGTACAATGAATTCTGTTAAAAGCAAACAACTGCATGTACACAGCTTTCAAAGCATGAACATAAAATTAATGTGTACCTAACCATTGTACCTATGCAGGTATTTAAAATAACGATGAGAAAAACCATAGCCTGCTGGGGGCCGTTTCTCGAAACCAACTCCACGACAGTCATATCTTTGTCCCCGACCTACGGAGATGTCATGAAGCGGATAAACCGTTTCACAAAGCCATGACAGACATGATATCGATATATCGCGATACCAGCAGCTCAAGAACATAGTCTTTGTCACGATCCATTTGATTTATCAAGAATAACCCAAAACAAGTTTTGGGGCTAAAATTGTTCAAAAAGAAATATATACATATAAATTCTCCTAAAATATATAATAAATAGTGTCATTATCATATTTACATCATCAAACGATTTGCATATTTCTGTAAAGATTCTTAAATTGAAGAAAAACCGGTGAGTGTTTTTTTTCGACAGTCGAATCAAAAGTTAGTTGAAGGATACCGTAATGTGATAGTTTATCAATACATACTTTTTTGTTTATTGTGACGAGGAATTTTAGGCAAAATGTCTTTTCTCAGCCAGTTTTTATTCTAGAGTCTCATAAATATTCGTTATATAATTGATTTGATATTGAAAATATAATTTGGAAGAAGTAATTAGAGAGGGAATAATAATGCACATAGGCCCCAAAGGTATGACGGTATCCTAAGAAAAGACTATGGATCGACTATGGAAAACGGTGTGTAACATTCTTACCTCTCTTATTTATATGTTATAGTTTAATGATTTGTGATTTAATGTTTATATTCAGCTTTTTAAAGTTTCTGTATAATTTGTATTCTCACTTTTGTACATTTGGATTTCGCATCCCAGAGAATTCCGTACCGAACTCGTCTATATTTTTCTCAAAATGATAGCGGAACTAATCGTCCATTTCGCGTCCCACGGAATGGCAACAAACTGACTTGTGATGGCGCTTTACAGCAATTAAAAAGATATGACAGGTTCGGAGCAGTGACAACTCGCTTGTCGCGGAAGTTGTCGCTCATCTTGGCAAAGACGGCTTCGTGAAACACTTAGCTGACAAGTTGCGTGACAGTGGCGAGATGTCGTTGATCTTGTAGTTATGACGGTTTCGAGAAACGGCCCCCTGTTTTCAGATTTGGAATTACAAGACAATTGCTTTTGTTAACATCTCGCATGACACTAAACACTAGCAAATTGCAGAAGATCTTTTAAAGTGAAGTTGGCAAATTACAAAGGGAAGGATATGTGTTAAGGATGGTGTAAATGAAATAAGGAAGGTACTTTATGTTAATGATGCTATTAATTTACGAAAGAAATGGGTTTGGAATTCTTTATAGACATGTGTATGAAGCCAAAATCAGAGATAAAGGCCTGCATGATTGTAATTTAAAAAAAAAGCAAAATACACGATGGTCTACATATTTACAGAAACCAAGTGATGATACCAATAAGCAAGGTTTCGGACAGTACAACTGAATGTTGAGCTCTAAAATTCTTACTCTAGAATCCAGATTCTTCAATTCTTCATTTTCATGGGTAAATGTCAAAATGTCAAGAATTTGACGAATTGTACTTTTCACATTCATGAAATTGGTACAAATAATCAGCATTTTTATTAGTCTGGACAAGTAAGGCAATGTGAATAATGATCTGTACATATTTTTGTAAACCAATTGGGTGCTTTGTGGTGACACACTGATTTAAAAAAAACATCACTGAATCTATTACCTTGCCAATAACAGTGACTTAGATATTTCTAAAGGTTTCCTAATATACTATAAATAGATCTTAAAGGTATAGACCAGTTTTGAAAACGCCCCCCTCTCAAAAAATGAAATGGAAGCTCTTATTTTACCAATCATGTGAAAGAATATGTTTTGACTAATACCTGTTGATACAAATTTTGCTGAGAAACCGCCTACCGGTACTAATTGATATATTTCGTAAATTATCATATCGATCTGGCCTGGATAGATACTGCGAATGCACTTAAACATTGAACATTTGGGGATATTACTACTGTTTTGCAAATTCAGGTTGAAGTATTGCCATCTAAACCTCTGAAGGCAATATTCAAACAATATTGAATGGATATTTTGCACCCAAAACCCTTGAACTGCAATTTTACCACTACCGATCTATATCTTTAATGATGATACATAGAGAGCAAAGAACACACAACAATATTTACAAAATTATTGCCTTGAAACTAAACAAGTGAGACAAAGGATTGAACACAAATTACACAATGCAACATTGACATGCCTATCCATGCGAAGCTAAACTAATGTTGTGCAATGCCAAGCAATGTAATAGGCTAAAAGCAATGATCAGTGCTAGGCACAATAAGCTAGTCCCATTCACATAAGATGTGAAAATGGTTCATTACTGTCTATAACTATCAAACAAATGCTATGACAGGGGTCTGAAAGTAAAGACAACAGAGTTCCTCCTTATCTCTGCCATATTCTCAAGATTGTTTTGACATGTCTATTTTGTATAACTTGCCAATAAAAAAAAAGTGTATCAGGGCAAGATGTGAAATGACATTAAATATGAAATACATCTATCATGCAAGTAGGGCCATCACATTCAAGAATAAGTATTGACTCTAGAAAGGGCAAGTAAGAGAGGATGTGGGGATAGGTGGTTGGGGGAATAAACATTCAATCCACGCTGATATACTCTTCTAAACAAAATTCAATTAAAAAAGTGCTCTTTGTGAACAAAATTAGACATTTCAAAAGTTTCTTGTCTAAGAGCTGATGAAAGTAGTTTCTTAATCTGTAAACCATGTACAAAAAGATTTAATTTTGGCTTTGGACTTCTGTTCTATTTTTAAATTGTTGAATGTTTCTATTAACTGCGGCTCAGCTTTAGACACTTGTAAAATCTATAATTACCAAGTTCGTTTGATCAACAGGTAGTCGGTAGACACAAATGCCAGCAAAAATAGATGATGTACCAGATAGAAAGAGAACTGCCAAATGTTGTTCTTTGATCAGTTGATGCAGCTCAGAATGATATTTATTCATGTTTTGCTTTATGTATCATGAGGCCTAAAAAAAAAGATGTTGTATTGCCCTTTGCGACCAACCCCCCAAAAAATTAAATCGATGGTCGGCTTTTTGATTTTTTTTTTTTTTTTATCGTTTTTTAGAAAAAAATGTATTAAGACATTCAAAACTGAGAAATATCAGCCCAAAGAGGAAATTAAAAAAAAGAAGAAAAAAAAAAAAAAAAAAAAAAAAAAAAAAAACAGATTTCCGACCGACTCATGTTTTGGCACCTAAAGGGCAATACAACATTATTTTTTTTAGGCCTTACAGATGATACTTTGTGTGTGTGGGTGTGTGTGTGATATGAAACTTAAAGCTCTAGAACAAACCTCTACTCCCACAGGAAAGGTAAGACTAGTAGCTAGGGTGATCCTCTACAACCCACAGTGCATGAATGAATGAATGCAGACCTCAAAGGCTAATTGAAATAATTACCCAGACCTTTCTTGCGCCAACCACCAGCATTGACTTTCATGTAGAGAGGTCCCTCTTTGGTGAAATACTTGGAGGGCTCCATGCCGACCCCTGCTAGCTCCTTCTGATTGAAGCGCATCTTGGGAGATATGTGGATCCCACTAAGTCTCCAATAGCTCCAGGTGGATCCCCGGTCTTCAGTGCTCTGTAACATCCGTGATCAAGGGGCAATCCAAAGGCTGGCGTAGCAGAGTTCCTGGGTTTCAAACAATTTCCTCTTTCTACGATTACATCTTCACGGACCGGAGAAAGTATCATCAATAACTCAGGAGCAGTGCCGAGTATCAATTTACAAGTTTCTGTTTCTGTACTTCAACAAAATTGAGTTTATGATTGCATCCATGAAGTATACATTCAGGTAATCTTTAAATCTTTAAATGATATCTTTATAGCAGGTCTCCATTTTTAATGTCACTAAATGCTTTCTCCTTCAGAACCTCTGCTGTTGATCATACTGGGGAAGAAAGAAGATAAAAAAATGAGACTATTACATCAGACATGCATGTACTGTAGGTGTGTACAGTTGTAGGCACAGAGAAATCCTGACTCAATTCTGGTTATTCTGTTTACATTCATCTTTCAGAGGTACGACAACTTGTATGTGTGTCACATTCCCGTATTTGCCGGCGTAAAGGCCGCAGTATTTTTGGAAGAGAAAATATCAAAAAGTTGGGGTGTGGCCTTTACGGCGAAAGAGTAAAAAAAAAAAGAAAAAAAGAAAGTCAATACCAGCACGAATTTGCACATATGGGACTACGAATGGTAAAATAACTATACCACTATGGTACAGGACATTTCCACACATTTTACCGACAATTTTATCTTGCAGTGTTGACATGAAGACGAAAATAAACGTCCTAACACAACATTTGCCGATAGATCTTGATCTAAGTTAGTGCCAATGCATTGCAAAAGAAAAGGAAGGGACCGTTTAACGGAGCTGCTACGAACATCCATCCGAAGTCGCCATTTTGTTCTCCATTTCATGCAGTTTCCCATTACACCGTACATTGTGGTAGGGTATATATCGGACACCAAATCTGCCTGCAATCACTTTTTTAGCTTAACTTCCAGTAAATTATAAGAATATTGATGAATTTGGTATCAGTTTGTAAAAAAAAATTGGTGTTTTCAAGAAAATTATGATTATTTTGTTTTGTCCGTTTTTTTTTCTTCCCTTTTTTTTTCCTCTTTGAAATGTCAAAGTTGGGGTGCGGCCTATGCGGCGGTGCGGCCTTATCGCCGGCAAATACGGTAAGCACACTTATAACTACCATAGAGCCTACATGCCTACAACATAAACCCAAGGCTGTGTACAACAGTGTCATGAGGAACCCGAGTACACTCCCAGGCTTACAAGCGAATATTCGAGTATTCGGACGCCATGATTTTTTTGAATTTTTTTTTTTTTAAATCTGAATTTTTTTGAATTTTTTTGAATTTTTTTATTTTTTATTTTTTTATTATTTTGTTATTTAAATTTTTTTTTGCCACCACCATACCACTGGAGAAGTATCCTAGATCCCAGATCCATTGCCGAAAACGCATGCAATTTTACTTCGAGTTGCAGTTGAAGGCACTGATTTAATAATAATAATAACAGTAAACAATGCTGTTTTAAAAACCAAAGATGGCAGAATAATCCATTTTCCTCCAAGTCCAAACAGAAATCTGGACATTTGTTCCCAGTTTCTGAGTGGTGAGTTTGACAGTGCTTGAGTTAGGAAACATTTTTACCGACGACACCATGCCAGCGGCCGCTGTCTCCCTGGCACGGGTAACTGTGGGCCTGGGATTTTTTTTTTTTTTGTTGCCGAATATTTGAGTAAGAGAAATTGTACTCGAGCAGTTGTCAACCGTGCGGGTACTCGAGCATTCGACTACTCGTCGTCGCAGCCCTAGTGTCAATGTTTGAACTGTGAAAGTTGAATACAAAATCAAGTAGGGGATTTCCCTATGCATACACAAGAGAGGTCTATTGTTCTGTTCAACGTGTTCAGTTTGCAAAAGCTCCTTGCCTTTCTGAAAAAAGAAAAAGAGGGAAAACTAACCTGCTTCAATAGTATTGTCAGTCAGTAGCCGACTATCTTTTGTAGCATCATTTCATGGCAGGGTTGCTATTCATCTTTCAATCAGTGGAATGTCCCTGCACATACCGGTATTAGGAAGAATAAAAGCACAATTGTAAGAAGGTCAGCATGACTATACTTCAATCAGAGTTTGAGCAAGTTGAATGTTTTGTTGTCACATCCTGTTCTTGACCTTCTCTCTCTCTCTCTGAATTTATTTATTTATTTATTTATTTATTTATTTTTTTTTTTTTGGGGGGGGGGGGGGGGCATGGTTGTTATTTGCTTTTTACAAATAAAGCCAAAAATAAAACATATATTTATTTGGGGTCATTCATAAGCATGTTCTTCCTTTGTATCACTACTCATTGTCTATGTTGTGTTATTTCTTAATGTTATGTTTCTAGAAATGAAATAAATAAATAAAAGAGGTGATTTCTTTTTTATATTTTGCTTGAATGGTACAAATTTCATAGCACTGTTCAATCAAGGCTTCTGGTGGAATGTAGCTGCAAATGTATGTGTTTAATACATTACTGGAAAAAAAAGGGTAAAAATTCAGTTAATTGCATGAAGAACTACATATTACATTGAAAGTCTCAGTTATTACTATTAGAATCAGCCAACTAAAAAAATAGCATAAATTCTATCGCTGATCAACATGAAAGAAATGTAACACTAGTCCTTCACGATGAACAACAATATCAAAGCAATGGATATTATTGCATCAGAAAGTTCTACATGCTTTGAAACTCAAAGACTTTTAGACTTTCAATACTTTCCTGGCGTTGAGTGGTTAAACTGCTCAAGCTTCAATATTGCTTCTAATGATGTTTTTTTGTTGCACAGAGAACTGTGTCTTTCTTTCTGAAATCCGAAATGAATACATGAGTAAGAGTTTTACATCACAAAAACAATGTTTGAAGCAAGATAAAGAAATGAAAACGGGCACTGTGATTTCAAACTTGTTCCATGAAATAAAAATAATAATAATAATAAAGATAGCGCTTTACAAAGTAAAAAATAAGCAAGTACAAGTATATTTAAATAGTTACAAGAACGAAATATAAAAACCTTAAACTAAAGACATGTCGCTAAGAGAATTGATGCAATTGAAAACTTGGGTTAAATTCAAGAATGGGAATTCATGGAAATTTGTGTATGCCACATCTCCGTTGGAAAAAAGCCTGAGTTATTTCACAAGATCCTGCAGCAAAGCCACTATCTAAAATCAGTATTGATATCCTTTTCCAGTCTCCTAGCCTAACATAGTGATCCTGAATAAGATAACCATGTATCCTAAACATATCAAACTAAATTAATGATATCCCTCGGTCTAAATCAGATATCACTAGAAATCAAATATGTGAAGCAGTATACATGTAGAAGGCAATGTGATGCATCATCTGTATTTTTCCAATGGTATACTACTATACTGTACATACTCAGTATGCAGTGACATATACAAATAAACAGATCCCTGTTGTACAGGTATGTACATGTATGTACACAAATGATCATACTAATTAACTAATACATTGTTTTTCAATACATGTACAAGAGGATTTTCACATCTGGTTCTAAAAATATACAAGTATAAAGAACAAATAATAACAACTTTGAACAGTGGTCATAGATAATACCCAGTAAATCTGGAATGCTCCCCAGGGAGTGGAGATTGTGCACACATTGTGTGCAGGCAAGCACTGAATCTAATGACCGGGGTAATGGTATATTTGTAAAGCGCTTAGAGACATTTGTATTAAGCACTATATACAAATTAAATATTATTATTATTATTATAACAAATTCAATCTGCTATCCATCAAATGGCATCTCACAATGTATGTATGCCTATAATGTACATCATTTTATTACTTTGTATGTAAGTCCTCATTTGTTTTCTGCGTAATGATCAGAGGCAAACAATGTATTGCAAATTAACATCAGTGCCACCACTGGGTGTCACTCTTGATTGACCATTTGATTTTGATTCAGTCTGGTGCTATATCAACTAGACCGTGATGGCTAGCTCCGGCTAGCTAGCTAGCTATCCAGGGTATTCAAGGTAATGATGAACATGTTATTTCCCCTAAAACTGTAGCTTATACAGGAAGTAATCCCTGATATTAAAGGTATTACAAAGTTTTGGTATAGGGTTATGTATTTGGTTCAAATTAACATATTGGAAGCATAATTATGCGTTCCTACAATATTCATTGATCGTTGTCGCAGTTGAAATCGAGTCTAAAGATATGAAATTATAAATAACAAACTCTTTATGTTGTATAGCTCCCTCTCAAGGTCAAAGTATTAATTTAGCTATGAAACAATGTTTCTTAACTAAAATCGACCGATTAGCTATTCCCGTTTGGAAATTATATATCACAACTACATAGTCTGAGATTTTCATGGTCGCAGCTACCATTGTACCGGCCATAGGCGCTATTTGAAATTTAACAAAAATTTACCAGGAGCACCGGTAAATTTTTATATTCAATTTTTCTCGAAAACAGTAGTGTTTTAGGGGCTAATTTTTTTAGTGCTTATAATACATCCACAGGGGCATCCAAATATATCAAAATTTTAAAGATTCACTATCCACCCAATTTTCAAAATTTCCCAAAACTTTGTATTACCTTTAAGTTGGTTTTAATAGAAGCGGACAAATGGGAGGATTAGGTCAGTGAAAATTTGAGCAAACTGTTATTAACAATTAGAGAATTATGAATTTTTAAATTTACAATCTATCAAACCCAAATTGGCAATTCAACATTCACTCACCTTTCCTCTCATGTTTCTGCTTCTATTAACCCTTTGCTTATGGGAACCTGGTGGTCCCTGTGTGAAGCCTATAGGACCTATACAATTCAGTAGTCAACGGGTTAAAACCAACTTAATAACAGGGTTAACTTCCCTAGTACATGTACATGTATGTGCATTGATTTGCAGCTAGAGCTAGAATTACGATGCTGAACATTTTCATTACCATCACAATATATTTGATTGAAAAGCATTACCTATAGATGTACAGAACAATGTTCCACTAAACTCAGTCAATGTAAACACAATCCACCATACATTTTACTGAACCCTGTAATCTTGTCCGATGAAATCCCAGGGCAGCATTGACACAGCCCTGCATAAATACATGTTCAATGCATGTTACCTATACGCTACCTACAATATCAAAATAACGTACCACTCAATTCCCAGCCGGTTACAATTATACTTTTTATCAAATCCTACATAATGAATGCCAACCTCCCTCCCCTCTTTCCACTCTCGATTCCCAACCTGTGAACGCTGCCAGTGCCTACCTCGAAAGCGGCCCACTGGGGAGTGCAAGAGAGCTGCGTATCATGCGAGACATCTCAACTACAACATCCTGAAGTACAGGCTGTTTGACTCCAGGGGAATAGTCAAGAAAGAGGAAAACCACAGTGCTCCTCAGAGACCATCAGGCCAGGTCGGATGCAGTGTACATGTATGCTACAGCATGAGAGTACACCTGCTGTGTGTGATGATGTCAAGAAAGTAGAGCACACTTGAACTACCGTAGCTAGCTAGCTCTCCTCTCCTGTTGCACAGATAGTAAAGGTGCAGTAGGAAGTGCCATGGATTGCATGACAGCTAAACCACTTCTTACAAAATAATATTTTTAAGGGGCTGCTGAATAGTTTGAAAGCTGAAGTTTATAATTGTTTTTTTTATTATGCACGGATGCAGAATAATCTGGTAAAAAAAATTATTATTCATTCATATATCATACACATTTTAACTTTAACAGGACAACATAACATGTATAAGACTGTTTAACACTAAATATTTATTGTGCATTATTATCAGCAAACATTAGAGAAATATGGCAAATTGCCTAAAGATTAAATTTAAGACCCAGTATACATACGTTTGTATAGATGTCCCCAAAATTAACAACCCCCCCCCCCAACAAAAACAATGTACTAGCTGTACAGTTATGTATCGGACTGATGATCCACCATTCTAGGGGCCTCCCACTCAGTATTTACATAGTCTCTATCATGTATTGTACATGTACATTGCACCATGACTCCATGAGCAAGCATAAAACATATATACATGTAAATATACTTTGTTATATTGAACCACATATGAGATCAATACATGCACTTTTGTACATGAATGTTGTTCGGAACCATAGTTCCATTAATAGTCTACATGTGATTGCACTGTAAGCATATCTCTACTCTATAATACCATGGTCAGGTAGAGATATTGAAGTGTACCTGTATTAAACGGTAAAGAGTTGTTTGTCCATCAACTTCATTGACGGGATAAGGAAGGAAGTGATTTCAAATATAGCACGCAAGGTATACACAGCTAGTGTGTCTCAGTCCTCCCTCTACACACTCAAATTACACTATTAGACTGAATATTATAATCAAGGTATAAATGCATGCCCTTATTACATTCTCAAACAATAGACCAGTTTACTACATTAAATGTATGCATACTGTTTGCGGGAAAGTTGTTCTTAACAATGTGTAACCTTTCCTGAGGCTTGCCCAACATAGCAACAAGTAATTTATGCAAACTGGATTTCAAGTATTGTAGTTCATTCATTAATAACAGGTTAATGGAATACCTTGTCGCTAGGTTCCCAGGAAAGAAACATCAATAACTTTAGTTTAAATATGATTATTAAGCCTACAGGTAGATCTATATTTGTCCTTTACTCATAAAATATGTGAATTGAAATTTGTTGACACTTTTAAACGTAAATATAAAAAATACTTGATGGACCTATATTGATATTAGCTACAGATTTTAACGGTTGTTAAATTCATTACATTTTACATACATGTAATTGTTATTTGTTTTACTTTTATTGCTTATTTTTTATATTTAATTAATTGGTCAGCCGCATATAAGGACCACCTCCTTTCTGGCTGCTACCAGCATTAGCAATTTGTTATTCATGTTTGTAAATTGACTCTGTGTATTTATGTGTTTATCTAGGTTAGTTAGTGTAATTGTGTGAAACTTTGTATACTACTTTTGTTTTTTTTGTTACCTTGGCAAAACAGTTGAATTGAATTGAAAATTGAATTGAAATTAAGTATTGGTGTAGTTAAATAACTCAAGTGACAACCAAATATTGGCCCCCTGTGCAGAATGTCAATTTGTGGCCAGTCTGCAAAATCAATTTTTTTTTTTAGCACAACACTAAAACAGACAATGAAATCTGGTGCAACCCACCCTTCCTCACTGTGTTCAAACTTCTCTTTCTGCTTAAAACAATATGGCACAGCTGATTAATTTTTTTATTTTATTATTTTATTTGTTTAACCTGTTTTGATAGGGCATCTACTGTAAAGATGTCATCAAAGACATCAATGACCTCATTTTTTAAAATGCACATCTATCTTTTGAAAAATATGAGGGAGGTAAATTCACATCAAGCTACAGAAGAGATCATGAGTTGGATGTCTTGACAAATAGTACCACTCTCAACATTTCTGCCACCAAATAACATCCATCTTTTAGACAGATTCATTTGAGCAAGTCAAAGGTATACTTTCTTTTAAAATGTGTTTACTAGATTAATAGTATTTATTGCATCTTTTATGAATGGCAGTTTCACAACTGAATTGCACATGAATTACACCAATTGAAAATATATACATTGTAAAAATTACAGAAAATTCAGTTTAAAATTATTTACCAGTAAAGGTACTGTACTGCCTAAATATCATAAACAATTAAAAAACATTTAATGAACATAATTTCAAAAAGATAATGTACAAACATAATTATATGCCAACATATAGACCAATACAAATTATATAACAGTTCTAATATTGCATTTGTGGGTATAGTGGTAAAATAATCAAGGATAGCGGCAAGAGCAGTGGTATGAACAGTTGAAAAGTAGATAAGGATCGAGAAATAATTGGTAAGAGAGATAGTCTATACAATTTATTAAATTTATATGAAAAAAGAGCCCCCAAAATTGGAAATGGAGCCCCCAAAATGATTTTTTCTTTCTTCCTCAGACAAACTCCTAGATCCTTGTTATATGATGTAAAAAATAATTCATTCAAGATTATTTCGTGACAGTAAGGCTGATAAATAAGCTTGTCGTCCTGGTTACTGGTTTCAAACAACAGAGCCTGCGATTTCCAGACCCTTATCACTAAGTTCGTCATTTATTGGAACAGAATCAAAGGAATGCAAAATTTGCCAATCTTTTGTCAATATTTTCATAATTTCACACCCGATTCCAGAGAAAATTCTGTCTCTGGGTAATTTCAGGTTCCTTTTTCTATTGGTGATATCAGATTTTCGAAATATTACAATTTTTTTTGAGATAGCGAACTTTATAGGTCACACGCCAACTATGGTCATACCACCATACTACTACTAGGTATGAAGGGGAAATCAAAGTTCGCGGAGATTTTCAAAATATTAAAGAATGTGATAACTGATAGACTATTCGATTCATGATTTCCCATATTTTAAACAAATTTAATTTGTTCATTTATTACCAACTTCTATCTCAGACGTACCTAACTCAAATCCGGCCATGTAAAATCAAGAAGGGTACGATCCGATTCTGCCAAGTGTGCAAAGCGGAAGAGGAGGACATCACACACTTCATAGCCAAGTGCAAACCACTCAGGAATGAGGAATCATCACCAGAAGCTGGTCGACAATCTCCACCACAGGGGCGTACAGCAGTCGACACTCGCTCTATTCAGTCCAAATGAATGAGACCTTCACGCGGGCAGTCCTACTTCCGAATGTTCTAACTGTCTGCCCTAACCAAAAGAACCTTCTTATTAATGCATCACTGTCATTTTTATACAATATCCACTCTGCTTGTGCTAATGCAATCGCTAATACACTTTCTACCTGACATGACAATCCTGCCTGCTATGTCTATGACAAACTGCAGTACCCTGGTAGCTGCTGATCTCCGATAGAGCGGAGGAAGAAGAAGAAGAAGAAGAAGAAGAAGGACAGCAAAGTTTTTTACTACAAATTGATTCAACAAGAAAGTTTATCGTCAAAGTGTTCCGGAGATATTGGAATCTAAAAATTCAATGTCTGATCGGCATGCGCACTGAAACTAAACAAGTCATAAAATGATAAAAACAACAAGACCTTACTTCGCGCACAGGCGTTTACAGCCGATTTATCACAAAATGTGATCCATCAAAAATAAGATACTTTCATAATTTGCAAGGCAAGAATATATGGCAAACCCGGACTTTAGTGCCCAGCTGAAAATCTCAGTTTATTATGGATTTAATATCAATAATATTAATTATGCTAATATATGCAAATATAAACATACCAAAAATTGATGATTTTTAATCATTTGACGTCATAAAAATCAATTTTAAGCCAAAAATAGCAGCGAAGTAGGGGATCTCCTCTTTGCTTGATGCGAGATACTAGCGAACTGAAATAACCGAATAAAAACTATGGTGAACTAAAAAAAGAAAAGAAAAAATCAAACCACCTCTGAAATTACCTTTGAAATGTTTATTAATTTTTTCTTCCGATATGCGCACATGATAGGGGCAGGTTGGGATGGGATGGGGGGGGGGGGGGGTGCTCAATAGTCGCCAAATTTGGGGTAAAAGGGCAACTGGCCTTGGGGGGGGGGGGGCTAAATTTATTATTTACTTATTTTTCTTTGTAATCATTTTTCTAATTTTTTTCCGGGGTGGCTCTTTTCTTTATTCTGCTTCTTCTTTCTTTCTCACCAGATATGCACGAAACATTGGGGGTTTGAAGAGATGACACCCCCCCCCCTTCCTGATGGGGGCGCCAAATTTAAGGGTTATTTTAATCTTTCTTTCTTTTTCTCTGCCCCCCCCCCCGTCCCTTTCTCCCTTTCTCTTTAATAGGCATGCACGCATCGAGGGGGCGAGTGGGATGGGATGGGGGTGCTGAAAACTCGCCAAATTTGGGGTAAAAGGGCAACTGGCCTGGGGGGGGGGGATTCCCCTAAGTCTTGAATTTATAAAGACAAGAGAAAGAAGGGAAGAAAACCATCAAGATTGGCACCCCAGTCACCAAGTTTGCGCCCTTTTTACCTAAAACTTGGCGCTCCTGCCGAGGGAGGGGGCAGGGGGGGGGGCTGGGGGAAGGATTCATCTCCTTAGGCCCCAAATGTTGCAAGCATGTCTCAAGAGAGAGAGAGAGAGAGAGAGAGAGATGAAGCAGAATTAAACGGCAAAGAAACGATACCCCCGCCCCAACAAATAAAATAAATAAATAAATGTGAGAATAAACAAATTAAAAAAATGGATAATTACCAATTGTGCGCCCTTTTACCCAAAATTTGGCAACTATCAAGCTCCCAGAAACCACCCATCCGACTCCCACCCGCCCCTCGATGCGTGCATGTCTATTCAAGAGAAAGCGAGAAAAGGGGGGCGGCAGAGAAAAGAAAGAAAGAAAGATTAATAAAAAAAATAACCCTTGAATTTGGCGCCCCCAGCAGGAAAGGGGGTTGTCATTTCGTGCAAATCTGGTGAGAAAGAAAGAAGAAGCAGAATGAAGAAAAGAGCCCCCGGAAAAAAAAAATAGAAAAATGATTACAAAGAAATAAAAGTAAATAATAAATTTAGCCCCCCCCCCCCAGGCCAGTTGCCCTTTTACCCCAAATTTGGCGAGTTTTCAGCACCCCCATCCCATCCCACTCGCCCCCTCGATGCGTGCATGCCTATTAAAGAGAAAGGGAGAAAGGGACGGGGGGGGGCAGAGAAAAAGAAAGAAAGATTAAAATAACCCTTAAATTTGGCGCCCCCATCAGGAAGGGGGGGGGGGGTGTCATCTCTTCAAACCCCCAATGTTTCGTGCATATCTGGTGAGAAAGAAAGAAGAAGCAGAATAAAGAAAAGAGCCACCCCGGAAAAAAATTAGAAAAATGATTACAAAGAAAAATAAGTAAATAATAAATTTAGCCCCCCCCCCCAAGGCCAGTTGCCCTTTTACCCCAAATTTGGCGACTATTGAGCACCCCCCCCCCCCCCCATCCCATCCCAACCTGCCCCTATCATGTGCGCATATCGGAAGAAAAAATTAATAAACATTTCAAAGGTAATTTCAGAGGTGGTTTGATTTTTTCTTTTCTTTTTTTAGTTCACCATAGTTTTTATTCGGTTATTTCAGTTCGCTAGTATCTCGCATCAAGCAAAGAGGAGATCCCCTACTTCGCTGCTATTTTTGGCTTAAAATTGCTTTTTATGACGTCAAATGATTAAAAATCATCAAGTTTTGGTATGTTTATATTTGCATATATTAGCATAATTAATATTATTGATATTAAATCCATAATAAACTGAGATTTTCAGCTGGGCACTAAAGTCCGGGTTTGCCGAATATATCATACAATCTGTTGGTACCATTTTTTACTTACAATTTTGAGGATATCTGCTTTCAAAATGAAGATTTTGAGACCCTTTGGCCTTATCGGCAAGTTAGTAATTTTTCGGAACGGACACAAATTACTGCAAAATTTGCCGTTCTTTCTTCAATGTTTTCATAATTTCACACCTAATTCCAAAGGAAATTTCGTCTGTGGGTCATTTTATGTTCCTCTTTTCATTGGTGATATCAGATTTCGAAATATTACCGATTTTTTTGAGATAGCAAACTTAGATTACGTGCGAACTATATGGTCACACAGCTAGCAGCTCTCCAGCGGCCAGCCCCACCGAACTTTCACGGAGCTTTCAGCCGGGCCCGGCCCAGTCCGAGAGACACAAGGTGAAAACTGAACGACTGTCATTGTCCTTGCACAGTACGGTATGTGGGCCTTTCAAGAAATTTAATATGAAGTTGACAACCAAATTGGGTACTTACCATATGGTGTCAATCAATGATCATACAACATAGCAAAGGTGGCGTATACTACACAGCTCGAGTAGAAAAACTAATAACATTTAAATTGGCTAGAGCTTTGAAAAGATCAGAGCGTATGATTGATTACGAGTCGTCAGAAAGTCCTTCCACGAACGTACGCGCGAACGTGCGCGCCCCTACTTGTTCACAAAAACATGATTTGTCTGGGCTTCTCATCGGTTCTCTATTTTGTTCCCCTTTATATATCTCCATCTCTCACTTTCTCTTTCACCTATCCTCTTATTGTTTCTCTCTCCCTCTTTCTGACTGCATTTGTTTCCTCTGTCAATCTAGCTCTAGCTCACTCTTTCTCTCAGCCTACATTCTGTCTACTTATTACAGTCTCTCCCTCTCCTAGCTCTCTTTAAATTGTCTCTACACTGAGACGTTGTATTTCTTTAATACTTTATCCATCTTTTCCCGTTTCTTACGCTTCTATACCTGGCTATCTAGGTCTTTGCTTTGTTCTGTCATAATTTCTCCCCTGCTCTGTACTTATACTCTCATTTCAAGACACCAAATCCATTTTATAAAATGGCTCTAGTATTTTAAGCATCGTGATTGGTCAATACGCGTCACATGACATTGAAAAAAATTTGATGCAAGCACGATTTTGCAGAAATGAGTGCAGAAAAAGCGCAGTAAAAAGTTATATTGCACGGTGCGTACGCGTGACCATGGAGATCCAGTGCGCGCGCGTACGTGTAGTACGCGCTCCCTCGAGTTGCATTGCAATTATTGTAGGCTACGCGTAGCTAATATTGTACGCTCCACCATGATCCCCAGCGCAACGTACGCGTAGCTAGCTCTAGCTAGCTAGCTAGAGCGGCCAGCGGGGTATTATTAAAAAGCAAATTTTTATTTTACTTTTCCCTTGGATTTAGGCCTGTTTTGACTTTTGGATTTTATAATGAAGCCAGGAATTTCAGCTGTCTGATGTAGACTCGTCTCTAGACCCACTGTATGGATTTTATTTTTAATCAAGCCAAGGCAATGAATCCCATTGACTTTTTGGTAAGCCTGCAAGGTCTTAGTCTAATTAGAAGTAGAACCAACATAACTCTAGATCTAGATCGAACTCTCGTAGACTCTATAACTTATTAGATCTAAAGTTTCGTTTTTGCTATTTGTGTCGCTATTTTATAAAACAAATAACGCACTTGACCCTGTTGTGCAAAACGTAAATGCAGTAAACGCTCGGTTTCTTCAGATGGTTCGCACTGTCAACTCGCCGCAAGCGGCTCGTTGCACAGAGCGGCACCAATCTAAAGAAACCTCGCGTGTACTGCATTCACCGCTATTGCACTCTGGGACGTGCGTTATTTGTATACTATTCACTGACAGGTAAATAGTACTTTTTCAATAGCTGCTAAATAGCAATTTTATTTCACATATATGCACACAAATATCACATAGTTTAAGTTTGTATCTTTCCACACCTATCAAGGTTATTCTTTTTTGTTATAGTCGATATCTTGATTCACACATTAATTTGTTTCACAAATGTCTTCTGTCTATACACTTTTACAGTTGCTTTTTGATTTATGCCAAGACCTTGAAATATATCAAGGCATACATTATAACCTGACAAATAGGAGAATAGATAACATTGTGATTTCTATTCTAGTAACTTGTTACTATAATGAAAAGACTGAATATAAATCTGATAATAGTGATCATCTCTCCAGTCAAGACACAAAATGCTCATAATATCAGACTACCACATATATATCAACTTACCATTCTTCTTCATGTTCTTAGTGCATCATTAGCTATGTAGGCTAGCATAGAATAAGCACTTTTCACTGTATGTTAGAACTTGTTAATACATGTACAAACTGTGATTGATTCAGCGGGACATTCACTTCAAATTGCAACTTAGCTAAGAACCTATAGAAGTACATTTACAAAGAGGTTACACACAGTGCATTGGGAACACAGTTACATAATGACATATTTCATTCTAACTGTTCAAAAGTCAATGAATTGTTTTAATCTTTGAGCATAAAATCTTGATATATAATCCACAGATTTCTGCACATGCATGAGACACAAAATTATGTAGATATGAACAAAAGTAACACTGGTACATAACAAACTTCCATGTAAGAAATATTTAGCATAATAATACAAAGCTATTGCATCTTTCAACAATCATTAACATTTGTGATGAAAAAGAATCCTTCAACTATACACAATTTGTAGCATTTACACCAGAATTTAAATGTCATGGGAATCAAACTTTGCTTGTCATTGTTATAATTAACATCAAGGCTCAATATTCTACAAGAAATATGTTTCTTTATGGTTTTAAAACTAAATACATAAATATAAATTTAAGTAAACCATACATAATTCTTACACAAGATTATGTCTGACACAAAGACATTCCTAATCAATTTCTAACTTCTGCTCACAAAGACATCCAAAATGATCTTACCATTTCACTATCACAATCCATTTGTAATATACATGTATATAATTACATGTATGTGTACAAACTTTTAACATGCAAAGAGTGAAGTACAGTCATGCAATATTAATAATAAGGTTACTTTAAATGCATCATACCTTTTAGGCTATATATCAATTCACTCAAATTTCACACAAGCTTTACTATAAACATTCATAACAAACTCCACACAACTCTCATATTTATGGTACAAATATGGATTAAAAACTTGAAAATGCAATTGCTCTGTTTTCACATACATGTAGTCAGATCGATGAAAAACAGAACGGTTGAGTGAAGAAAGAGTGAAACAATTAACAAATAATCTTGCATTGACTCTTAACAAGATTATTTTGAGTGGTAACTACAATCACTCTGTACATAAATTTATGAACAAATAAATCACAAAAACATATATCTAAAATATGTCAAGAAATGCTGATATACTGTAATGAACAGTTCTTAATGTTTACAGCTGCATATTTTGTTGCACATAAATGTTCCATTCTTGGTAGAAAGAACAGAGAGTCTGTAAGTATAATAAACCATCAATTTATAATTAACCTTGCAATAATGTACAATTACATGTAGGAAACATTCAATCAGACATTTTATCATCGTACACATCCAGATCCAGATCCAGATCCAGAAAACAAATAGATTCTGATCATTTCAATCTCTCATGTGCTCCAGAAGAGTTTGCAAAACAGATACAAATAAGTCAAAACAAGTTTTTACACTAAAAATATATATTCTATGAAAATTTTGCCATAACATAAATGCAATGTTAAGCCAGTCTCTGACTATACAATTATATAGTATACCTAAAAAATGAAAAATAACTTCTATAAACCATGGTCATTCTCTCTTAAACCATAGGTTAGATGTAAACATATAACTCTCAATTTCACTTCAAAAAGCTCAAAAAGTCTAATTTCAGAACTAAACAGGCTATCTACGGAATGATAAAAACAACAAAGATCAGTTACTCTTAAATAGCAGTGCTTACCCTAAAGAATTTCAGAGAGAGAGAAAACAAATGCATCAGTCTGTCCGATAGGCAATGAACGACTCTAGCATGACTGAAGTCAGATGTACCTCTCAAAATGCATGCCACAGATGGGAAGTAAATAGGAAACATTCCTAATATGAAAATTGGAACATCAATCTGATATTTCTGACTATATGATATGAAATACACGTCTGATTTGATCATGCATTTTAGTATTTGAAACGGTCACTTTTGGTTCTCAACATCACAGGTTTCTTTTGAGATCTTTTCGAGAACGTAAACAAGATAGAAGACTACATGTACATGTACATGTACCTTTGCAGTTACTCTGCATCTACATATATATATATATATATATATATATAAATATATACATATATAAAAGAAAAACGCTGTTTACTTTTCTCTCAGACACTAATTTAGATGATGCACAGTTTATCAATATCTGCTTACCTTCAAAAGTGGTACAATCATTTTCAAAACAATAAAGTTATCATTTTACAATAGAAATTTAACATTCATATTCCCTTCTCTATAAAAGGCCAATTATCTCATTGATTACAACTAACCACACAGCATTGTATAAAGCCTGTAGACAGCAACTCAGTGAAATTTCAAACACACAATAACACATTAAGGTTCAATTTAACCACAAAGTAAGTTTTCATGTATACTTGAAACAAAGTCTGTTTTATCAAGACATCCAAATGTTCATATCATCAAGAAAGTGTAATTCGCTTCAACAGCCTCAAGCCACATCTCAAGACAACTCCACCACTTCTGAATCAAAGTCAATGCTATCCAGCTCGTCCTCTTCGATGTCTTCTGATGATGACTCTCCTCCAGCAGCCTCACCAGTCAGAGCGATGCGAGCGTAGTCGTCAGTGTCGATGGACTTGCAGAAGTAGATGGCGTATTTGAGTTTCTCTCTCAGGACTTCCCGGCAGGAGTACCGGGGTAGTTTGAGAAGGAAGAAACACGTGTAGGATTCTGGGAGGAAGTGATCTGGAGGGTTGTACTTGTCCAGGACCTGGAATGTGTGCAAAGTGAAGAAGAGAAAATAAAGCAAATGTTTATGTACTTTAATAAACTACTTTCACAATCATCATCAATAGTGGTCTGTCAGTTTATGACAGGTTCAGTGACCCAATCAAAATTCTATATAAGTGTCTCTCCATGTTCCTCGGTCTTGAGCCATCTGTTTCAGCGTTTCATACCCTGTTGCTCCACATTCTGTGATTACATCGTCTAGAAAGCCTTTACGAGGTCTTCCCCTCTTCTTCTTTCCATGAATACAACCTTCTATGACTCCGAGCATCAAGCCCTCATCATGCCGCATTATGTGTCCAAGCCATTTATTCTGTCTCTCTCTAATCGTTTGAATCACAATACAAAAACAATATTGAATAGTAATAATTACAATGGTTGCTTCTGGTAAACCTCTCATGCCAATCATGCTGTAACGCTCCTGACGCTCAACCACATTGTAAACAATAACAGAAATCAAACACAACATTTTTTTACTACTTCTGCTTACCGCATGTTTAATTTGGTTGATTAAAAATGTAAAACAAGAACACTATGTGGTCTCTGACGTGTTACAAACTTACCTGCAGTACAAAGTCCCTTCCTCTGAAGTCAGCGATAGTCCTGGGTAGCCTGGTACGTCCCCAGACAAAGCGTAAGAAGAGAGAACGTTCGTTGTTGGTGAAGTCCTCCATGATCTCCCAGAACCATGTAACGAGTGGAGCAGTGGCATCGATTCCCTTGTAGGTCGCTACTGATTTCAGCAGATCTAGGGGTATGTCTGGACTTCCACACACCTGTAAGGAGGGAGAGGCACAATAAGTAGGTTACAATAGGGCTTAAACAAAAAAGATGTTGTATTTCCCGTTAGGAGCCAAAACATTGGTCGGTCGGTCAGAAATCTTTTTTTTCTTTATAATTTTTTTTCTCTTCTTTTTCTTTCTCTTTTTCTCTAAAAACCAGTAATTTTTTTTTTTTAAAAGCTGACTGTAGATTTCAAGATTTTTGGGTAGGTCGCAAAGGGCAATACATCATCTTTTTTGTTAAGGCCTAGTGATGGTTCAGATTGAGACACGGCTTGTACCCATATGAGGAAGTCAACTTTTGCAGTTTCTTTCAATAATAGCAAGAAGGGGTGAGAGAATCTTGTTTTATATGGAACAAAAGGTCTGGTATGTTCTCACTATCGGTCTGATATAATAGAAAGAAATGTGAAACACTATACAGGTATTTTGCTCTGACAGTATACAGTGGCAAATGGGTACAAGGCTTTACAGCAAATGTAACTTGTGAACACATAAAAGTGAACAGTAATCCATCATAACATGAAATTCACATCTTCATGTGTATGATAAATCAAAGATAACTTTCACAAAGAACCATCTTGAAGGCAACAATTTTTAAAGGAACATACAAAGATTATTATAACAAGAAGTTCATTAGAGAATACTACTTCTCCAGTTAACTTTTCACAGTTGAGATACTGTACACAACAGGCTCATAAATAAGGACATGAACACATTTACATCTTTGCACTTTGATAAAGAATCCAAAGAAATTTTCATTTTATTTCATTTCATTCTCCATAAAAAAAACATTAAAACATACAAATATGATATACAGATAAAAGATCGATTACAATACAAACACAAAGGGAAGGAACAAACAAAATTTTATGGGAATGTGGGGTAACAAAAAGGGCAATTAGCCTTATGAACGTCAACCCCTTGGCTCAAGATCATTTCAACTGCATAATATTTGTTATGTCTACTTTATATTTGCCACTACAACAAATGAAACGTGTTCTTACCATGGTCTCTAGCTCTGATCCTGTGAAGAGGGAGAGGAGCGGTACAGGAATCACCCTGGCCATCCCTTCTCTCACCCATTGGACCTGGTCATCAAACTCACTCAATCTGCCAAAGAAAACAACAAAGATACATTCAATACAATAATAATAATAATTATTATTATTTGTTCTTTTATAGCACATTTCATGTCTGTTGACATTTCAATGCGCTTTACATTTCTACAATACCGGTATACATAATTATATAAAGTATAACACAATCATAAAAGGAAGATGAAACAGAAACATATATCGAAAACAATAAAGTGCTTACAAAGAGAAAAATTATAACATTACTTATCCTTAAATACTATTGATGTGCTATTTGAGAACACTAATTTGAAAATAATACATGTTCAAGCTTTTAACTTGGAAATGTTGTTACATTTTGTTTAACATGGATCCTTAGAGATGTGTTCAGAAGAAAATTATGTTGTATTGAATGGGCCAAGGTATTAAACATCCACAAATAACAACGCTCAAAATGGCTCCATCCATTAAACCAAGTCCCTTGGAGTCATTGATACACATCCCTGTAGAGAACTTTCATCATTACTAAAATATCAAAGTGACATGATAATAACTTTCATTCATCCTCAGTGTTTTTAGTTCTTCAGATGATTTTACCTTTTATTAAAAAACTAGCTTGAGTAAGAACAAGACTTTTTATCACACATTTATTCAACTACCGGTATTGAAAGTTGGAGGACCGTACCTGCTCATAGCCTTTTTCTTTACAGAGTCTTGACGCCCTTCTGGCTTTCAGCACACGGCACCATGTTTTTGTCTTGTGTTTTACATATTACATGTTACACCAATGGAAAACAAATTTCTGCATTATATATGGACAATAAAAATCTTGAATCCTGAATCTTGAACTATTGAATATAATTTAGATTTAGTTAAGATTGAGAGGTACAGTCAAACCTGTCTATAGTGACCACCCAAGGGAAAGACAAAAAGGGGCCTTTGTAGACAGGTTCCTTTAGTACATGATTCAATGAGAAGCCATTTTCAAGGGAAACAACAAATGTGGCCTTTGTAGACAGGTGGTCTTTGTAGACAGGTGGTCACTAAAGCAGGTTTGACTGTACATACCTGTAATTGAGAGCTGCTCTGACGTATTCCATCCTGTTATCAGCAGTGATTCTGGCATACTTGGTATTAAGAGGTACATCTTGCCCTGTTGCACTAGGAGTACTGTAAGGCATGTCCATCTGATTGAAAGCCTCAGCATCAGACTCCATATCACGGATACACATCAAACCTGGAGCAAACAACAAAGGCAACAAATCAAAATGGTTAGTATTTAAAGATAAAGGTGAGTTCTGGTTTTAAAAAAAAAAGAGAATTCTCACAGAATTAAACGAAACTTACACTGAATGTTCAAGATTACAAATAAATGTCATTTGCCAAACAATTTTGGTAGAAAATGTATACTGGCTGAGTGATGAGCATAGAAAGATTAGGAAATCAAGGTTCTAGCCCAGACACCATTTGTGTTGTCACATATACATCTTCCTGTGTACAGTGCTTGAAACTGTACCAAGACCGGGCCAATTTTGTTGTTGTTGATGATTCCAGAGCCTTGCAGTACACACCAATACTTATATGACAGATGATCAACCTTTTCTGATTGATTCCACACTGTTTCTTTCACAATGCAATCGCAAGACCAGAACTCAACTTTATCTTTAATGTTCTTCAGCACCCAAGCATAACAGAGTCATACTGAATATTATATCTTCTATTGGGAAATCATCGGTATGGCGCCAGAAGGGTGTTAACTCTGTGTTAAAGTATATGAGTTAGCGCCCTTCTGGCTCCAAACAAGCGAATGGTCTTTGTTCTTGGAATTGTTATTTTCATTCAAATGATGTGACATTAAGCTTTCATATTAGGATTGTATACATAGCTCCTACAATGTACACGATTTTAAATAAAATGATAAATGTTTCTTCCAATTCTACTTCCAGTACACCTTTACAAATCCTAATCAAATCAGATCACCTATCTTTCCATGCATAAACATGAATGTACAATATCCTAATTGAGTTTAACTCCCCACTAGTCAGCTACACCACATTGATAATTGTATTCAAGCATTATAGAGTCCAGATGAATGCAGTGTTGTATAAAAGTTGAATGATACAAGCTCAGAGATGCTAACCTCTTGACACAAAAAAACAGACTGAGTATCCTAAAAATCAGATTTTCACGAAAAATTTTGACCATCGGCCCCGGGCCAGTAAAATTTCAGAAAAATGTTTGCTCTTTCATTAAAATTTAAAGAGAAAATTGTAAAGCAAAGTTTTTGTAGGGGTTGCGGGGATTTCCTTGTACATGATTCTATGCGATTCCAATGTTTTTGTGGGTTAAAAAAAAAACAAACTTATTTTAAGATCGTTTTTCACTTTTATTATCGTACTAAATACGATTTAATCGTACTGGTTGGCATCTCTGTCTGCGAGCTGAATGCACTGACCTGCAACGTAATCCTTGTCGACTTCTGTGACATCAGCTACAGTGAGAGGCATCCCTGCTAACTGCTTCCAGACTGGTTCTGCTAGGGATAGACTGAGAGGGCTCCCTGTACGGATCGCTATACCCATCAAGATTCCTAGAATTCAATCACATGATGCAAAATCACAGTTATGGGTGGAGGCAAGAAAACAACAATAGGGATAGACTGAGAGGGCTTCCCTGTACGGATCGCTATACCCATCAAGATTCCTAGAATTGATTTGATTGATTGATTGATTTTATTTCATTTCATATACCAATTGTTTGCACAATAAAGAACATAGTTGACAAAGTAAGATCAAAATTATGAATTGAAACAGGAACCTACTGGAAAGCATAGCTTGTTTTTGTAGGTTCCCAAGAATGAATATAATATAATATTGTTTTCATAAATCATTTTAAAGTGTCTTAATAATCACAGTAAAATTCAATCACATGGTGCAAAATCACAGTTATGGATGCCAAGAAAACGATAAAAGCAAACACCAATTTTTTTTAAAAGGTTTCAAAATATTAATTTCTCAAAAGTGAGAGCTTTAGGTAATCACAGCAATTTCAAATCTTAATGTTTTAAGTCTATTTCCTAAAAGAGACACAGCAAACAAGGTTTAAGAAAAGATTATTTCTAAAAGACAAAATGCTAACATTCTCTTAAAAACTTAGAGACAATTCTTTTAACAGCACTTAATAACCAAAATCTGCCCTAAATATTATGATGTATGAGCTCTGAATACATAATGCCTACTATTCATGAAATACTGAGTAAAGGGAAAGATTGTGAAATGGTGTAAAATGTGATAACCTGAATCCACTTAACTAACAGTCTGAGCAGGTGCTGCTATGTATCTGCAAGTTTGTGGATGTCTTACCGAGGAACTTGAACATGCTTTGATGTGACTGTAGTCTAGCCGTTGGTTTGACTAGGAAGCAATCCCTGTTAGCTCCAGCCTCGTCTCGTCCGTTAGGTGTGAGCACCAGGAGAGGTACAGATCCATTCTGAAGCTCATCACACATCTCAGCTATAGACTCACTGTATCCTCCTCCACAGTCATCTACACTCTCACCTAAGAGTTTGAAGCAAGCATTAACATCAAATGTGATTAAATTAACTTAATTCTATGAGCACATCTCAGCTATAGACTCACTGTATCCACCTCCACAGTCATCTACACTCTCACCTAATAGTTTGAAGCAAGCATTAACATTAAATGTGATTATATTAACTTAATTCTATGAACACATCTCAGCTATAGTCACTGTATCCACCTCCACAGTCATCTACACTCTCACCTAAGCATTAACATCAAATGTGATTATATTAACTTAATTCTATGAACACATCCCAGCTATAGTCACTGTATCCACCTCCACAGTCATCTACACTCTCACCTAAGCATTAACATCAAATGTGATTATATTAACTTAATTCTATGAACACATCCCAGCTATAGTCACTGTATCCACCTCCACAGTCATCTACACTCTCACCTAAGCATTAACATCAAATGTGATTATATTAACTTAATTCTATGAGCACATCCCAGCTATAGTCACTGTATCCACCTCCACAGTCATCTACACTCTCACCTAAGCATTAACATCAAATGTGATTATATTAACTTAATTCTATGAACACATCCCAGCTATAGTCACTGTATCCACCTCCACAGTCATCTACACTCTCACCTAAGCATTAACATCAAATGTGATTATATTAACTTAATTCTATGAACACATCCCAGCTATAGTCACTGTATCCTCCTCCACAGTCATCTACACTCTCACCTAAGAGTTTGAAGCAAGCATTAACATCAAATGTGATTAAATTAACTTAATTCTATGAACACATCTCAGCTATAGACTCACTGTATCCACCTCTTAATATTGTTACTTGTAGACTGTTATTGAATAGGAATTTCGTACTGTCATCAGCGCATCCCCATTTTGCACAGAGAATATAACAAATAAATAATATAAATAAATAAATGGCTCTTATATCCACACTGTAAACATCCAGGGCCCTGTTTCATAAAACTTATTATCAATAACAAATGCTTAATTTTTATGACAAATTTGCTCTCAGATAATCAAATGCCACAAATTTAGTAGCTATAAAAGTTGTTGTAACTTGTTAGTGATAACAAGTTTTATGAAACAGAGCACAATGTGTTATGGCAGTCATAACTTTTTATCTCTTATTTACTTTTCACTGTAATGCATCCAATACATGTACACAATAAAATAGAGGGAAGAGAGAGAGAGAGAGGGAGAGGGTGGATGAGGAAATAAAAGTAGGAGAGATAAAGAGGGAGAAAGAAAAAGGAGAATAGAGTTACATGAAGATAGATGGAAAGAAGAAAGACAAAAGAGATATAGTGTGAATCACAAGTGACTTTGTAGAACATGGAACTGACCTATGAACTTGACCTTCCAGACCCTATGTGGTAGAAGGAGACTATCAGCTCCAAACTGGCTCAACTTGGAACAGGCTTGACCAAAGACAGACTTGGTCCCGTCTAGTCCAGCTAGACCACCTTTACTCCTAGATCTCTTGACCTGGATCCTGTTGAGCTCAATGACTGGTCCATGCTGACGGTCTCTTACCATGGTGGCTTGGACTACCTTACGGAATGCTGCTTCCTACAAAACAATCAATGTAAAGGGTCAAATGTCAGTACATTCTTAGAGGTGTCGTGGTCGAATGGATATGTCCCGGCTGTCGAGCACAAGGTCCGTGAATCGAGTCCCGTCTGGGCACTAATGTCCTTTGGCAAGACATTGATCTACATTTGCCACACTCAACCAAGGTGATGTAAATGGGTACCTGGCAGGAATTAATTCTTTGAAATGCTAGAGCGCCATGATGGCAGCCGTGCTAAAGCCAGGGTAATAATCGGGAGTGCCAGGAGTGTCAAGTCTAACAGACATGAGCGCTATACAAGAACCCATTATTATTATTATTCTCAAGAGAGAATTTTATCAACTGCAAAACTGATTAGTAAGAAACTTGAGAATTCATCCATAAAAGCAAAAATCTGAATTCCAAGACAGAATTTTCATTTAAATCTAGCTTTTATACCTGTTCATTCTCTTTAAACTATACTTTCTCTTTGTACATTGTACAGTACAATCATAAGTCTGTTACTGAACATAATTACTAGTGTACAACCAGATCTTTTGCATTTAAGAGACCATATCAACTTTCAAGAGTGGTCCACATTCATGTCATCTTCATGTTGTGAAACAATTGAATCATAACACATGTGTAACTACATAATGTTTTCTACTGTGAAAACTGCTGTCATTAACAATACAGGACATTTTCAGGTGAGGTATATGGGTACCTGGCAGGAATTAATTCCTTGAAATGCTGGAGCGCTGTAATGGCAGCTAGGCTTAAGCCGAGGTTTATAATCAATGAGCCTCGGAATAGATAATTTCTAGATAGACGGCGCTATAGAAATGCCTATACTTATTATCATTAAACATCGAGTTGGAATATTTAGTTCAAATAACCGAGTTGATTTACCTTTCCAGAAGAGACCAGGAGTCCTCTGAGTGCATCGATGCCTACTAGGATACCCATACCGGCGGATGAACTATTCTGCTTATCTCTCATGTCAAACATAGGGATAGATGGACAGAAGAGTTCAGAGAAGTGATGAAGTAGAACCAATCTGTTCCTGATGACAGGGATATTGACCTCTCTCAGGAGGTTGTATTCCATGGGGACGGTCTGGGGTAGACGGCCGGCATGGAGAGGCTTGCTGGTAGACCAGGCAACGGTGTGGGCAGAGCCGCATGCTACGTTGGTGATCTTCTTATCTGCTCAATGGAAAGGAGAAAAAGACAGGAAATATGAACATTACATATTCTGAAGAATTCAGAAGAATTTTGTCTACAGACTTTAACAACTTTAGTCATATGTATGTATCATATTGGAAGTATTGCAATGAATTTTCCGAAGCTAATGGAAGAGCAAGAGATATATAACATGATATGTGCCGTACAAGAATGCAATATTACTACTATGACTATTGTATATTTCTTCTGATTGCTTCTTGATTTGCTTTTTGGTGCACAGATATAACAAAACCCTAATCCACAATCATACTGATTGGGCCAACTCCTTGAGACCATTTCAATAGAGTCAAACTCTCCTTATAAATAACCTCAGACTATTTCCCTCAAAAAATTGGATTCATGAGGTCCCATTCTTTCACTGAAAAAAAAGAAAAAGTAATCCTCCTCTTAAAGATAAAGACCAGTTATGGTCATGCGATTGCATTGTGAAAGAAACGTTGTGGAATCGATCAGAAAAGGTTGATCATTTAGCATATACATGTAAGTATTGGTATTGGTGTGTATTGCAAGGTTCTGGAATCATCAAAATGATGAGAAATTTGGCCCAGTCTTAGTAAAGTTACAAGCACTGTACACATAAAGATGTACATGTATATGGGACTACGCGACACGTGCCGGATATCTATCAGGTCCAAATAGATATAATAATTTAACAAATATCAATTAGTAGGCGGTTTCTTGGCAAAATTTGTATCATCACGTATTAGTCAAGACATATTCTTTCACATGATTGATAATTAGAGCTTCCATTTCATTTTTTGAGGGGGCGTTTCCAAAACTGGTCTTTACCTTTAACATAACATATCTGCATTTTAGGAAAACATCTATCTTTAATTGAGCTGGTATTGTCTCACCTTGTAGTGCAGTAACAATCCTTGGTCTCTGGATAGCATTGGTTGTTCCATCTCCTAGCTGACCCTCATCATTATCACCCCATGTGTATACTTCACCTGTACATGAGAACATAAGGTTATTACATAAAGATTCCTAATCACTTCACTCCACTTGAACATCTTGCTTTAAAGTGATATGAATATTCAACACATAAATGCATCACAATAAATCTATACTAAACTATACTCTCACATGGTGCACCCGCAAGCCTACTGTATATCTACATCACCATGCAAGCCAACACTTACAAGCAGCATCTATACTAAACAACCCTACAAGATAAGCTGACATCAATATCTCGACGTTATAGAAATGTTCCAACATTTAGATAATTGTCACTCCTAGCACAAAGCTCATCAAATGTGATCAAATGAAGGATCATTTTATTAAAGAAACATTTATGTACATGTATTATGCATCTTTGGATAAGACCTAGCAGAAACAATGCAGAAATAGGCTCTAAAAAAGACTTGCTTTCTAGCATCTTAAATGTATACAATAAAGACAAAAGACGTGCAAGAGAATAGGAAATAAAGTTCTGCTTCTCATATTGGCAAAAACTTGGTAGATTGGTCCTACACACTCTCGATTAATATTCTCCTGGGACCCGTTTCACAAAGCATTTTTTCAAAGACAAATGACAAAAATCAGCGACAAATCTGCTGATAACCAATCAGAAGCAAGGATTTCAGTAGCTTATAACAAAAGCTGTCATTTGTCACTGATGACAAGTTTTGTGAAACGCCCCCCCTGATGTTTCTCCCACCTAATAATGATATCCCTCAGTATACAAAGCTTTTGATACCACACTTACACTGTGACAATTATCAACTGACTTACCTTGGTCACTACAGGCTACACAATGCAGTGAACCAGTTGCTATGGAGATGATCTTCTTTCCCTGTAGAGCAGCCACCTTACGGGGGCGCCGTACATGATCGTCTGATCCATGACCAAGACGGTGGTAGTCACCTTTACCCCTGTTGAGCAAAGTAGTTGAGAGATGAAAATGGTTTTAATTGAACAATATTATACAAATTTACACTGTCCTCAGTAAGTTGGAATTGTGAAGTAACTTTGGAATGGTCTGAAGCCCCCATGTTCTTTACTTTTCTGAAGTTATCCTGTATGGCAATTCATTCTCCAAAATAAACTAAGTGCTCTGTTTGATCTTTTCAAGAAAAAGTAGCCGTGCAGACCACTATTATTCAATGATAAAGTAAATTGCACTCAAAGTTCATGAGCCACTTTATTTATCACTTAATCAAAACTATGGGAGTGTCCATTTAAAAGATTATTATTATTATTATTGTATTACTTACATGCACACAATGAAGTAGTTCTCCTCTAGGAGTTGTTAAGTACCATAAGCCCTTTAAACGATTACCACAATGCCACCAAATAAGAGATTAGGTATGATGTGGGGGCTGAGCTTACCACGTATAGACACATCCAGACTTGGTGAGTGCGATAGAGAACTGTGAGCCACATTCCACCTTGCACACACCGATACTACTCAACGCATCCACCTTCTGTGGGACTTTACATCCATCGCTTCCACCTCGTCCTAGCTTGCCGTAATCACCATCACCCCACGACCACACGTTATCATCGTCTGATATGCAGAGGGTCTGGGAATCACCACTGCCACAGGCAACGTCAATCACTCGGTAGCCTTTGAGAGCATCAGCCTGAAACAGAATGGAGACAATGTCCAAAAGGTTTAATTGACTAAGGGTATTGTCTTTCAGATAGGATGCTTAAAGGTAATACAAAGTTTTGGTATGGGGTCATGAATTTGGTTCAAATGAACATATTGGAAGCATATGCTATCTTACAATATTCAGTGATCATTGTCATAGTTGAAATCGAGTCTAAAGTTATGAAATTTTAAACAATAAACTCTTTATGTTGTATAGCTCCCTCTCAAGCTATAAAACAATGTTGTTGTTTTTTACTAAAATCGACCGATTAACTATTCCCATTTGGAAATTATATATCACAACTACATATTCTGATGCTTAGTGGAGGTCCTGCTCATGGAAGGGCCACATCACATGTGAAATATAGTGTAGAGGCACACTTGCAAAGCTCAATCTCTAACATTTAAGATTGACTTGAATGCTAAAAGGTATAATGCACCATATATGGTGAATCACTAACATTATTTTCTTTGGGCACCAATTCATACTGTCCTTTCACAACAAGCTATCAAGCTTTCTACTTTGTTCCATACATACTGTGTGTAAAACTTCTACATAACACAGTAGTCATTATATTTCCTTGGGGTAATTCTAGTTTCATTCACTACTTTTTAGTCTAAGCTTTTCTTCACCTAGTCACCTTTAACCAGGTGTAGATTTTGCCATGGGAGACCTCATTGCTAACCTTCTAGCTAGATCTCTAAATGTTCATAACAATTGTTCCAAAGTATTGGTAAAACACTATCTGAGATATTCCCCCCCCCCCCTACATGTATAAAGCATTCATTAGACTTCATCATGGTAGTTTGTTGCTCTACTCACCATTTTGGGTCTGAGTTGATCTTCACTGTCTCCATGCCCCAGTCTACCGTATCGTCCTTTCCCCCAGGTGTAGAGTTCACCACTAGAGGTCACGCAGGCACTATGAGCACCACCACAAGCTATATCAATCACCTCCTTACCACGAAGACTCTCTATCACACGCGGTCTATCACATTGACTGTCAACAGAAACAAACATGATAGTATCGAAAATAATATCGCTAGTGATATTCGTTAGTCTCGCAATGTATGGTCAACAAGGGATCTAAAAGATCACAATGTTTCGTGTGCCGCTGCAACACTTTGTCAGGTGATAAAATCTAATGTAAACAAGCGTGTTTTACACTCTACGGACAGAACCGACATGATGGAAATCATTCATAAACCCAAAACAATTTGAATTAATAATTGTAAAATTACAGTGTACATTTGTATATACACATTATAGAAACTGTAAGGTCATGGCTAGCTCCATCCTTTTAAGAATAAGACATTTTTGGTCTAAAATAGTAATCTCCTTCAACGATGAGTGACATGACAATGTTATTGATTAAGAACAGACGTTGAAAGTGTTTGCACTAACTAAAAATTACATTGGAACCAGATGATTTGACCCCTTAAGCACAGTTTAATATGTTCTATTCTCATGGCATCAATCCTGAATTTGGTAGTGTTTCTTATAAGCTCAGAGCATCATTTCTCTCATACACAAGAGCTTGCCTTCTGAATATCCAAGGAAAAAATATAAACCAAAAAACTAGCTGATTTTAGAGTATTAGATTGTCAACCCATCCCAGGCAATAATTGATTGATTTCTTCAGGGGTGATAGTGAGCACTAGAAAAAAAATAGGTTGTTTTTTTCCCTGAACCACGCCCCCTTGAGTAAAAAAAAAAGAAGAAGAGGATTCAGGGGGAAAATGGCATCTAACAACATTCCCCCCTTGTGAGTAAAAGAAATTGGGAAATAATAGGCAAAAATAGGAAAGAATAGAGAAAATAAGGGAAAAAACAGAAAAATCAGGATAAAATCGGGAAGAAAAAAAAATTGGGAAGAACAAATAAGGGAAGAAAAAAAAGAAGAAAAAAAAAAAAAAATCGGAAAACCGATTTAAATCAGGTTTTTATCAGGCCTGAGTATTAGATTGTCAACCCATCCCAGACAATGGATATCTTACGTTCTGTTTCCATGACCCAGCTTGCCATCCTCTCCCTCACCCCAGGAGTAAACCTCTCCCTCAACGGACAGAGCGAGGGCGTGCTTTCCTCCAGAGTTGACCGCAACCTTCTTGATGTGGACATGTTGGATGGATTCTAAGAGGGTGGGTGTTGAGACGGAGTCGGTTCCTCCGATTCCAAGACGACCGCTCGCTCCATACCCTGTAGCATATAACTGGATATAAGGAAACCAAGAGTAAAGAAGTTAGGTGTATGGTCAAAACTATTGTAGTGACTCTTATGAGCTAATAGTGGTAGTAATAATCTGTATTGTCTATATTAATAGATCAGTAAATATGGGATTCATCTAAAAATTTGCAAATTATTTAGTGCAATTGTATGATAAACAGCCAAATGTGACTGTATACTTTCATTTTACTAGGGTGATGCATGAAAGACTACAATTCAATCTTGGACATTTCCATCACCACAGGGATGGCGGAAAAAACTGTCCCATATATATACAACGTCTGCTGAAAGCCAAAGGGCTGTCAATACAATAATTATTAAACCAGGATAAATCTAGCCTGAAGTCCATTCAATATGCATGTTATAACAAAATGAAATCCCATCATATCTAAAAATAGATTGCAATGAAATCATATCCAAGCGTTCAATTCCATGCAAAGGAATAACTTATAGCTTTGAGCAGAAAACAAACTGAACAATCAAGATGTTTACCTTGCCATCGGCTGTGACAGCAAACAGTGTCTGCTCTCCACCTACAATCTGGATTGGTCTGAGAGAGGTCAATGACTCAATGGCAGTAGGCACCTTGACCTTCGCACCCTCGATGCCCCCTAGCTGACCTCTATGGTTGTGACCCCAGCCGTAGATGGTCCCACTTCCTCCCCAAGACAGCGTCCAGTCATCAGATCGTCTAAACAAAGAAACATTCATATGACCAGTTCATTTACAAAAAATTGCTAATTACAACATTAGGAAAATGGGATGAGAACACATCTGGAGATGTCAAATTTTCATAAGCACTTAACATTGAAGCTAAAAACAACATTTCTTATCTTCAGCACATACATAGGTATGAATGGGCTTGTCATATTATTTGTTGAACAAAGAAAATTTGATGAATTATTTGATTTCTTACTGGCCATGCTTGGTACAGACACCAATCTTTATTGTGCTGCTTAGAGCAGATCCATATAGGAGAAATAATCTACCAAACTGGGCAGATGGGTTTGTTGTATCCTTGCACATTTCAAATGGAATATGGCAGAAGTCTGTTCTGGAGGGTGTTTCACAAAGCCTTTTTTCAATGACAAATGACAAATATCAGTGACAAATCTGCTGATAACCAATCAGAAGCAAGGATTTCAGTAGCTTATAACAAAAACTGTCATTTGTCACTGATGACAAGTTTTGTGAAACGGGGTCCTGACCTGTTCATCCATAGTAGTATCTGTTCATCTTGTTCTCTCTTGAAAACCTTGTGATCTTCATGTTCCTTGGATAGTTCCTCCCAGTCTGCGCTTATCTGAGTCACCTTCTTCATCACCTCTTCACCAAACACCCTTGGTAGTATGGTCCTGTTCTCCAGAGACTCAGCTACTCTAGCAGCCATGCAGTATCGTCTGAACCAAGCCCATCGGTGAGACTCAGCGCAGCAAGGTAGGGAGTCCAGCTGCAGGTCACAGGCTAGTGCTACTAGCACCTATAAGAGGACCACACCAGGACAAAGACATTGGTCATACAAAATGTTGCATCTATAAACTGCTTTTTATATTTTTATAAAATTCATTAATTAATGATGCAAGAGCTGCTTTTCCAAATATTCATTTGTGGGCTTTGTATTGTAAATATCGTTTTTACATTTCTGCAAACAAGTTAATAGCTTGACTGACATTTGAATAGTAAACTTTGTTATCATAATATTGGAAATATCTCTTAAATCGTTTTGAAATGGACATCACTATGTATACTAATATTAACAAGATAATATTGGATATTTCTATACCACACATATTCATTTAATGTGCTCCATTATAACCCCTGGCCAGCTCTGCTAGGCTAACAATTTTGGTGCTCACTTTCTTCTACTACTGTGCTTACCTTGAAGAATGGGCTATGTAGGAGATGTTTTCCACCCCTAACGATGGGATCCTCATACTCATACTGCCTCTGAAGAGCTTCAGGTAGACCCTTCACTAGGGCTGCTAGCGCGGTGCCACTGAAGTCCTGTAACAATACAAAGAAAATATTCAATCAATAACTTTTAAATCTATTACATTATTGAGTTTTTTTAACGCATGCTTGTATTTTAATCATTCCAATTGGCATACAAGTAAATACATTAAGGCTGCAAATTAATTCATAGAGATTTATCTATAATTAGCACTCTAAATCCTAAAAGGATGGTATTAAATTGACATACCCCCCCCCCCCAAAAAAAAAAGATTACTAACCATGAAACATAACTACAAAGCATACATGAAATGGTAAATATATCACAGCCAAAATCAAGCTGATCTCATAATGAGTCGATTCCCGAAAGACAATGATAGAAATGATGAAGAAGGCCATCGGTCGGTCTTACCCCGAAGGATGAGGGGCTTTCTGCCTGAGCTTCATGCTGGCATAAGATGGCATCTACATTGAGATGACCTTTGAACTCTGTAGAGATGAGCTTCCTAAGTCTCTGTAAGGCCCACATTCTCTGTGCTGCAGCTGTGTTCATGAGAAATGGAGAAGTGTTGGTTATAGATGCATTTGCTACATGTGTAATGCAGTCATTATGATACTATTTCATTAAAAACACTTCTAAAATCACATGTAAATATAGATTGCCGAATATCAACTATATATGCGTTAAGTGGAAAAGTCATGAAATTATAATTTTGTTCCTATACTTCTGTAATGCAGTCATTATCATACTATTTCATTAAAAACACTTCTAAAATCACATGTAAATATAGATGGTCGAATATCAACTATATATGCGTTAAGTGAACAAGTCATGGAATTATAATTTTGTTCCTTCACTTCTCTCTACAGAATCTTTTTAAACAACTGTACATCTTAATTTCAACTTCTTTCGGGTTTATGTTTTTTTTTTTCATTCAACAAGTTTAACTTCTGTGATAATGCTCACTTTAAGATAAAGCTGGGATTGGTGAATCACAAAGTATGAAATGAGCTTTTATTTAAGAATTCTTGATATAGACAGTGTGCTATCATAGGTCTTACCTAGAGTACTAAGCTGTGCACAAGCAGCCAGAGCTGCAGCCAGTCTAGGCATGATCTTCTTATCTCTGCTGGTCTCTAGTCTGAAGTCTAGGAGACAGGTGACTAGATCAATAGATGGCTGAGACAATATAGCTCTATCAGACAACAGGTGTTTAGGTGCTGCTGCAGGCATCATAGGGAACACAGTCAATCTCCATCCCCAGCCGTTGACTGATCCATCGCTCGTAAACTTCCATTTCAGCTCGTCCCCTGCGATGCGAAGCTCCGCCGACCAATCAGACCATTCCCTGCCGGATCGGACTGACACCGTGCGACCGGCGCCATCCATGATGGTTAGTGGATCATGGCGTCGCTCCGTGGAGCACTGGCGATCAAATTCTACACGGAGGGCCTCTGCGCCTGGGATGCGGACATTACCGATGAGAGTGGTGTCGTCAGCGTACGGATGAGAGCTCTCTTGGATGACTGGTTGCATGGCTGAGTGACCTGCCTTGGTGTCTGCTGCTACATCCTCTAGCTCGGTTACACACAGCTCTAGCAACATGTCAGCAACCTAGAGAGAGGGCAAGGGAGAGAATAAATCAGTGAGTTCACAGAACTTTCACTAACAAAAACTATGATGACTCATGAACTTCAACAAAATATGAAAACATAATACAAAAGTTCAGGAGGTAATTTGGAAAATTGCATTCTAAATGGGCAACAAACACACCAGTAGTCTTTTAAAAAGCCCTATATGCACTACATGATGAAGTAAGTGATTAAGGCTGTTATATTTGTAGATCATTGGAGTACAGCTTCTCAAGGTTTAGAGTTCTTCTTGGATCAAATCGCAGTTTCAAAAGGTGTTAATGAATGAAGGCAATAGCTTCAGATATTTGCTTCAATCCCTGACTTTCCTCATCAATTTTGGGGGTTAAGTTTCCCAACTCTACTACATGGTTGAGTAGAAGCCATACAATCCTTGATAGCTAGTGTCCTACCTACATTTGCCACACTCCACCCAGGTGAAGTAAATGGGTACCTGGTAGGAATTTATTCCTTGAAACGCAGCGCGCGTAACAGCTGCACTGCTAAAGCCAGGGTATTCATGCTGCATTATTGTAGAGCGCTTAGAGACTTCTGATAAAGTAAGTGTTAGGCGCTATATAAGCAATATAATTATTACCTCTGGGTAAGCCTTAGCCATGGCAGTGAGTGTATCTGAGATGGCTTGTTGACTATGCTCTCCACACCGTCCTGCTACCGCTAGTTTGAGAAGGTCTACCAGGATGCGAGCATCATCCGGCTGCAGTTTACCAGTGAAGTCATCTAGACTGTGTAAGATGATTGCTCCACCTCCTTGTTCTTCTGGACTTGTTACCTTCACAAACAAAATCAAAACAAACATTAAAACTAATATCTAACATATACAGTAGGCTTGCGGATGCACCATATGAGAGAGAGGGAGAATTGAGGAGTCCTGAAAAGGACTCTCGGTAATCTTTCTTGAGGGTGTGTAGTCCTGAAAAGGACTGTTGGTGTAGTCTAACATGTTTAGCATATCAAGACTGCTTTCTCTGTGACTGTTTAAACATTTATTTGTCTGTAATGAAACCTGAATATTTGTAGTAAAATTGAACAGCAAAACATATCATGACTAAAGACTGAAACTTAAAATAAACATTCCTGCAAAGCAGTGTATCTTCCCCTTTGGTATGATAAAAAAATCTCTCAAAGAAAAAATTCCAATATGTACAATTTCTATTGATATTAATGTCTTTTCATTTGTCATCATGCTAATTTTCTGCAACTCTATGCCTCTTGTAATTGCCATGACTTTTCATGAGTCATTACGCTAATTTTCATGCAATTTTTCAAATTTTTTCCTTGAGTCTTTTCATCTTCAGAAGCTTTTCTAGCCTTGGAAAGCCTTTCTGGCTTCAGATGCTTCTCTTAATTAGTTGACAGTGATGTTGGTGATCAGGGGAACCTTACCTGGTCTGCACTTGTGATAGTCTCTGCTATGATAGAGGAGTGTCTGTTGATACTAGATGGACCAGGACGATCAGAGTCATCCTCAGCCATCTTAACATAACAAAAGACAAAATGAATTTTGCATAAGATTTACATTGAGATTCAATTTAAGGAACACAATGCAAATGTTCTATATTAAAACTTTACATGTTTGAGCAAGCTCACCCAAATAATAAGGTCTAAAGTTGTATATTGGTCTAGATCTAAGAAGAGATACTTCTTGTAAACTATGGAGAGATGAAGAATTAAGAATCTACAAGCCAGTAGAAACACAACCACAGACAAATAAAACACAGCCACAAGGCACGATGAAATAAATTAAATGAAATGGTAAAAATTAGTCACTATAACTATCAAACTAATATTTTTCTTAGGAACTCAATTAACCTGAGAGATACTAACTTCCATACTGCATATATGGATGCAATCTGATAAATATCATACATCTTCAATCAGAAATGTACACGTACATGTTAGTTCATAAATATCTTTCTCATAATCAAGCTCAGATAGAACTTGTTTAGCAAACTCATTGGCTACTTGTTTTCTTACTACATTTATTAAATATAATTTGATAGGAAGCTGTCCAGACAAAACCTTCTCTTATTTTTTTTTTACAGCTGTGCCTTATTCTGCTTTGTATAAATTCATTGTACATGTATATGTTAACCAAATTTATGTATTATATTTTACATGAAATTGCATGTTTTCTACCTTTGTAATTTTTTTTTTAAAGATGGAATTGAATGAACTGAACTCACATCCATGCCCGGAGCAGCATCTCCTGCTGCCATCATTCTGCCCAGACCCATAGGGCTAGTAACGGCTGATAGAGGGCTCTGGTCAGTGGGTGATGGTGCCAATGAGCTTCCTTCTGATTCAGACATACTAGTGTCTGTTCTTGACATGAGTGATCCAACAACAGCATCTCTGTTCATGAGAATATCAAACAAATAATCATAATGGGTGGTATTCTCATAAGTAAAGCCGGGACTAAGTCCAGACTAAACAAGAATTTTAGTTCACACTTTTATGGAATGCTAGGTTTCATCTTCCTCCTTCAATATTCATGACAAAGATAATCTACCAAAGACTTTGTTGAAATTCAGTTCATAATCATATTATCTTTTTCTTTCCATTTCATTGCAAAATTAATTTTTTGGACACTTTTCATTGAAGGATTAAAATAATCTGTACAGGGTAAATTAGTTCGCAACAGGCATTCCATAAAAGTGTGGACTAACTTAGTACGCACTACAGGATACCACCCATTAAATGAATAACACAATGGGTACCCAGCTTTAAAATATATGAAACATTAGAATGGATGCTACTTCAAATGAACTTACATTCACAAGTACTTTTTAGTGTAGTCCATGTACATGCATAAACACAATACTTCAATACAAGTTACTTTTGACATCTCCTACATGTGCAATATCCTTTGAAATTCTTGGGTCTTTCACAAAGCCTTGAAGGAGAATTACAAACTGGTTCTATACATTTATTTCAATTTTGATGTTTTTGTTTTGTTATTGTTATGTTTTTCCTGTTATAATTTTTGATTTTTTCTTACAATGTATAATATGTTATGTATATACTTGATAAGGGGTCATTTTCAATAAGCCAATTTAGTGCTTTTCATAATCCTGTCACTATTATTCTGTTATTGACTTGTAAATTGCTTTTAAAGTGGAAATAAATTGATTTGAATTAAAAACACAAATCCTTTTCTTATGTTGAGCAAATGAATCACATAAGACTACCTGGCATAGATGATCTGCAGAGTAGTTAAGATATGACTGAGTGCCTGCTGCTTGCTGATGTTGTTCTCAAGGGACAGTACTACCTTGGCAAGTGAAGGGCGCTGTTTGGAGGAGCCACCTACGATGGAAGAACTCTTATCAGCTGCCTCTTGACCTGGATCTCCAAACACACCTGAGAGAGAGAGAGAGAGAGAGAGAGAGAGAGAGCTAGAGAAAGGCGAGGATGATTTTTATAGTGATTACCCCGTGTATTAGAACTCTAACAAGCACACAACAACTGCACATTTCTCACTCCCTGGGGGTATTCCCCCATATATATCGTCACGCTTTCAAATTCTGTTGTTGGTACAGTTTGGCAACTATGGAACATTTCATAAGAGCCTACATCCAACAGAATTTTCAAGCCTTTTCAGTATCTTGAAAAGACAACCTCAATTAAAGGCTCATAACTTTGCATGAAAGATCCTAATGTACACACACATCTCACCAACAATATACTTTTACATAATACGATTGAAATCTGAAGACACATGGACTGTTCTGACAATTAAAAAAAAAAATCTTTTTTTAAATCTCTCATTACATGTATGAAAACAAATATATTCTGCACTTTTTTCTCTCAATAAAACGCCCTACTGTGGGGAAAAAATTAAAATTAAAGAAAACAAAAAAAGTGTTGATCATTAACAAATATCTGAGTGTCCATGTCCAAAAAAAATTAGAGTTTGCTTGCATTACAAAACCTCTCAAAGAAGTGTACCAGTGTGCCGATGAGGTACATGTAAATAAACTCACCTAACTCTGTAGCACCTAGAGGATCTCTTGGAGTTGTAAAGAGGACTGGTTCATGCATTGATGGGATTGCTGTGTCGGTGGTTGCCCAGGCGGTGCTGTGGGAGGAGCCACAGGCTACCCTGGTGATGCGGACTCCTTCAAGACCTTGCACGAGGGCGGGCTTCTTGTTGACCGTCGTGGATCCATCGCCCTGCTGACCGTGGTCATTATCTCCCCACGCAAACACCTGATGAGAATCAAAGTAGATAAAGTCATACCTGTACTATTTTGGTTGTCTCTACATGTACATAAACATCCTGTACAAGGCAGCTTTATACATCTTTATGCTATCAATATGCTACAATATGATAACTCTATAAACTTTTCTTTTTCTTTTTCTTTTAGCAATGCTTGAAACTAGAATATGGCACTGATTCAGACTCCTAGACCGTGCAAAGCTCCTACAGCAACACAGATGATCTCTTTGACTTTTTAGATGTTGAATCACATGAGGGTTTCTGACATTGAGAGTCTACCGGTATACCATGATCAACATAGAACCCAACATCCCTTACACTCGCCCCTCTTAATTCACCCCACTCCCCTCTCCCCTTCCTACTTGTCTTGGTTTAAGACCTCACCTGTCCTGTATCAGTGACAGCTAGACAATGCAGTGCTCCTACAGCAACATGGATGATCTTCTTGCCTTTCAGACCTTCAGCCACTTGAGGTTTACGGACATGAGAATCAGTTCCATGACCTAGACGGAAGTAATCACCTTTCCCCCTGAAATACAAAACAAGCGCAATCAGACATTTGCGATGGATGCATAGCTCCATCCTAGCTACATGTAAGTTATGTTCAGTATAGAATATAGCAATCCAACTTTTTCAAAATATCATGTTTTATAGTATAGAGTTGATCTAAATTCAATGTTACTTTAAAGGTAGAAACTGCTCTAAACTTACATTGGTGAATATAATAACTGAATTTATTAATAAATCAGGTCACGCACCATGTGCAAATACCAAGTTACTTGTATTTATGATTTTTTATTCAGCATGCATTACACAGGGACTTAATTCTGGATTAAGTCAAGATATTCTTATCCAATTTCCTGCTCAAACTTACCATGTCCATACTTGACCAGCCTTGGTAAGGGCCAATGAGAACTGAGCCCCACACTCAATCTGTATCACTCCTTGACCGTTCAATCTCTCTACATTGTGTGGTACGCTGCATCCTTCACTGCCGCCCCGCCCTAGCTTGCCAAAGTCTCCATCCCCCCAGGAGTAGACCATTCCTTCATCGGTCAGTGTCAGGGTCTGGGCATCTCTACTCCCACAGGCCACCTGGATGACACGCTTGCCAACCAAAGCTTTGACCTTTATGATAAGAGGAAAAGAAAAGGATGAATGGTCATATTCCAGTCATAGAAAAATGAATGCTCTCTAATTTTATTTAGAGTATTAAATAATATAGTACAGTCTTGAGTTTTGTCTTCAGAATAAAACAATTTGAATAAGTTTGATATCCAATCCTCCAAAGTATTCACTTGTTGCTGAAATCCTTCAAAATTCTGATTCCATTTGTAATAGTCTGGAACTGTTAAATGTACTTGATTTCAATTACGGGATAACAAGTCTTCATTCAGTCCCATCACTATAATATGACAAACATGCACATATTTCTATTTCAATTTTGTTTCTTCCCCAGCCATATACAAGAAACAACTACAATGAAAATGACATGACACTTCTTTTCTGGGAATTGTTACATTGATTTGATGTTTCCAACTTGTTCCCTGACTTGGTGAATTCCCCTACCATCTTACCAGTTTAGGTCTGAGCTGTGTAGTACTATCACCATGACCTAGTCTGCCATACTCTCCTAGACCCCATGTATAGAGCTCACCGCTGGATGTGACTGCTGCACTGTGTGAGCTACCACAAGCAATGTCTCGGATTCGCTTCGTCTTCAGAGCTTCAAGGAGGCGAGGCTTCTCACAGTTCCTGTAAAACAATGCACATAGATTCAATTAAAGGGAATGTATCATGACGAGATTATGTGTCTGTCCCGTGGCCCTACTCGGTGCCAATCGGGTATAATACGACTACGGACGACGCGACGGCAGCATTCACGTGCCTGCAACATATGCGAAACCGAAGCGTGAGAACTTCGGTCTGTTACGCGAAGGCTAGCGCGCGCTGACCCAGTTAATCAAGGCCATTCGTTTACATGCAGTTGTCCAAAAGAAGATGTAGATAGCGTCAACCAGTAATTCCCATGATACACTCCCTTTAAGGAAACACTTTAGCCACTCTACAGGGTTCATACTCTTTCTCATAAATTTAATTCCATGACTTTCCATGACTTTTCTAGCCAGAATTCCATGACCTTTCCATGACTTTTACACATTTTTTTTACACGGTAGACTGAAAATTTGATCTCAAATCAAAGCGAAGCAAAGTGCATGTTTCAAGTCTACTAATAGAAAGGCAGCTTTTGTTATCTAGTTATTTCATCTGTTACAATTACATGTTATTTTTTCATCATATTCGATATGCACTGCTATATAATATTCTTACAATTACACATACATGTATTCATATCAACAATTGTCCATTTTTTAATGGCAATTTTCACTTCTAAAGAATACAAATTGCCTGTTCCTGGTTTCATGGACCACCATGATTCCTTCAATAGCTCTCCTTTGCATGTACAAGGTAACTACCCCCCCCCCCAAAAAAAAAAGAAAACAAAACAACACCAACACACAAACTCACACACATACCATCACCAATTTTGATTTCACCAACAAAACACAGTAGGCCTACTCACATCAGCTGATGAATTCTTGTTTCGCTAGCATTAAGCTGGTCAATAATTTCTGAATGAGTTTTTTCTTGAGACATCTTCATGTAGCTGTTTGAAAGAAATCCCTCTACACATTGCACCTGTCTGAATATTTGGTGGCATTGGTAACAAACTGTCCAAGTTCTTTAATAATTCTTAATGGCATTCAGCTGTTCATCAATCTGTTTCTGAATTACTTGTAACTGGGATGCCTTCTCCTTTGCTGTACGTCGGAGGCTGTTTGATTTGGAAATACAAGTCAATCTTCCTTGTGACTCTGCTTCCTCAGCATACTTGTCTGCTGAGGTGTGAAGACTTTTCACATCTGCTTGCAGTCTCATTTGTTTGGCCTTTAGTTCTTCCAAACCATCCATCAGTCCTTTTCTCTTTCCTTCTTTCTTTTCCTTTTCCTTTTTACGCCTCTGTTCATCGAGATAGATGTGGTATTTCTGCCTGCCTGCAGACGCAGCCAACATGATTGATTTGTCAATAGTCACATTCTTGATTCCTCCAACATACTTGATATGGTCATAAATGGCCCTCAATGATATCAGTGAGTGTCCCAGGAGATTGTCCTCTTCAACTTCGTTGTTGATTGAGAAACCTCTCTCAATGGAGGCTTGTCCATGGGACAAGACAAGCAACATGCGGACCAACTTTAAGAGGGTCGAATAGCGAGACTCGGACAGAAATTTGCACATTACAGAGTCCAATCTCTCTTTCTTTGGATCAAAGTCTCTCATCTCTGCACTTCTTGATGCCTCATCACATGCTTCTGAGTATTCTCTTAGGATATCGTCACATGAATCCTTAAGTCTGTGGGCATCACTAAGGGTGTTAAGCACCCTCTTCAGCTTTGCAGTGGAGTTTTCTTTGTCTTTTGCCATGTTCTTTGGACTCAAGCATCCTATATTTCTCACAAGTGCATACTTAAGCGGACATCGCTCAATGAGCTTCCGGGTCATTGCAGCAAGAAACTTCTTTGCTTGAGTGCGAAATTCCAGAACTTTCAGCTCACTGATGATATTTTTCGCCTTCAGATCTTTCAGCTTCTTCTCAGTGTAGAATCCAATGTCCAACTTGGCCAAGGGCAGCTGAATGGCCTCACTGCTAACATCTACCTGCATTATCTTGTAAGGAGAAGTAATGGTACTCCTGTCCAGCTTTAAAAATCGCTGCATAAGGGATGCAAGCATTCTAGTAAGGTCTTCAGCTAAAAAGGGCAGCATTGGTGCATCAGTCTGATAGTCTGTTAGGAAAGGATTGACCAGCTTTGCAACAGATATGAAGAAGTACAGTCTTGCTAAGAAATCAGTTATATGAGTACATTTTGAAACAGTTTCAAAGGACTTGTTCTTTGGGTGAGGGATTTTCTTCTCTTCTACTGCTTTAACATACGCACATACACTCTCCCAGATGCTGATTGCTCTCTCTGCAACAGGAAGGTTTTCCAGCCATCGGGTCTTGCAAAACTTAAGTGGCATGGTATGATCTCCAGTTATCTTCTGATAATCCTCTCTTCTGGCAGGGGAATCAGAAAACAGGTAATACAAGGATGATAGAAAGCTTTCCACCTCCCAGTCAGCAGCCTTGGCACCTGTCAGAAAAGCACCATTAACTATATGGAGCCCGCATGAGCCTATATTCAGTATGGATTTGGTCAGGTCAGCAGTGTACTCTCGCGTAAAGTCATCATACATCTTCCAATTAACGTTGGGACCATCCATTGATATTTGCAGTAATTTTTCCAAGCCAACTGTGTGCAGAACTTTATTCAGTTCTTCCTTGAGGTGAACAGCTGAACCATGTCCGATGAACACAGACGTCAAGTAGCGAGTGCAAACTTCATTGTGTTGCCATGTTCTTATGAGGAAGTCCATCTGCTTTTTCTGGAGCTTCTTGTTGAGGCTTTCATCAAACAGTATCACATAGTGGTTTGATTGTTTTATGTTGTCATAAAGGAGGTCTTGCACATATGGGCCCAAACCAAACACCGTCATATACCGACATTTTGTTTCTGACAACGTGAAACCCTTAGCAATAGCTGAGTCCGGAAACATTCTTTGAAAGAGCTCACTGTTGTGCTGGCAAGAATGAAATGATAAATGATCCTCCACCACTTTCAGACACCAGAGTATTTCAGCTTTTAAAGTTTCCTCTCTTGCAGCAACAGGAATGGGAGTTGTCACTTTAGAGGTTGATGGCGCACAAGTACTGGTTGTTGCATCTGTAGACGTGATAGATACTGATGAACTTTCTGCACCTTTTGCCTTGAAGAAGCTCTTGAGTGAGAGAGTAGAATCTAGGAGAAAAGAAAAAAATGTCTATTAAAATAAATAAAATATAAATATCATCATTTGGTAAGATTTAGGGCCGAGTCAAAACGTTTAACTGCCGTTCAAACGACCATTAAAAGCATAAACGTTTTCCTATTTTGACAACCGTTTGACAGTATGGGGAAGGAAAAAAAAAAAAAATTCACGGCAACTTTTGGCCAATTGATGTAAGTCACTAAGACAAGTGGACTAATTTTTGACTCATTCCTTAAAAACATATTTTAAAGAAATAGAATCTAGAAAGGAGGAAATACTTCTCAAGGCAAGCAAACTGTTGGACCCAATTGTAAGTACAAAATTTAGTTTTATGATTTTTGGGGTCAATTTTAAGGTAAATTATTATTATTTTTTTTTTCTGCAGTCCACATACAGTGCCCGGTACAACACTGGCGTGTGAGTGCGGAGCCCCCTGGGTTAGCGTTCGGGCTGTTGCATGCAGTAACCTAGCCGGCCCGGCCCGGGGCCGGGGACGCTCCCGAACGGGCTGGTCGCAGTAAGCAGTAACCAATGCCTGCGAGGTGACATCGCATCGCTAAATAATCTCAAATCTTTCATTTTTATATAATTATTATCAGTCATTATTTGGATTCATGCTCAATAAAGGATCGGTAAAATTCACATTAAAAATGCTCACTTACGACGTTGTTGCTGTTGGAGGTTTGCTGTGTGTTTTTCACTCTTCTTGTGGCTCTTGACGGCTGCTTCGCCCATATTACGGACACTGAATTTACACATACAAACAGCACATCTAGCAGTCCCCAGATCGGAACTTTCTTTCAAAATCCAGCCACGGTAATCCGGGTGTTCTAACCAAGCATCCTTAAAATGACAATTTCCAGGCATTTTGAATATCACTTCCACAAAATTTGTAATGGTGAAAATATCCACGTGACGAGTTCCAAGGTCTGTGAAAATAAACAACTCCGTTTCATGAAGAATCAACACATGCACAAAAGTTTCAAAACACATGCCGTCGCGTCGATATATAGATCGTCAACGAGCTAGCGCTGCCAATTTGCCTTGTTGACACGTCAGTATTGTTCCTTTTTTATTTAAATAATGAAAATTAAAAAACAAATATTACTAATTTACTTTTTCCTCATTTATTGGAGAAGTGTAAAAATTGTAGTAGGTCTAGTCTAAGTGGTCGCAATTTAATGCAAAGCCAAAGTGCAATCGAGGCATTACATTCGTTCTTGGAGTGTCACATGTCGCGTTGGCACCATCATCATATGCACACACACACTGCACACGTACACGTGCGCTAGCTTGCTGAACTGAGCTAGCGCTAGCGAGCTCGCTCGCAAGCTAGCCATGTGCGCACGATGTGGACCGTACCGCCATACACTGACCATACACACGTAGTTCGTATCGTACACGTACACACCCACGTACACAGCGCTTATCCATCGATCATAGTGAACACATTCACAAGTACAGTACAATCAGTCGGTATGTTACGAATGAAAGAAAATACGAGAAGAAAATGGTTGAAATATCTCCATTTATTCACTTGTATAGTGAGAAAATACTATAGTTGTCCATAATTTTGATATTCCATGACTTTCCATGACTTTCCAATGGAAAAAATAATTTTCCATGACTTTCAAGGCCTTAAAAGCAATAAAGTAAAATTCCATGACTTTCCAGGTTTTCCATGACCCGTACGAACCCTGCTCTATGAACCAAACAGTGAGACAGCACATTTACACATGTACTCATACTTTTCAGTTCCCGACAATGATAAAAAAAGTGATCAGAAATTTGAGACCTCGCAAACATGACTCTTATTGGAGTTTTCTGTTTAGTCCTGTATATATGCATCATCTGTGTGAACATTGGATTCTCAACAGTGTACCCTGTGTACAAAAACATTAAGAAAAGTAAGCCATAGAAACGTGACTCAACTCCAGTAATGATTGAATAAATTTTAGATACACCTCAAGGTCTCATTAAGACTACAACACACATACAATGTAGCTAGGTATATTCACAGAATTCCGATGCAGTTTCCAAACCAACATTGTCAAAGGTGTAATATGAAATTGATTGGCTGTTCTGTTGCCTATATTAATAATACTAATAAACTTTTAAAATAAGTATCTTAATTGCTTACATTCTACTAAGATGTCCCAGTTTCCCATCATCTCCTTCTCCCCATGAAAACACCTTGCCATCTACAGTCAGTGCCATAGCATGCCGTCCACCTGGGAAATAATACAAAATGAATAAGGTTGACTTTCAAGGATAAAGAAGACAAGCCTCAATACTATTATCAGTATTCAGATATGGGAATCAAATCTGATTTTCCACTCAGTCGATATGAACACAAATTGCACTGACTAATTCATAAATTCATATATTTTGAAGCATAATTCAAGGTTTAAAGCCCCACTGGACTACTTATAGCTACTTGCGCCCTATATATAGCAGACAATGCCTAAGCGGTGACCGTTGGTCCCCATGGTCCCCTTTTTCTTATGTATATTGAGAGCTGATTTGATGAGAAAACCACCTGTCAGTGACCATGCAGGGAGGTCTAATCCCTCCTGGCCAAAATTTTTCAGATAGGCTTTGATAGTTCACCTTCTCATAGCTAAAGAAAATTTTTCATTTTCAACTTTTTTTAAAAAAAAATAGGCCTTTTGGCTGAATCTCAAACAAATCAAATCGAACCACTTGCAGTAAACATGAATTAATAACCATCCTGCAATCAACATTTATTGATATACTGCAATTATTGGTTCAAACAGAAATGTGAAATAGGTGGAATTTGATCAGCATTGCTTGCATAACTACATAAACTACTATCTGGCGCTGCTCAGTGGCTGCCGGGCTCACGATCAATTGAGCAAAAAGAATTTCCGTTTTGGTTTAATAAAATTTGGAGTGGACTATTAGGCTATTATTATTATTATTATTATTATTATTATTGCATAGTAAAGCATGCAGAATATTCTCCCAATTTCACCAACATCCTATCCTAAATATATTTTGATGACTCAAGATATGATTTGACCATGGCTACTTACCAGAATGAACGGCTACTTTCTTGACCACATACTGTGAGAGTCCATTGACCTGTTTAGGGATGTCCACATTCTGTGATGACCCTAGTCCTAGCCGACCGTTGGTTCCTTCTCCACAGGCATACACTTTACCCTCAGCGGTCACTGTGGGACGAAGCAATTTAAATCCTATTGTTAAGCCATCTCCATCCTTCTAATAACATGATATCGAGGGGTCAGTGACACAAAGACGTAACTCCATTTTGGCCATTTTGAGAAAAAGTGGTTTATGTGTCACCGAGCACTAGGGCCTTAAGGAGTTAAGTCTATGTTTCACTAGCCATTGAATTCAATGGGGTGTTGGGAGGAGTTAAGTCTTTGTGTTTCCTGGGAAGCCCACATTTTTCTGAACATATTGATATCAAATACTCATTTTGGCAAAATATGGAGTTACGTCTTTGTGTCACTGAACCCTCAATATGTTCAACTGAATTCTTCTTCTCTTGTTTCAGGAAAGATTAAGCACTTTCAAAATGCTGAGGAAACTTGATAACTGTCAACCAATGAACTCAAAAAGATGAATTAGTTCTGTATAATCATATAAATCTTTTAAAGTCTATCCACCTTTACAATGACTTGAATCACTGACAATTTCATTGACACAATATCATTTAGCTACAAAGAACCAATGATTGTTTCATGCATAACACGGTCTGCATTAATCATGATACAATTCCTCTTACCAACAAAGAGACTCTTGGATCCACCTGCACAGCACACAACCTTCAGGCTAGATAGGAACTCATTCAGAACAGGTGTTTTGATCTGTGTAAACAAAACAAAAAATTTAAAGGGAGAAAAGATCAACATTAAAGCATGAAAGAATATGTTGAACATAACTATCATACATGTTAAGCTCTGTAGTGCTGTTTAACAGCTGTCTGGACTAGGACCAATATCCAAAGAGAGAGAGAGAGAGAGAGAGAAAGAGAAAGAGAAAGAGAAAGCGAGAGAGGAAAGAGAGAGAGAGAGAGGGAAGAGGGAGAGAGAGAGAGAGAGAGGGAAGAGGGAGAAAGAGATGAATTTCATGACATGAACTGCATTATTAGTTCTAAGGAAGTAAACTCTAAAAGCTTTATTTCAATAACAAGTAATTTAGAAAGTGATCACACAGGTTAATTGCTAATCAAGAAGTGAAACAAAACCAATTCTAACCTTTGACCCTCTTGGTCCTCCAAGCTGGTCTTTATCATTCAGACCCCATACAAACACCTTAGTCTGAATCTCTCTGCTGCCGCCATGGTCACCCGCTGACCGCTGCCTGGAGGATAACCTGGTCATCATGTTAGTACCATGGTCATCCTCATTGTCTGAGGACATGAAGGCGAAGGTCGAGGCAAGGTCATCTTCGTCAGGTCTTGACCGACCGATGATTGAGAGACCGTGAACCTTGCAGTCTATGCCACTTGATTTGCACTGTTTGATTGCAATCTCTAGGAAACGATGGAACTGTGAGAGATGGGAAAATGGATGTACATGTATGAGTGCAAGTGTGGAAAAACCATGCAATCTTTCAATGCATCTTAAAAATATAAAATCATTGCTGTACATTTATATTCATGTTCATGTCATAAAAGTTTGAGTTAATAAGTCTACAAAGTTCTCTTTCTCTCAAACTGTGCGTTGACTTCAGCCATAGTATTACACTGTTGCAGCTGTCGACTCTTAAGATTAAAACTAGGGAAATTATGTTATAAGTGCAAGGGATGATAACAATCCTGTTTTACATGAAAAATACTTTTTTTAATTCCATAGATTAGAATTGCACTGCAATTATGCACTACACAAACAACGAACGAAGAACACTGAATGTATCCTACCTCTGTGCAGTCTTGAAGCAGGGTGACCATGGACTCAGACGGACTGACTCTGATGGTCTTCAACTCTCTCACTCCTGAGATGGTATCCCCTCCTGATATGATGATGAGAGATGGTTGGTAGGAGCTATCATTGGGATCGACCACCATCCTCAGACGATGCAGCAGGACATCGTTGTGCATCTCCAGACGGATCCAATGCTTTGTCAAAATGAAGAGAAAATATACAAATGATACCTCGGCTAGCAATTACAAGTGTTTGAGTTGAGTTTGAGTTTGAAGTTTATTATGTTAAATGTGAATGGTTAACAATGAAAGAATAAAGTACTTGATTGTGTTTGTAAACGTGTAGCATGATGACCACATTCAGCTCAAATCTCAACATTAAAGGAACAATGGACTGCAATATTTGAGTTGCAATATTCATTCTCATTACTTTCAGACATTTCATCAGATAAGCAATAACCGTGAAATGATACATTGTTATTGCTGATTGGAGTTGGACAAGCCATTTTCATTGATCATAAAACTCACCTTTCCCTGTGATCCTGAGGACTGCCAGTAGGTGTTAGGATTACCATCAATAAGACGTGACATTTGACCTTCCTTGGATGACACTGTCAGGTTCTTCACACAGCGAGACCATTCCTCAATCAGAGAGCCTGCGGGAGGGGCCTTCTTGCTGCCGCTACGCCCAGGTCGACCTACATTCACTGGAGTTAGACCTACAGGAAAGGAATTAGTAATAAGAATTTATAAAGCAGCTCATATCAGAGTCTCTTAGTGTTGTATACAAGTCAACAGTCATCGTCTGATTCATTCCTACACCTACAGCCTACATTCCATCTATTACAGTACTTCATTGGGGTATATTCATGACATAAAAGCACTATAAGGGCATATGTTAAATGCAACGACCATCATTTCTAGTATCCTTCCAGGCACCTGTTTGCCCCTTGGTATGGTGTATATCATTTAAATGAATGTCTTCTCCAAAAGATATTATTTATCTTCACTAACATACAAATGACAACTATTTGATCCATAATCTAGGGACAAGTCATACATGACCAGCTTGAAAACATCACCTATGACATTGCATGAAATAAGAAAATTGGGAAATAAATCATGTTTCACTTGCTATCTAATTTGCTTTTTGGTGAAGAATCATTTCTACAAATTCAAGTTCTTCTCTGGTTCTACATACATACAACACAAACACCAGTAGGAAGAAATTCCTTGAATACTTGAACGCCTTTTCATGGTAGCTCGGCTAAAGCCCGGTTATGATTGCAGGGCCCTCAGGAAGAACAGTATTAATACCGGTGAGGCTACCCTGGGTAAACAAGACATGTTATTATTATTATTATAGCATCAATCACTCACCAGGTTCTGATATTCTCATAAAGGTGTGTCTATGATTGCGTTTGTTTCTGAAGCAGTTCTCACAGAAGTTAAACTCTCCACACGTCTTACACTTGAATCGTAGGCCAACAATAGGACTCTGAGTGCATCCGTTACACCTGCGATGAAAGCATTCATTTAATAGATTCCTTACATGAAAACTCTCTACATAGCAACTTACTACCTGGGGGTGTTTCACAAAGATCCCAAGTCAAACTTAACTGTAAGATGGACTTAAATATTATAGAGAGCCGTTTGTAGCCTTAAAATTAAGTATATTCAAAAGCAAAAGTAAAATATTTTAGACTTTTTATAAAGTCCACATCAAGAACATGAAATCTCCTTGATAATAGAACATATGAATGATTTGAATCAACATTTTATGCCTTTTTAAATAACTTTTACGAAATATTTTCATAGATGCTAGCGGCTTTCCATAACTTTTAAGTCCTACTTAGAGATAAGTTCAACTTAGGATCTTTGTGAAACACCCCCCAGGTCACAATAACCTAGAGGTCAGGCAGAAGCTCAGAATTCATTCATCAAAGTGAATAATGCATGACCTGGGCAAGTTCTGCTTTTTGTTTCTAACAGAGTGAACTTCATCCTGGCTGTGGCCGTCACATGAAGTCGATGATGATGACAAAGTTTACACATTCTATTATTACATGTACATGATTACAATAATGAAGGAGGAGCTGTATTGATCTTTGTTCTAAGTTGGCAACATAATGAAAAATAAATCAATCATGTATCATACATTTACACAACTATATGCAAGTGAAAAACTTCCATACATTGGAACATATAAGAAAAACCTGCCAGTGTGCTTATCACACTGAGCAAAAGCCTTGTCTCTTTCAACCTTCTCACTCCAAGGTGTGTATAATCTTACGTGATGCCAGGATGAGTGCTGAGGACGAGCTCCATCTCACATACCAGACCAGTCCAGTGAGGTTGCTGAGGAAAGTTCACTGTCACATCCTTCCCATTCGCATTGAAACCTGTCAGGTTTATAAATGATGATAACATGAATTACTTTAATCATATGTCAATAAATAACACATGGAATTCATTCACCTCACATATGAAATGAAACTAGAAATATAAACACCTTCTCTAATGGATCTGTATATGTCTTAAAAACTAAATGATGGCCTTTACACTCTGCAATATGATTCTACAATCTAATATGTCCATACATGTACATGCTTCTATTTGAAACTTCAACCTTATAGACTAGGAGAAATATCTATCCTAATGTTCCATCAACATTTCTCCTGAAATTTGATTTCCAGCCCCAAGCTGAGTCTGTCCATCACCCCAACCCCTTGAACTGTACGATGGTTCAAATATCCTGCATTTTCTTAGTTTAAAAGGAATGAGTCTTCAGAATCCACCATCAAGGGGATGTGCATCCAAATCCACCATTTTGGAACAGACTACCTTTAAATGTAAAAAACTGTCACACAAGATACAATTATTGAAAATTGCTTTCGATGATTAACTAACTCTGTTCACTTTGATGTGTTTTCCATATGTATTGTAATTTGTAGGTTTCTTTGCACTTTTTTGTTTTGTTTAATATGTAATTCTTTATCAGTCTATTTTGTTTGTTATAGCGCTTAGAGACTTAAGTGGGAAGCGCTTTATAAGTAACGTTTTTATTCATTTATTTATTTATTTATTTTCCAATTTCATGTACAAAGAATCAACAACCTTAGCTAGCACTAATCTCAGAGATTACAAATGAAAAGCACTCACCAGTGACAGTACCGATGCTCTGATGGTTGACTGAACCCCACTTGTACCTTGGAGCTGAGACTGACCTCTTGACCCTGACCCGATCACCGACCTTGATGTTAGATCCTGGAGCACATTGTGGTTGGAATCCTAGAAGCTCTACATGGATGTACCTGACCCAGTAGGTTCCTCCTTTCAGATGCCAGTCTCCCTGGACATTCAGATCATGAAGACCATCACGATCAAGCTGAAGAGGATATCAAAGCAGTTCAATAGTACAGTCAAACACTGAAGAGCCCAAAGAGCTAGTTAGTACAAATAACTGCACAAGTAGGTGGTGCAGAAGGTGAATGAGTAGTAAATATATTCTGTGAAGAAGCATAACATTAGTAGGAACATTTTTACAAGTATGTGTCGCAGCCCTCAATTGGTTAGATTCTGTGGCATTTCTATTTTCGATTGATTATTCTTATCCAATAAAAGCCCTTGAATTGCTCTCCATTCCAAGAATAAGTTGGACATCTGGCAGAAATATATATTTGGTACAGAAGTAACATATATCCAACAAACTCGTTATAATATATTATAATTTTACAGGGCAAATGTAGTACAATATAGTACAACCTAAGAATATATAAATGTAATATTATTCAATCATACACCCTCTGAGTCTGCAAAGCGGTATGTTTGCCTTGTTTTTTCTGTCTTCCTGTTGTTCCACTTAATTCATATTTAATTATTTTTATAGTTTGGGGACAAGCCTTTGATAGGCCTTTGGCCTTTGTTTCTACACCCACATTTCCATATTTCTGTTCTGTTGTGTTATTTGTTTGAATTGACTTTGTATTGTAAATGTTTGTTATCGTGATTTTTATCAGAATGTGAAAACGAAATAAATTGAATTGAAATTGAATTGATAAACAGAGAAAAAAAAGAGCAAAATCTCTTCCTACCTTGACGACCTTTCCAATGTCGCCCTCTTGTACCTCTTCGTATGTCCTACAGCATCTGACCATCATCCCAACCTGTATGTGATCTCTCACGTACATCGCAAAGTCATCATTGCTCAAGAAATCACTCCTCTTCTTGAAGACGGTGGTCTCAGGAGATATCAACTGTGGAAAATAGTCAGTTTGTGTTTAAGGTTTATACTTGCACTCAAAAAGTTTATGAGCACCATTGACAATTAGAGCATGAGAAAAAGAAATATAGCAGTGATTTTTGTGTAATTTGTACAAATTTTCTATTCTACTGACTACAAATAATTGTAGAGAAAAATGTCATGTGATCAAGATATACCAGAAAGTTTCAATAGCCAATGGCCATATCAGACATGTATCATATACAGAATTGCCCACTAAAGGCAAAACAGCAACTAGATTGAACAAACTTTGCGAGAATTTAAGAGTAACAAGGTAAAATGATCAGTAGAATCTGGAATTGAAGTGTCACTTCTAACCATAAAAGAAAATCTACTGAAGATCTTAAGAGTCTCACCTGTTCATAGTCTGTTTCCAAGTCCTCAAACTCATCATCGATATTGAGATCCGAGTCGGAGCAGTTATCATACGAGGAGTTACTCTCAACATCTGACACATCAGGTGGAATCTGGATGTTAGGGTTATCCACCAACCAGTTGACTACAGCCTCTGGGCCAGGCTGGGCATCAGATACACCAGCTGAGTTACATGAGATACACAAAACATGTTAGAGAGTGGTTACATCAATTTCTCAGGAAACACAAAGTAAGATTAAAGTTGTATTATCAACTATCAACTGTTAATTATCAGAATCTATGTAACAGAGAATATCCTAAGTGCTATATGTATGTAAGTCTATTTGCAGCAACATTGTATTACACAGAAAATTTCTTGAGAAAGGCTTTCAGTCAAGCTTTTGTTTTCATTGTTAAGTTATGAGGCAAAACAGCACCATCCCGATCCACATAATCATTTCTTAATCTAAGGTTAGACTAAATTTTGTCAAAGGAGTGTAACAAAATAAAACAACAGGACTGTTGCCAATTTGAAGAGCAAAAGATAAAATATTCACTTACTGATTGCCTTGATAGCGAACTCTACATGTTTCCTTGGGAAGCCCATGTCCATCATCTGATTGACGAGTGGAGACGGAGGTTGCTCCAGAGGTTTAGCACGATGTGAACGAAGCAGCTTAGGAAGGAGTCCTACAGTCTCCATGGCTGAAGGTGAAGGAGTGAAGTCAGTCTTAAGCATGATGGGTTCCTGGTCGGATCCGTTCAGAGGACAGAATGCTTCCTTCACTAAGTGTTGGGTCAGGGCTAGAGCTGCACACTGGTGGGTGGGTGGAATATAAAGAGGAGGGTTGTTAATTCTATAGTTGTTCCTCAGAGGAAGACTTGGAAGGAATCCAAACTATGTGAAGTCATCTTGCCGTTTAACGTCCATTTTTCTTAAGCTGTAGGTTTGGACACGTAATATCCTTAATGGCACTTCATTAGCATTCACATGAGTGAGGTCAGATGTTTTCCTCTAATGTCTCCTTCCAAGGATTGTGAGATCTGCCATAGAGAGTGGTGAGCTTACCACAGGGTACAATGATATGAACAAAAATCCCTTCCTTTATCCCTTCCAAAACTACATCTTATGCAAAAGAGTAAAAATCATATTGAAGCTCTATAGCATAATGGTCTATCATCTGGACCTGCAAATGAGTTTTTTTTAGTTTGAATCATAATCTATATTTCAAACCTACGTGAAAGAATAAAACATCAATAATACAGCTGTCCAACTCGACATAGATGAATGGTATTTATGTGGAAGTGATATCAGAAATATGGAACGACCTAGTTTAGTTTGAAACACTTTAGAGTAAAAGCCAAGGCTCAGTTTTAGTTCATATCTAATGTAATATGGAATATGAAATATGGAATGTTGCTACGTGAAATATGGAATGATATACTCAAGCATGTAAAATGGCGACTGGCTGGAATGCTACCCAGGGAGTGGGGAATGTGCATACATTGTGTGCGGGTAAGCCTGAATTCGTAAATCCGTATATCTGTAAAGCGCATTGAGAGGGCCTGCGGTCCTAAATTGCGCTATATAAGGACAAACTATTATTATTATTATAATTATTATTGATACATTACTATTACTAATATGTATTGTTTACCCAGGGTAGCCTCATCAGAATCAATGCTGTTCTTCTTGAAGGTGCAACATTCAAGCAACGGCTTTTGCAAAGCTACCATGATAAAACACTCAAGCATTCAAGGAGAGTAGCAAATACAGAGTAATACATTGCCAAAGGACATTAGCACCACGAGTAGAGTCAAACCAAAGACACATAAATCATATTGCTGATGCATTTGACTTACTTTGAGTTCTTGTCTGATGAATAGAGCCTTGACTGGTGATGGTTGAGTAGCAGCACACATGAGCTGTTGTAGCAGTGTGTACCTCTCGACTGCTCCTATCTCATCAGGACTACTACCCTCCTCAGACGACGATGTACCTCCACCGCTAGACGATGTCATGTCCCATGCTGCAGTCGTCAAGGAGAGTAGCTGACGGAGGTTGTCTTGGCGACTGAAGACCTTACGAGCAGCCTGTAGCAGACCCAGACGCATCTGCTGCTTGCGAAGAAGCTGGAGGTCTATTCCTTCTGTTGGATGGATGCATAATAACAGTAAGATGACGATCACACAAAATATGGGACGAGAAAAGATGGGACACATTTCAAAGTATTTGCAAAGTTGATAGCATAGCAATGTATGTCTGATCTGGAAGGTGTTTCACAAAGATCCTAAGTTGAACTTATCTCTAAGTTGGACTTAATAATTATGGAAAGCCGTTAGCACCTTTGAAAATATTTTGTAAAATTTATTTCAAAAGGCATAAAATGTTGATTCAAATCATTCATATTTTCTATTATCAAGGAGATTTCATGCTCATGATGTGGAATTTATAAAGAGTCTAAAATACCTGAATTTTTGCTTTTGAATATATTTTATTTTAAGGCTACAAATGGCTCTACATAATATTTAAGTCCAACTTAGAGTTCAACTTTGGAACACACCCCCCTGCTCTCATTCTATACAGTGTTGCAATACATATTAGTCTTATTTTGTACTCTTTTCTATTTGTCTATTTGCAATGAAGGTACATGATGGATAGTCATACAAGAAAAAGATGTACTTTTAGTAAAGGTTGTGCCAACCATCTTTAGTTACAGAGAAGAGGTAAAAGGTCAAATTTAGATAAAATTCTGAGAATTACAACCTAGGCATCCAATCTACAATCATGAAACACAAATTAAGAAATCTATAGTTAAAATCTTGAATTGAGGCCTTATAAAAATGTAGGTTTTTCTCTTTAGTCTACCTGCTATGTCCCTATTGGATAACAATTGAGACATCAACAAATTACTCCATATGCCATGATGAATACCAGAAAATAGCAAGTGTTTATAGCATTCAAACTGAAATTGAATTTATACAGTAGGTTTGCGGATGCACCATGTGAGAGAGAGGGAGAATTGAGGAGTCCTGAAAAAGACTCTTGGTAATCTTTCTTGAGGGTGTGTAGTCCTGAAATTGAATTGTTGTATGATCTTACCATGTTCCACTGAGCTGAGTGTACTGCCACTGTTATCTCTACTCATAGAGCCTCGATGAATCCTGAACCCATTTGCAGCAAGACTGATCAACTGACTCCACATATCAAGAACAGCTGGAGTCAAGACTAACTTCTCAACACAGAATGGGATTGATACAACCTGACAGGAAAGAAGATAAACAATGTCTTTAAAAACTCGTTTAGATATTGCCAAGCTCTTAAAGCATATTCCAACACTGTAATGAAACAGAAAAATGTATTAATTATAAACGATCTTGGAAGTACATAGGTACTCACTATCAAAATATATGCCATACAAAAAAAGAATATCCTGATTAGCATAACCCTTCATATTGGCATCGTATGATTACAGTCAAATAGGTACGACATTGAGAAGGACACACAATATATACAAATACACCAAGAGACTGAAAAGGAAAATAGAAATGGACAGAGTTCAAGGTATCCAGATAAATAGACAGATGAACAGAGGGAGAGTAGAGTCAAAGAAAGAGGAAAAGAGAGAGAGAGAGAGAGAGAGAGAGAGAGCATCAGACAGGTATGGAAGGTTACCAGCTGGGGGGGGGGGGGGCGTTTCACAAAACTTGTCATCAGTGACAAATGACAGTTTTTGTTATAAGCTACTGAAATTCTCGCTTCTGATTGGTTATCAACAGATTTGTCACTGATTTTTGTCATTTGTCATTGAAAAAAGGCTTTGTGAAACGGGTCCCTGAGCTTGTAACTGATACATGATAGCAATATGAACTTGGCTCTTGAACTCACTGGAGACAGTGTTGAAATGCGGCAAACCCTCCAGGTTCTTTGACCATCAAACTGAACGGTCAGTCTCCCGTTAGCAGCCATGCTGACCAGTGTCCCTACTCCATACTCCTCATGCCTGACTTGACCACCAAGTCTTGGTCGGTCATCCACACCTCCTATCATGGCCAGGACGGCCATCACCTCTCCTTGACGAACACGGTATGAATCATGCTCTCCGGGCTACAAGAAAGCAAATAACATCATTTTAAACATTCTATCTATCTATAAATAATAATGATAATAATATTAATATTGATAATGATAATAGTAATACTAATTACAATGTAATATTGTTTAAATAATTCTCTGGATATAGGAACAAATATTGTCAATAATGTAAATTCAAAGAAAATATCTATATAGTGAGAATGTTAAAGTGCTATATGTCTATTTTCTCTATATACTCGTTTTATGTTGTATGTATCACGTATCATGTCACATGTACACTTTATTTATTTGTCTCTGTGAATAATGCATGTAAACGCAACAAATTTCCTTTCTAACCAATACAATTTGAATTTGAATTTGAATTTGATCCGAATATCTTCTCCCGGTTCAGAGGTTGATTGCAACATCTCTCCATTTCACTCTATCTTCTGCCATTCTGGCGCACTCTTGCGGTTTTAGTCCACTACAGTTCATTAATGGATATAAAAAACACTACCTATAAAATACTTTTATCAGAGGATAATACACCAAATACTTTTATTACTCTGATTTTAGCTAGCTCCACTGATCAAGGTTATCAACCATTCAAGGATTTTCTTCCGATCATGTTCCTATTTACTTCACATGGGTGGAGAAGTACTCAATTTTTTTCAACATTAATTATCAATTATAGCAAATATAAGTACAAACCTTTTAATTTACGAATCTTATGTTGATACAATCATTAATCAAGAAAATAATTCCTTTAGTTATAATGAGAATCAATGTCAATGCTGATCTTCAATTCATGTTTTTTGCTCAGAGCAAATAAGGAAGTTTTTTTCTTCTTCTTTTTTCAGCATGGTCTTGTCTATAAAACAACACCTTCATTACTTGAATCCAGTTGAAATGAAACAATTGCAGTGCATGGTGAAGTCAGCTTGACTCAGTCATTATGTAACTTGTTATTTGTTAACAAAAAAATCACTAGCATCAATCAATAAAATTGTGAATTAACTGGAGTTTTTACCTGAGGACCTGCTTCATCCGTAACCATGGAAACCACTTTACATAGTCTCTGATTGATGTACTTGTTGATGAATAGATTCCAGGCTGGTAGCATATGAAGCTTCCTCAGTAGCAGAACGATCTCTTCAGCTACTGTACTGGCGAAGGGTGCAGTCAGGGAGACCTTCGCCTTGCAACCTGCCTTCGGTTTCTTGCCAAACTCTAGTGGAATAAAGATAATAATAATAAGTCAAATGTATGAAGGAATACTGTTAAAGTAATAATTAAAGAAATAGTCGCGGTACATTAATTTTTTTTGGATTTCACGCTAAGATTGGCAAGCGCGAATTTTAGAACTCACGATATAAGCAAGACTTTTTATGCGAAAATAACAGCGTTAACAGTAAGTGAATGGGAAGATTCACGTACATGATGTTCAAGAATATGACATATGAATATGAAGCTCGATCCCTTCAAGGACATTTTGTACATCTGACATCAAAACTCTATTTCTTAAGTTTATGGCATTCAGCATGCTCTGAAAAGATCCCTTTTCTTTTCTAACATGATCAACATTAGTATTATTTCTTTCATTTCTACATTATACCACCTAGTAGAATACTTCTGTATGAATAGTACAATTTAAAACACTAATTGTTGACATGGCAATATTATACCCAAGATAACTTAAATGCAGTCAACCTGCTTTAGCATCCATCAATACAGAGCTCCCATCTATAAAGACTACATGTTTTGTTTTCCTTGTAAATGTTCTCATTGAAAAAGGTACTAAAGGGACCTGGGGCCCGTTTCACAAAGCCTTTTTTCAATGACAAATGACAAAATCAGTAACAAATCTGCTGATAACCAATCAGAAGCAAGGATTTCAGTAGCTTATAACAAAAACTGTCATTTGTCACTGATGACAAGTTTTGTGAAATGCCCCCCCCCCCCCCTGTACTTAAAGACCACCAGACTATATAGACCGCTTTTTTGTTTTAAGTGGTCTTTACGTAGAGGTTTCACAATGCCTACCATAGATAGATGATGGTGTATCAGAGCAGCATGTCAGCATACAGGTTCCTAGGACACGAAACAGTCTTGAGACCAGATCTTCTGTTCTATCTTGAGCTTCACTCTCGGACCAGGCTGGTAGCACAGTCTGCAGGAGACGTAGGGCTAGGATCTGAAAGAGGACATGTCATACAGGGTATCTCATAATGAAATACAAATTCAATGCTTGTAAATTGTGCTGTTCACTATGTTGTACTTACAATGTAAATATTGCCTTGTCTGCTACAGTGTACATTTGAAATGAACTGATTCTGAGGGAGAAAAAAGACATTCCACTGTTTCTGAAGAAGAACAGGACAATTCAATTCCCCAAATATGAGATTCTTTTCATGTTTCTTGAGATTTATACTGACTATTTTTTAATGCATTGTGTAATTTGGTAAGATATATCAAATTACTAACTACAATTAATGCCCATCACAATGTTGCCATCATTATCATAATGCTCATCCCAAATGCTTTGCAGCTTCAAGGGTATCACTATTGAGCAGGTACATGCACCTACCTGTGTAGTAATGTTGAGTGGTTGTACTTGGTCTGCTTTGAGTAGACTGAATAGTAGATCAATCCATGCAGGAGTACTGAGAGCTACAGATAGACCTGAACATGATGAGATGCTCTTAACGAATCCTAGACTACACCATTCCTTGTACTGCTGATGAGCTAGGATGCTGGCCAACGGTTGCTCTCCTGAAATAAGACAAGGTCCACAGTCATAGAAATGTAGGAAAATTTCATGACTCAAATGCAAGTGTTTCCTCACAATTTGAAAATATAAACTATAAATATTGTTAAAGATATACGGAAACATGACAAATTTGCATAGATTTGCAAGCCCTAAATTCATTTTCTCTGATATTTTGCAATAGAGTCGACAGAAAGCGATTCTTGAATGGGTTTAAATAATACTTGGTTTCATGAGAGAGAAATGTCTGTCTTTCTTACACTTTGCAACTCTTGGCACATTTTTGCTTAAAGGGACTCTAATAAAAATTGTATCTTATAAAACAGGATCGGACTGTAGATGAATACTACAGTGTATGAAGCATATCATAGGAACGCTTGCCATTACTGGACATATACAAAGCATATACTATGAACATGACTGACAAAGAAAGCGGACAAAATATACAGTTCCTCAGGTAGACAAAGGAACATCCCTTCACTGCCATTATGTAAAAAGGTGAATATGCATATGACACCTGTTCTACACATTTTTACATAATAAAAGTGAAGGGATGTTCCTTTGTCTACCTGAGGAACTGTATATTTTGTCCGCTTTCTTTGTCAGTCATATTCATAGTGATAAGCTATGGAAGTTGGTTTCAAATGAAAGTAACTGACCATTAGTTGGTGTGGCAGCAGTGGTTCCTACACTGACCAGTGACTGTAGCTGACCACATAGCACCCTGGTAGCATCTCTCTGGACACTATCAGCATGGACACCACAGCTGAGTGACAGCAGGCGGAGTAGACAGATACAGCAATGGCGGATCAGATCGGTGGGCATCCTGCACTCCACTAACAGTTTACTCTCAGCTAATAAACAACAACAATAGGAGATTGATTGATTTATATATTTATTTATTTATTTTATTTCCAGGCAAGATGATAACAAACAAAACATCACAAGGTTGACAAATGATATAATATAAACATAATGATATTTAGAACCAGCTAGCCAATGCCTGAGGATAACCTAAAAGAATATACAAATTCTGTCTAGAGGCTCTCCAAATGAGCTGGATGATGAGTTGAGGAGTCATCGCATTAAGGTGTTGACATACAGAGAACTTGAAACTAGTTCAGAGTAATGACTACTGACCACAAGGTCATGCCGAGATACATGCAACATGATTGAAAATAATCATGTGGAAATTGTTTAGTTGAAGATTTCCAAGACATTATAAATCTGTCATGGGCTAGATCAGAAGATAAAACGAAATAGTAAATTAAACATGTAACTCACTTTTGAAAGAGACAAAGATCGTAAAATTCATTTTAGATTAAAAGATCCATGAGATTGTGAAGGACATAGGTATTTTTAGAAGTGTTTGATGACACATGTACATCCTGGCCCCATCTCGCAAGTCCTCCAATCAATCGCAAGTTTGCAATTTCCTATCTCTTTGTTATACAAGGCCCTGGTAAACATCCCATGCAATGCATTACAAGACCTACCTGGATCGAGGATACAGTCTTTCTCATCTTCAGTAAGTTCCATCATAGGAGGAGGACCGGCTAGCTTCAGATCATACTTTCCTTCTTTACCCATTCTATAGGAGTTAGTACTACCGGTATCCCACTGGACTCGTATCCAACCATCCTCCCCAAGCTCTCCGATCACTCGACCTTCACTAGGGGGTGGTCCATCCTACAAAACACATATGGGTAGGACATAATTCAAATGAATATGTCTCTAAAATGACTAAAACCACAGTGCCCATGCTCCTTGAAAGTGTCACCAAACCTACACATGTGCAATTAATAGAAATTATTTCATCAATAGTTTGCGAGTCATGTATTTTCAAATGTTAAAGGAGCTAGAATTGTGTTTTGAAATTTAAACAATTAAAATGGGTGAGTTCTATACAATATCCTCTAGCAAATTGTTATTATTGTAAATACAGTATTTACTGATTTCATTCTTTTGAGAAAGATGATAATAGTCAAAATTGCCTTTGAAATGTACTGTGCACATCTAACAGTTGCCAGAGCCAAAGCCAGAGTAATAATACCAAAGCTCTTCTGAAATGCATATAGACATTATACCATCATGTGATACATGTATGTACAATACAAGGATTAAATATTATCATTAATATCAACTGGGGGGTGTTTCACAAAGATCCTAAGTTGAACTTATCTCTACGATGGACTTAACAACTATGGAAAGCCATTAGAATCTTTGACATATTTTGTAAAAGTTATTTTAAAAGGCATAAAATGTTGATTCAAATCATTTATATTTTCTATTATCAAGGAGATTCATGTTCTTGATGTGGAATTTACAAAAAAATCTATAATATTTGATTTTTTGCTTTTGAATATATTTTATTTTAAGGCTACAAACGGCTCTTCATAATGTTTAAGTCCAACTTAGAGTTAAGTTCGACTTATGATCTTTGTGAAACACTCCCCTGGAGTTGTTTCCACAACTGACCTGATCACCCCACTTCCAGTCCTGTCCTCTGACTACCCTGGTACCAATCTTCATCAGAGCTGCTAGCTCAGGTCCACTGGTAGGAACAGGTGCTGGCTGAGGACGACTCCTTGTCTCCTCAAACACTGTGTTGGGTGCTGGGCTCTCCTCCTGCTCTAGTCTCCCTTTCTTAGGACCTTGGAGAGAATGCAATTCAAACTGGTTTATTTCAAATAAAACTTTCATCACGGCAATAGGCAAATTACAAAAGTTTACAAACAAATTTAATATAACATAGCATGATATATTGAATTTGAAATTAAATCAATATAATCAATATAGCTTATTGCAACATATGGAAACACAAATTAGAAAGAAATTGGAATTAAATAGCATAAAGTAACATATTTCTACTGAAATCATATGAAAGAAGAAGGACTGAAATAAGAATAGAGACAAGAGGAGATAGATTGCAAGAGTCACTTATCACATCAATATGGAATCATCAGTAACTAGGGATCAATCATCAAAATACAATTAGAACTAAAACAGGATTAAAACCTGAAAATATTCATAGACAACCAGCAGCCTAAATTACATGTATACACTATCTTGTATAAAATGTAAGTCGCTTAATAATTGCAGCTTAGAAAACATACAATTCTAGGTTCGAGTGTCATTTCTATATTCCGGGGGAAAAAAAAGTTTTATTTTACAGAGCTGTTGTACTGAAAGATAAAGAAGTTTCCTTCTTAGATGCTTCTTACAGCCAAATAATACAATTGCATTCTCATTCAAATTGTGAGTGCTTCAAACAACAACAATCAAGTATAAACTATGCGCTTTGTTACTGCAACAAAAAGGCGCTATATCAAATATCTTTTGGATTGGATTGGATTGGAAATAAAAATGAAAGAAGTAGCTTACCAGCTAGTCTGAGTAATGACTGTAGTAGAGCGAGCAATCCAGAGTTAAGCAGGAGACTGAGACCACTAGCAGGTTGCTCAGCCGTCAGGAGACCTAGCATGGCAAGGACAAAGCGAGCTTGAGGAAGGGTTCCTAACGTGATTGAAGACCTTTCATCCTCACTCCCTAGGGGTGTCCCTAGACCACCTTGAGCTGCTGCCATGGGTTTGGTAGCATGGGCATCCAGGGCTTCCTGGGTCTCTAAGATCAGGGTGCGCAGGTGGTCGATGGACCAGCGGTTCAGCTTGGCGAACGAGGTCTGGAGGACGATGCGATCGTAGGGAGGGATCAGGTGAACATTGCTCAAGCAGTTACCGGAGGTGCTGTAGAGAAAAGAAAGAAAAAAAGATTCAAAAATGAAATTCAAGACTAACATTTTTAATATTTTAAATGTCATAGGCTGTCTAAATAGAGACTGTTAAGATATAGGAACCCAAAGTTTACTCAGCTTAGCTCTTCATAAATTCTGTGAATGCTATAACCTTATATTACTGCTTTGGAAGACTTTCTTACAGAAGATGCTAACTTGAGTCAAGGTTTTACCAGAGACCAAAGCACTTACAAACATGCAACTGTAATAATACTTTGAAATTTAAAAAGCATTAACAAAATTGTCATAACACTTGTATGTTAGGCTTCATTTAAAATACACTGTTATGCAACAAAAAAATGGAAATCAAGGTAATTAGTTGTCTTTCCTTGTTAATGTCCACCAAGTGAATACTTTCCAACATCACACAAGACTCAAGACTATAGAAAAAGGGTAATACAAATAGGCTTGCACTATATAATTATATGACTTCCCAAGACTATTCAAAGAAGTAATATGATGGATGTTACTAATCACAGGGATGCCAGTTAAAATTGATCAGAGGGCCTGAAAATCACCTAGAATTAGCAATTTTGTACACAAAAAAGCTTAAACTATGGTCCGAAAATAACTCGTCAGGGCCTGAATTCAGGCTATTGCCTGAAAACTGGCATCCCTGTAATCATTCAAATCAAAATATTTTATATATCATGAGGTCATGCTAGAAAGTAGTGCAAAGATAAACTTAATAGACTATATCTTACTTGGGATCTTTATCAGGTTCTAGTAGACCTTGCCAGCCACACAGCATAGCATAACGTACTGAAGGGATCAAGTCTTGCTTCTTGAGCTGAGCTATCATGGCCTCAGAACCTTCCAGTCTACATTCAGCTCTCTCCAACTGAAATAAAACCAGTTACAAAGGAATCACAAATCACAGTCACATACACAGGCAAGCATAGCAAGAACAAATTTGAGAAGTTCATTAAAGATAATACACAGTTTTGGTATGGGGTCATGAATTTGGTTCAAATGAACATATTGGACGCACATGCGGTCCTACAATATTCAGTGATCCTTGTCGCGGTTGAAATCAAGTTTAAAGTTATGAAATTGTAAATAATAAACTCTGTAAGTTGTATAGCTCCCTCTCAAGGTCAAGATATAAATTGAAGTATAAAACAATGTTTCTTGACTAAAATCTACCGATTAGTTGTTCCCGTTCGGAAATTATATATCACAACTACATATTCTGAGATTATCATGGTCGCAGCTACCATTGTATGGCCGTAGGCGCTATTTGAAATTTATCAAAATTTACTGGGAGCACCCGTAAATTTTTATATTCAATTTTTCTCGAAAGCAGTAGTAGTTTAGGGGCTAGATTTTCTAGTGCTTATAATACATCCACAGGGGCATCCAAATATATCAAAATTGTAAAGAATCACTATCCACCCAATTTTCAAAATTTCCCAAAACTTTGTATTTACTTTAAAGGTAAAGACCAGTAATGGTCATGCGATTGCATTGTGAAAGAAACGTTGTGGAATCGATCAGAAAAGGTTGATCATCTAGCATCTAGCATCTGCAAGGTTCTGGAATCATCAAAATGATAAGAAATTTGGCCCATTCTTCGTAAAGTTACAAGCACTATACACAGAAAGATGTATATGGGACTACCCTATCTCTCTCACCAGACCATGAGAGAAATAAGTTTACCAAATATATGAATTAGTAGGCGGTTTCCCGGCAAATTTTTTATCATCATGTATTAGTCAAAACATATTCTTTCACATGATTGGTAATGAGAGCTTCCATTTCATTTTTTGAAATTGGGGCGTTGCCAATACTGGTCTTTACCTTTAAACAAGAAGCATTTTGCACAAAATAATATTACATGTATATTCATCATTAATTCTGTCGAGTCATGTTAACCAATAAACCATATTTATACCAATTGTTGTGCCTTCTTTCTACTTGTTACAGAACATACAGGAATTATCTGTGATGTGCAAAACAAAAATGTGGTACATTTTTTGTATCAAGACTATCATATTCTGTGTAAATTATGGTAAATCAATGTAACTACAGACAACTACTATATTATTTCAATAGGATCTGGATGACAGGTTTATATAACAGAAGAAATCAAAAATTAGGAAGCAGAAGCATATGGGAAGGAAGGTAGGCTGATAAAGTCGCATGATCTTAAAGGTATTACAAAGTTTTGGTAGGAGTCATGATTTTTGGTTCAAATGAACATATTTGAAGCATATGCGATCCTACAATATTCAGTGATCGTTGCCATGGTTGAAATCGAGTCTTAAGTGATGAAATTTTTGATAATAAAGTCTTTGTATGGCACACTCTCAAGGTCAAGATATCAATTTAGCCTTAAAACAATGTTTCTTGATCTATGTGATATACTTCCTGTACTGTACTTTTTTGTCCTCTTTTCATATATTTGTATTTGTAAGCGCTATGGTACTTACCGTTTTTAGAGCTCCTAAATATTCGATATTATTATTATTATTATTATCACAACTACATATTCTGAGATTTTCATGGTCGCAGCTACCATCAGATGGCCGTATAAGCTATTTGAAATTTATCAAAATTTACCAGGAGCACCGGTAAATTTTTATATTTAATTTTTTTTTTAAAGCAGAGGTGTTTCAGGGGCTAATTTTTCTAGTGCTTACATTACATCCCCAGGTGCATCCAAATATATCAACATTTTTAAGAATCGCTATCCGGCCATTTTCAAAATTTCCCAAAACTTTGTATTAACTTTAAGTTTCATGATTAACAATAAATAATCAAGGGACATTGAGTGCATTACCTGACAGTACAGCGCCCTCCTGAGTTTCTCCACATTGACATTCTCTGAGTGTATAGCAAACTCAATGATCTCTGTCATGAGAGCTGTCTGGGAAGCTGACCCTGTCATACGCTGTCTCAACCATTTGAACTTACGGGCACTGGTGATGGCATTGGCTACCGACTTCCAGGAATCCTGCAACACAAGCAAAATCATTTCATTCATTTGTTAATTTATTTCCATATCCATAAAAACAAAAGATCATTACAACAATATACACTATATAAAAAATTACATGCAATCATACAAGTTAAACAGTATCAAAGATACCAAATTTACTAGTCGAAAATGAGAAAAGGGGAACTAAAATAAGGCCAAAGGGCCTTGTAAAATAAGTTCCCTAAAAGTATAAATTATCATTTGGTTTTTCAACTTATTCTGTTACTGAAAGACATGTAAACAAATTTAAAAACAAGCAGTGGATAAAAAACAAAACAAAACAAAAAACAACAGAAAAACAAAAAAATGATGATACAATAACAATGAAAATCATAATAGAGTGTGGATGATCAAAGGCTTTTCCCTATTGGGGTTTAGATGTAGACAAATAATCATGGGTGATTCATATTAATTAAAAACTGTGGTAAAAATCATTGAAAAGACTGGAAACTTTGATATTTTGACTTACATGCCTAATTATTTCCAAGCATAACTTATTATTTTCATTACAATCACCTGATGTTCCATTGAACCTACATGTGATATAATCAGACTAGGTGACTCAAAAGTTAACAGTCATCAGAAGAAAAAAAACATTAATTTGATTTAAAGAGTTCAGCTCGATTGCAACATGTTACTGTTGTAAATTGGAATTTATATTGTAAGTTAAATAGGAATTATGTGGTGCAAAGATGCCCCCCCCCCCTGCTTCTTCAGTCAATGACAAATTGTTTCCCCTCTATCAGGGGTGATAGTGAGCACTAAAAAAAAAAGGTTTTTTTTTTTCCCCTCAACCACGTCCCCCTTGAGTAAAAAAAAAAGAAGAGGATTCCCTTTATGTAAGTCATTGGTTTTTAGTAAGATATGCCATTTGATCTTATTTCTAGGGCTGCATGCTGTAATTGTACGAGCTGTTGATATGGTACTATGGAAGCACTTGGTTGCTATTGTTTAGCATTATGGCAAGTATTGGCCGGTGAGTTGAATTTACTATGTTATGTTGCTTTATGATTATATATGTGAATGAATCAATACTATAATTTGTACAATATGGTAGTTCATGATTGAATTGAATTGAATTGATCATGGTTTTATTGAGAATAAAAGAACAACAATGCATCGGGCCTACAAGGCCAAATTGGGCAATGTTTTACAAATGTAAAATTCAATATATAAAATCATTCATATTAAATGACATCAAATTAATGAACTGAACTTGAATGAGTAAATTGTTAAAACTAATATTTAACTTTAAAATTCTTATTATTATTTGATCTCCTTAACTTATTTTTATATAAAAAGGAGATAAAGAGAAAAAGTAGAAGAGAAGGAGGAAGAAGACGAACAAAAGAAGAAGAAGAATGATATTGGACAGAAGAAGAAAATAATCAGTGTAATTTATTTTGTATAATAATAAATGAGTTGATGATTGAGATTTAGTTGCATAATCATATTACAAAACAAAGTCAATGAATAATTATTTGTTCTGTTGGAATCAATATCATTGTTCCATTTATGTAAGCTTACCACGATTTAAATATTTTGTTCAATTTGGGTTATTATTGTTACAGAGGCTGTTTAACAATGAGAACACAATAAAGTACAGACTCTACTTCAGAACTTCTGACTCCGGATGCACTATTTTGTCGTCAATGATCTCGAACCCTTTCATTACAGAAACTAGATGGAACTTCGACTGCGCGCAGTCGAAAATGATGCCTCCGTCATAGAGCAATTTTACAAACCAAAACAGAAGAAATTTTTCAAATTCAAGTTCAATTGTAATCCATTAACAGGTTTTCAGAATATTGTGATTACAAGCTATTTTTGCATACATAATGAGCCCATGACCTTTGACCTTATGAACCAAGAATCTACTCAGTTCATTGGCTCTGCAAGAAACATACATGACCTAAGTTGGCAGGAATCCATCAATCGGTTCTTGAGATAACGCGATCACGAGCTGTTTTTGCATACATAATGTGCCCTGTGATCTTTGAACTTTGACCTTGTGACCCCTACATCTAATCAGTTCATCGGCTCTGCAAGTAACATACATGACCTAAGTTTGGCAGCAATCCATCAATCGGTTCTTCAGATAACGCGATCACAAGCTCGTTTTGCATACATAATGAGCCCTGTGGCCTTTGACCTTTGACCTCGTGACCTCAAAATCTAATCAGTTTTTTGGCTTTGCAAGTAACATACATGACCTAAGTTTGGCAGCAATCCATCAATCGGTTCTTCAGATAATGCGATCACGAGCTCGTTTTGCATACATAATGAGCCCTGTGACCTTTGACCTTTGACCTCGTGACCCCAAAATCTAATCAGTTCATCGGCTCTACAAGATACATACATGACCAAAGTTTGGCAGGAATCCATCAACCAGTTCTTCAGATAACGCGATCACGAGCTCGTTTTGCATACATAATGAGCCCTGTGACCTTTGACCTTTGACCTCGTAACCCCAAAATCTAATCAGTTCATCGGCTCTACAAGATACATACATGACCAAAGTTTGGCAGGAATCCATCAACCAGTTCTTCAGATAACGCGATCACGAGAACGGGACGTACGTACGTACAGACGTACGTACGGACGTACGGACGGACGGACAACCCGAAAACATAATGCCTCCGGCTACTTCGTAACGGAGGCATAAAAACTCACAAAGACAAACATTATACTGTTTTATACAGTAGGTTTACGGGTGCACCATGTGTGAGAGAGAGAGAGAGAGGTGCACCCGTAAACCTACTGTATATCTACATCACCATGCAAGCCGACACTTACAAGCAGCATCTATTACACTGTTTGTTGCAAAACATGGAACAGTAACCAAATTGTGAAACCTACCCTATCTTTGAGTTTCCTTTCTGTCTTGCCATGTTGACTTGGTTTCCCGGGGAAGATCTTGACCACTCCACCATTAGGAGCCCCTCCTGGTGTGGTGGGGCCTGTTGTAGGTGTGGTAGCTGATGTGGTAGATGTGGTAGATGATGTCATTGAGTCGGGATCATCAGAAGGATCACCCTCTCCCTTGGTCTGGGTCTCTTTGTACTCCTTATCTCCTCTTGCTCCTCCTACAGACAAATCAAAAAGCTCATCAAAAATAACCAGCCACTTATTACACAGAGAGACTTATCTCCTCTTGCTCCTCCTACAGGCAAATCAAAAAGCTCATCAAAAATAACCAGCCACTTATTACACAGAGAGACTTATCTCCTCTTGCTCCTCCTACAGGCAAATCAAAAAGCTCATCAAAAATAACCAGCCACTTATTACACAGAGAGACTTATCTCCTCTTGCTCCTCCTACAGGCAAATCAAAAAGCTCATCAAAAATAACCAGCCACTTATTACACAGAGAGACTTATCTCCTCTTGCTCCTCCTACAGGCAAATCAAAAAGCTCATCAAAAATAACCAGCCACTTATTACACAGAGAGACTTATCTCCTCTTGCTCCTCCTACAGGCAAATCAAAAAGCTCATCAAAAATAACCAGCCACTTATTACACAGAGAGACTTATCTCCTCTTGCTCCTCCTACAGGCAAATCAAAAAGCTCATCAAAAATAACCAGCCACTTATTACACAGAGAGACTTATCTCCTCTTGCTCCTCCTACAGGCAAATCAAAAAGCTCATCAAAAATAACCAGCCACTTATTACACAGAGAGACTTATCTCCTCTTGCTCCTCCTACAGGCAAATCAAAAAGCTCATCAAAAATAACCAGCCACTTATTACACAGAGAAGCACAAGGGCTCAAGATATTAGGATGCTAGTCTCATATATGCATCATATGGAGTGTATGTGTTTGCTCACACAGGAGCAGTGAACAAAGATACTCATTAGCTACAGAGGACTGCTTACATGTTTACATGGAGAGAATTCAGTTCAATGATTGGCATAGGAATGTTCAAGAAAAAGTTGAGTTCTGGTCATCCGATTGCATTGTGAAAGAAAAGGTAAGTATTAGTGTGTACTGCAAAGTTCTGGAGTCATCAAAATCATAATAAATTTGGCCTAGTCTAGGTAAAGTAACAAGCCCTGTACACAGAAAGATGTATATGGGACTACACAAATGGTGTCCAGGCTACTAACCTTGATTTCCTAAGCTTTCTATGCTCATTACTCAGCCAGTATACATTTTCTACCAAAATTGTTTGGCAAATGACATTTATTTGTAATCTTGAACATTCAGTGTAAGTTTGGTTTGATTCTGTGAGAATTATTATTTTTTTTTTTAACCAGAACTCACCTTTATCTTTAAACTTTGTCAATTGTCACATCTAACTAGATTTGATTTGATCTGATTCTTGGTCTTCAAGATGTTACCCCTGATTACGTGAAATAACCAATAAACACCCTGAAAACTTAACCCACAGAGCTTGATTCCCTGTCCTACATACTTTTCCCGGGCCCCAAAAAGTATCCCTTGACTAAGAAAGAGCTGACCCCTGACCCTTGAGAGTTGACCCCTGACCTTATCAAGGGTGATAATGAGCACTAAAAAATTAGGTTTTTTTTCTTCCCTCAACCACGTTTCCCTTGAGTATTGGGAAAAAATAAAGAAAATAGTGAATAAATAAATAAATAATAAATATAAATAAATATAAATAAATAAATTAAAAAAAAGAAGAGGATTCGGGGGAAAAAAAATGGCATCTAACAATATCCCCCCCCCCCCCCTTTGAGGAAGAAAATTGGGAAAAAATAAAGAAAATAGTGAAGAATGAAGAAAATAAGGGGAAAATCAGGATAAAATCGGGAAGAAGAAAATTTTTAAAAATCAGTAAAAAATAGGGCAAAAATCAAAAAACCGATTTAAATCCGGTTTTTATCAGGCCTGCCTTACCTGCAGAAGCGACGGCTCGTTTTTCTCTGATCATTCTCTGTACAACCTTCTTCCATCTTGGAGGTGTGTTGAGGACCTTGAGGCGTGATAGAGCTGAAACCTCGTTAGCTATGGCTGGCCGGAGCTCATTAAACAGGAACCTTAGCCGATCTATAACTGGCATACACATCTCATCGTATCCTACAGACCTCTCCTGATGAATCTAAAGAAAAAAAAAAAAAAAAAAATATGTGGAATGCTCCCCAGGGAGTGGAAAATGTGTATACATTGTATTGCGCCTAGAAACAAAGTATTAGGTGCATTATAAATGTGAGCTATTATTATTATTATTATTATATGAAATTCATCATATGCCCATTTTCACTTGCAAAATACTTATAATCATTTTAAAGAGTCGTTACATAACCCCGTTGTCAAATGTATCTGTTTAAAGAAAGGCAATAACTGATTAGTAGCACATCTGTGGTTCAGTTAGGCTAAATGGTTGCAATGGTTGCAATGGTTGCAATAAATCCCAGTGAATACAAAATATGTGTAACAGCTAAGCATCCATCACTATTTAACTTGTAACATTTTCAAGATGCATTTCCCTCTAGATCATTCAAATATCAGTGCAACTCTAATAAGACTGTATGCAACATTTAAACACAATTGAACGATGGGAACTAACAGTTCAACAAGCTCTGCTTCTAGTTAGTTCCTCTATTCTCGTGCTTTTTTTTAATTATATTTGTTGTTTCATTGCATATTTTTGTAATATAATTATTCATTGTAGTATGTTTTGCATGACAAATCAAATCATTTGAATCATTTGAAATATAAGTTACCTTCACAAGATTGCGTTTGGCTTGGAATGCCACCTTGCAGACATCAGCAATGGATCTTGGTACAAAGGCGTGATGATGCCGATGTACAACCGTTGGGACGCCCTCTGTCTGCAGACTGTGCTCGACCACAGCCAGAGCGACATGTCCCAAGTCATGGTGCTTGAGGATACAAGCCATAAGAAGACGACAGACCACCTCGATGCTGTGGGTTGGTGAGAAGTCGATGGGTAGAGTGTGATGATGGGAGCGGCAGTATCTATCACATTGAGCAAGGAATGTCTTCACATTGATGTCCTGAAGACGACCTTCCGCAAGCGCCTGCAGGAAAGGTTTGGCGATGTCTGCCTGCGAGGCGCAACGTGAGAACGACTTCATGTTGTCATCCAGTTTGTGCATCTGTGGTGCTGAACCTTGCAGGGGCGAGGTCAGCATGGACGGGGTCTGATCCACGGAACGATCGCCATCACTCCCACGATCAAAGAAGCTTGGTCTCTGGCCAAGCTGCATGCCGCTGCTGAAGAGACGTGACTTGAGCCATGTCTGGTACTCCACCTCCGGAGGAATGAGGGGTAGGCTCCGAGCTTGATGACAAGAGTGAAGGCCGAGCAGAAGACCCAACGCTCTCTCTGTATCCATCAAGGGTGATGAGATCACACTGCTGGTAGACATCAACACCTCATCCTGCTCAGGCTACATTGTGGAAGATTTAAGCAAAGATCACAACTAAACAACTGTGGAACGTGGAAAGGTTTATAGAAATCAAAGGAATTATAATGCTTTAAATTTATATTAGTGGTTCAAACATCAGTCATTTGTGAGATCAAAACCTATGGGGAAAATCACCGCCAAGTTCAGAATCATACTTTCTACCTTTCAAGATATTATGTTTCTTAAATTGAAATAATATCTAAAATAATAAAACAAATATTACATTAGTTTTATTGCTTAAATCACTTTTCATGGACAGAAAAAGAGAAAGAAATTAGACAGGTAAAGACTTCACAATTGTCTCCAACTTACCTGTACATACACCCCCACAAGATACTGTTCTCTCAACTGAAGCACCTCCGCTGATTCATGAGCAGCATGAAAAGCCTCTGTAGCATCTCGAGCTACAATGGGTATGAAAACAATAATATCACACCATTTTAATAGCTGTCTCCACTAACCACCAACATCAAGAGCATCTCAACCATTATCATCATCATCTCCATTTCAAAACTCACCTCTTCTGTTTATAACGTAATTGCAAATCGCATTTGAACATTTATATCATTACAGACCTAATGTATTTCTGAACTTTCACCTTGGTGCAAGTACTCTTGAATGTGTTGATACTCTCGGATTGTTGGGTGTTATTGTTCAATCTAACATAAAAATGGGACAAACAAACTTCTCACATGACTAGCCTTGCTGCTAAATGACTATATATGCTATGCATACTCAAGTACAAAGCTCCTGTCAGTGATCTACCTAATGTATATCAGACCAATACTCGAGTGTGCCTCCCCTATGTGGTCTCCTGCTCTCACCATCCAGCAATCTCATCAAATTAAGTGCATACAAAAACGTGCGTGTAGAATAATTATTGGATACAATTACTCTGACTACACAACTTCTCATAGATAACATCTTAAATGACGTTCTTGACCTCGAGTGGCTAATGGGAGAACTATGTGCTGGGCGCTAGCACTGCAACCATACCGTTTTTGCATTGAGGAAATAAAGGGCGCTGATATCTATTAGAATATTAAGAAATTACGAGACACTCTGAAATATTGAGAGCATGGAGAGAAGACATGTTTGTATTGTTTTGTTTCGTCTTTTGGGGTATGTGATGTGTTGAAGAAAAAAAATTCTTGTGCAGTAGATGTGGTAGAAAATAATTAAATCAAGTTAGAAGAAAAAGAAAAAGTTTGGTAAAAAACGGATGCATTTTCTTGGATGGGGAGTGAATTGTCACGTTGTAAACCGCAAACAGCGGTTTTATCAAAAATATATTTTTTCTTTCAAGAAACAAGAAAAATGATTTAGCAAAATATACCATGTATAAATGTAAGAGAGAGAGAGAGAGAGAGAGGGAGAGAGAGATAGAGAGAGAGAGAGATAGAGAGATAGAGAAAGAATGTGCCATCGGTGGATGTAATTATACAAATGTATAGTGTCCTGCTAAGCATTGAATGTGTTGTCACAGGTTAATGTCTGTAAAGGTTGAGGCTACCATTGAAAAGAAAGTGGCATGGCATTACACCTGTTATAAACAGGGAGTTCTTTTGTAGGTGAATGTATATACGCTGATGTACTGGAGTAACAGTGGCTAGGGGCCACACCTAATGAAGTTGTCTTGGTGTGTAGAGGGCCCGGTGCAGCAGCTTGCTTAAGCAATATAGCTGCTTGTGTGGTGAAGAATGCAAGTTCAGAAAGATGTTACCTCTTGCTTCAAAGCTTGCTACAGAAGAATTTGCAGCTTATAAGTAAAACCGACACTTTTCCATCGATGGCACGGTGTGTGGGGAGAAAGGCTGATTTTTCTACAAGAGTCACTGGATGCGAGACGGGACAAATGGACACGTGGACAGTTCACGAAGAACATGGCGTCTCCACAATAGAGAACGCAAATGGACAGTATGGTGAGCTGTAATTGTGCCGAGAATTTGGAAAGACTATTCTGGAACTTGTTGAAGTGACAAGTTATTTCAATGAACTTGAGAGACATGTCTGAAGATAGAATTGAATTGTCAAAGGTGTAGCAGAGACAGTCCTATTTGGGCATATTTACTATTTTGAGGTTGAGTGTAGATGTATTTTCATATCTGCTGTATTGTTGATGCATGTGTTGTAAGAAGACTTTGAAATTGCTTATATGCAAAGGTAATTGTGGAAGGTCAGTCAAGGGTGAAGTAAGCGGACAAAGGGTTCAAAGAGTATCAATTGATGGATGTTATTCTGAGTGGACCGATGTCATTAGTGGCATCCTGCAAGGCAGTGTCCTCGGACCGACCCTTTTTGTGATTTCGTCAATGATTTACCTGATGTCACAACAAGTTGGACTCAGTTGTACGCAGACGATGCCAAAGATTATTCATCTATCCAATGTCAGACTTCTTGCCATCAACTGCAACGTGACTAAGACAGCATATCTGCTTGGTAGTCTAAGTGGCAACTTCCTCTGAACTCTCAAAAATGTAAAACCCTTCATCTAGGTTACAACAACCCTCAACAAACTTAAGTCATGGAAAGTAGACCTCTGGAGAATGTTGATATAGAAAGAGATCTGGGGGTTTCAGTTGACAAGGATCTGACTTTCCGAAAACATATCGCAGCTATGATACAAAAGGCAAACCAGATGTTGGGGATCATCAAAAGAGCTTTTGTCAGTACCCACCAGGGCATCTTCAAAACTCTGTACAAAACCCTGGTACGCCCACATCTTGAATATTGTATGGTATGGCAGATGACATGGCAGATGACCGCAAGATTGAAGCTGTGCAACGGAGAGCAACAAGAATGATTCATGGTATGAGTTTATTATCCTATCCTGAAAGACTTTAAAAACTCAATCTATTCTCACTTCTCTACCGGCGTGAGAGGGCCGATATGATCCAGGTATATTAAATACTTCATGGTATTGACAGACTCAGTCCAGAACATTTTTTCAAGAGACCAGAGAACCAATTCACTCGTGGACATCTGTTTAAACTGTTTAATACTCATCGCAAGCTTAACGTGAGAGGCTGTTTCTTCAGTAAACGTGTTATCGAGCTATGGAATAAACTGCCAGAATCTCAAGTCACTGCACGCAACATAGGTATTTTCAAGACTGGTCTAGCCGGATAAACACTGGCTTGCCAAACAATTTTATGTAACCTGACATCCACGCATTCTGCACTACGTTTTAAGTCGCAAACTGACAATATATCTTGGAAGATGACCGGGAGATCTACACGACTACCTCACTCCTGTATATCGATGATGATGATGATGATGATGACAGTTCAGGTCTGGATTTAACATGACCATTTATGACAAGAAATTAGTTGTTGATTGGATTGAGAAGTGATCGTGGTCAATTGAAGGTATAATTTGTATAGTTGGTAGCTGAATAAGTGGACAATACAGGTCTGTTTATGTCAAGGTATTGTTCCTCAAGAACGAAGAGTGTATGAGGTGGTTGATATAATTGACAGATATGTTATATATTTAGACAAGTTAGGTCTACTGATATTGAACATTATGTGGTGTAGATTTCATATATAACAAAAGCCAGATCTTCTTATATAAAATGATTCAATACCTGCGACAACAGGGTGAACATATTTGACTAGACAAGGTTGGTTTATTTTGCTGGGACCAAGTGTATGGAAAGTCATCAAAAGAGGGCATTTTTTTCTTCTAACTGTCTTCTTTTTCGATAGAAACTGGTACTCTACTTTGCTTTACAATAAAGCTTGATCATGATTACGAGTATCATAAATGGCATGTGTTAAGGTTTCTTTATTTGAGTGTACCATGTGACAATCATCACCATATTCATCATCATCATCATCATCACCTCTATTCATCTATTTTATGCATTCTGTGCACTGTCGAGATTCAATTTTTAATGCCAGTTTTCAAGTTTATATGTCAGTTTTGTTATTGCCATTATTGCTATTATTATTATTGTTGTATTTTCATCGTATCCTCGAATGTATTTATATATTGTTTATGTATCTCACTTGCCAGTGGAGGACAAATTTCTGTATCTTTTAAATCAGACAATAAATTATCTTAAATCTTGAATCTTGAATCACCATCACCCTCATCATCACCCTCATCACTACCATCATCACCATACCTACCTGCATACTGCTGTAGGGTGTCACTGCCACAAGGAGCTGCTTCATGGAAGTCTTTCAAGTCATACACCTTGCTATCGATCACAACCCACAGACCACCGTCCTTGTTATGGTTCTCAAGGTCTGCCTTCCGAATCATAGGAAGCTCATCAGGGGAGTTGGGCTCTGATGGTAGACTCACTGGGGTTCCTGAAAGAAAGAAGCATTTAGTCAAACACTTTATTGAACTATATACATGTACAAGTTTACCTATTTCAGGGTTATCATTTGTTACTGACCTGCCATTATCTTATGAACAGGAAAGATAGAAAAACTGATGGTAAAAATCCACTTACTTAAATTTGGGATTTACAATCAAACCTGCTTTAGTGACCATCTGTCTACAAGGACCACATTTTTTGTTTCCCTTGAAAATGGTTTCTCATTGAAACATGTACTAAAGGAACCTGTCTGCAAAGACTACTTTTTGTGTTTCTCTTGGGCGGTCGCTGTAGACAGGTTCGACTGTACATAAAATCACAATTTTAAATAAATGATGATACTGATCATTTAAAAAGTGGTGCATCCATTATGCAAATGCTCAATGCATTGAAGTATAGTTCAGGAAAATATTCAGGAAAGCATTGCATGCTATATATAAATATTGCACATCAGTAAGTTTTAAAAGGAGGGGAAAATTTGAAATTCTGAATTCTTGAGAATACTTGTATATTTGCTTGTAGGTAATCTATTCTCCTGGATACAATGTAGTATTGGGGACACCAATCAGCGTATTTCAGAGAATGTACAGAGAACAGTGAGTATACATACTAGCAGAAGCAGAGAGGCCAGGCCAGGCAAGATCATCGGAGTCCTCCTTCTCGAGGGCTGGAGCCAAGCGATTGAAGGAGTCTAGGGTATCCAGGAGACCAGAGAGAACAGTAACTGCTCCACATCGCTGGATGATCAGAGGACACTTGGTCTGGAGAAGCACTAAGCACGTCACCAACTCAGGAAGCAATACACCTGTAAACAGACGTATTAACATGCTGGCATTTGAATCTCTTGAAGACTTTCAATTAGTTTATGGACCTCTCAATATTCTATGGCAAAGTAAAACATGGGTTTAAAGGGATACAATGTTAATTCTGAGATGCACGGCCCTACGTGTTATCAGTGTCTGTGATATGGTGTTATATTGAAGCCCTAAAAAAATTGCGCTTCAAAATTATCAAGAAGTGCCTCAAAAAATGAAAAACCTTTGAGTGACCGGTTTTACCATACTCGTTTTTTCCCAATAGACAATAGTTTTATGAAAACCGTTTGACAAACGCAAAATTTGATTTCGATTTTCAATCATAAATATCTTGATAATCAGACAGGTGATGGCTTGTAAAATTCATGGGGTTCCTGATTGACCTAAAGGTTTATAATTATCATTCCAGCATGAGCTAAATCAATGATTTTTTTAAAAGGATCTAAGACAAAATTACCGGATCCCTTTAATAAGTGGTTAAGAATGGCTCTGGAACTATCAATGGAGCATGTGTTGTACCGGTATGTATAATCCATGAGGTCTTTCAAGGACTCTGAAGTCATATGAAAACCATTCCATTAAAACATTTCTACGTTACCTGATAAGTCTGACTGTATGATGTCTGCTACTGAAGCAAACTGTTTAGGAGATCTTCCAGCTAGGTTGGTAGCTGTAGGCATGATGTCTTTGATGTGTGTTATCAGAAGTGTGATGTATTTCTTCAGCAAGGATCCAGCACCTAGTAGCTCAGCATCTGTTCATCAATTACAAAATATACAGGAGACTTTGAAATAAAATGCGAAACATTCAAAGTTAAGATTATATCTATTATTGAGCTTTTTAAAATTCAATATTTTTATGAAGAAGTGCATCCTAGAATGCTCTCAAACTCATATCTAAATCTGTACACTAGAAATATTTTTTTCTCTCCTAAGAACAGTACTATAGTCCCATATACACATTGCAGTGTATGTGATATGTCATCAATTCTATATAATTCTGCTTGTCCAAACAACCCCTTTATAGAAGCACTGTACACGATAACTATTCTGAATTAACTATATGGCTCCTCTCTGCTCTGGTATTAAATGGTTACCAGGTTTGATAGAAACATCATTGTGGTTGGATTAGTATGTGTGCATTTGTAAATAGCCACCTGACTGGAATGCCCAAAGAGGAGTGGAGAGTGTGCGTTGTAATTATACTTGAATCCAGTGACTGGGGTAATAATACTATAAGCACTTTGGAAAATTACATTGAAACTACATAAGAAACAGCGCTATTGTAATAATTATTACTGTTTATAAGATGATGATGATGTGGATCCTAATCAAATGATTGGTTGAAAGCGTACACGTGACCAGGCATTAATTTTGCCTAACGCGTAATTTTGAATAATGACCGGTCATTATCCAGTTCTAATGACCGGTCATTATCCAGTTCTAATGACTGGTCATTAGTAAAATTGTGTAGAAAAAATAAAACATAATCTTATAAAACAAATAATATACAACATTTTGTTCGGGCATTAGTAAAATTACCCACACTCAGTACCTTCAAAACAGTCCAAACACCCTCGGCTACAGCCTTGGGCTATTAGACTGTTCCAAAGGTACCTCGTGTGGGTAATTCTTACTAATGCCCTCACTGATATGTATTATTACTGTCTTACCTATTCCTTGAGCACAAGCCTTTTGTTTCTCTTCTTCATACGGGAAGAGTGTGTGGACCAGGAGACGCTGGAACTTGAGAAGGAGCTCCACGGATGTGGATTTGACTCCAGATGATTTATCAGGATGAGGCTCCATCTTGTTGAATTCAGCCGATAGCTCCTGCAGTTTGGACAGAGTCAATGAGGATGCATTCCTAGAAAGGAAATTAGAGGAGGATTCTAAAAGTAAGGTCTTGGTTTATCTCATTCTTTGGATAAATGCCCAGTTGCATTCCTAATCTTGTGAACATTTGTAAATAGAATTGTGTATCTAAGCTTCCATTTAATGGACCATTTGTAATAAAGTCCTTTGTATATGAATATTATATGTTCATTAATATAGCAGTTTTGGGCACAAATTTTCTTAGCTTATAAAAATATTGGAGAATAGAATATGGCTCATACAGCTCTTAAATAACCAACTACTAAAGAAGACTGGAAGCTGATAGATTGCAACTTCTTTCAAAATGAACAGTCGGTAGAGCAGTGCTCTCGTAATCCGGTGACCCGGGTTCGAAACCAAGTCGATGAGCTAGTGCCCTTTGGTAAGACATTAATCCTCATTACCAGGTCCCTCGGAGAGGAACTAAAGCCGTCGGCCGTCTGGTTGCTTACTAACAAGCATTTATGTTTTCTTAGCAGTCAGGTAAAATAACCACCACCACCACCACTACTACAACATACCTCAATAGCTGCTGGACTAATTGGAGTAATGGGATACTCATGCAGATACTCTCATCATCACTAGCTGCCACGGCAACCATCTTCCTCTTAAAATGTCTCCTCCTCCCTTCTAGTGGCACCTGATCTGCTGCATCCCTGGTAGCGTCAGGACCAAGATGTGTTCCTTCCTCTTCCTCCGTCTCAGCTTCACTACCAGGGTCTGCGATGTCCTTCTCTCTCTGACTCTCCATCTGTCTGATCTCAGCTCTGATAGCAGCATGCAGGGCAGACTCTAGACCACCATCGGCCATCAGACTTCCAACCAGCAGGTCCATCATGAAGCGACGACCCGGTGTCATGGAAATCGTTTCTGTCCCTGTATTACATAAAAGCATAATTTCTTAATAGTAACAATTGGTAAAGATAAACTTCTGAAAAATATAGAAAATAAATTCTCACAGAATCCAACAAAACTTACTTGTTCAAGATTACAAATAACTGACATGTGCCAAACAATTTTGGTAGAATAACTGACCCGGTGTCATGGAAATCGTTTCTGTCCCTGTATTACATACAAGCATAGTTTCTTAATGGTAACAATTGGTAAAGATAAACTTCTGAAAAATATAGAAAATATATTCTCACAGAATCCAACAAAACTTACTTGTTCAAGATTACAAATAAATGACATGTGCCAAACAATTTTGGTAGAAAATGTATATTGGCTGAGTATGAGCATAGAAAGATAAGGAAATCCGGGTAAATAGGCCAGACACCATGTGCTTAACACAGGTCACTATGTGCAAATGGGAGTTGTGGTTTTTATCGAAAAATGACGCCCAGTAAGTTTTTTGTGCGTTTGTTTTTATTTCACTGGTTCAACCAGTCTACTGCAGAATAAACAATCCAGAATAAATCTAAGCAATTTTCTCTCAAAATATGATTCCCATAACAGAGCTCAAGATAAGCTTTAACCATATAACGGAGAACAATGGTCAGTAATGGCTTTAGAAGTGCTTGGTTTCATTACAGATAGTTTGACTCTGGAGTTATATCCATCCACAATTATGATCATCACAATCATACTTGATGCTACAGCTTCTAGAAAAGAGGTATAAACAGAATGAAGAATTACCTGTGTGAAGTTTATACCTAAAATCACAGAATATAAGCTTTTATCTAGCAGTTTCATTTCTCAATCACAGTACAGAGAATAGATACCTGGTATAGGATTTACACTATGTAAAGCTCTGAGCACTGAAAATGACTGCCATAACAAAGCCGGAGTGATGATTTCCAATGGACATCATGACTAACGGTTTATAAGTGATATGAGTTACGAAAAGTACAATATTATCCAATATTATCCAATATTATCCAATATTATTCAATGAAACATACCTCCACTAGGCAGCAGAGCAGACAGTGCCTTTGCCCTTTCCTCAGCGGTAGGAAGCAGCATGGACCAGCCTGTCTGTAGTGTGGCTTGTGCAGCATTCTGGACCGTGGTGATGATACCAGCTTTACTAGCTAGCTCAACGATCCTCTGCTTCAGGTTAGATAGGAGAGGACTCTTAGGACCAAGTCCTAGACGTTCATGGTCCTGGCTCTGACTTATGGCTACATGAAGCTGCAGAAAGAAAATTTAGTTTGATTCAATTTCATATTCTATTCTATGACATTTTTAAAACACATACATGCACTTGTATACAACAATTTTATTCTTTTATTTAAACATATTTGTGGCTTACACCCAGTAAATAAGATCGATTGATCGATCTGTATTGAAAAACAAGTCACAGAAATCTTGGAACCAGCTGGACTTGAACCTGCATCTACTGCTTGCCGGGCAAAATTTTATTCTTGATCTATCATTTTTGGTCTTGACCAAGAGACCTACATGTTATGCTGAATGTATGTACTGAGTAGTTTCCTTCCTAATCTTGGCCTTTGGACTCTGGGTCTCAACTCAACAATGACATATACGCATCACAATCTCAAGGTGACATCTACACAACACATTCCGGTCCCTAAACTATCCACCTGTTCACCTGTTTGATTGTATCTGATCATCTACTACCAAAATTCATGTCACATATATACCGTACAAAGAATTAGATACAATTGACATTTAATTTGGTGAAAGGAACTAACAAAAAAGAATGGTGCTAATCAAGGCTAGTTCCATCAACACATTGCATAATTACTTGACATTGAAAGACTGTATGTTTAATATTTTATAGCTTATATCAATATTCACAATCTTTACACATAAGTGTTACATTTAAAGTTTGTGAACAGTGATATCAATAGTTCAGCAATCAATGGTTCAGCTGTCAATTCACAACAGTTAAATACGATTGACAAATATATATGTGTTCACACTCTACTTGTTTACCTGAAGACGTAGCAGATTTAGAGCAGCTACCACCATGCATTCTTTCTCCTGAGGAGGGGGCCAATCTCCTGACCCTTCTATGCCCTCACACACCCTCTGTAGGAGCAGGTCTAGCTTCTCAAAGGTGGTCCTAGTCACATCTACACTGAATGGTACATGCAGACCTACTGACCAGTGGGCACTTGATGTCCAAGCAAAGGTCTGTCAAGATGACAACAAAGATAGAAATATTATTATTACTGCTTAATTAATATGTGTTATATATGTGGCATTTACCAGGGCCCTGTCTTACAAAGAGTTGATATCAATCGTAACTTAATTGCGATTGATATCAATCGTAACTATGTACATAAGAGATAGGAGACTGCAAACTTGCGATTGATTGGAGGACTTACGATTGATTTGGATCGATCGTAACTCTTTGTAAGACGGGGCCCATAATTAAATGATAGCATGATGAGAGGAATACATATATTACAATCACAAATGTACACTTCAGATTAATAAATGACTATAGTCCTTTGAAGAATACTCAGTTTAAAATAACATCTTGGAACAATGTCTTTTAAATGATCGATACAAGTGCCTCATTTCAGCAAAATTGTTTTATTTATTTATTTATTTATTTATTTATTTATTTATTTATTTATTTATTTATTTATTTATTTATTTATTTATTTATTAATTTATTTATTTATTTATTTATTTATTTATTTATTTATTTATTTTGGTTTAAAAAGACATATAAATATACATGATTCAAAGGTCCAAGGACCAAAACTGATCATGTTTACAATTTATACAATACAGTTATAAATACGGTAAAAATACAATAGTGAGCCAAACGAACAGGTATGACAAGTACAATATGGTAATAAAGATGACAAAAATAATACATTTCCATCAATACAATACCAAAATAAACTAAGAGAAAGTAGTGGTCAGATCGTCAAATTACTAAACTGATATGAGGTAATGGTAGCAGACGGGTACAGATGTTTTTTGAAAGATTATACTGAACATACTTGAGCAACTCCACACGCCAAGCCACAGAGCTTCTTTCCTTCCATGCACTCGATGAGAGTAGGCTCTCCCTTGTTAGATTTCAATGCTGCTTCACCAAGCCCTAGCTGGCCTTGGTCGTTGCGCCCCCAGCAGAAGAACTCTCCAGACTCTGCAATGGCCACTGTGTGGCATCCAGAGGATTGGATGTCAACAATCTTCTTTCCTCGCAGAGCTTCGATCATCTTGGGGAATCTCTGGTGTTCCTCTGATCCATGACCGAGTCTGTGACCATCACCTTTACCCCTAGAAAGTCAGACAAAAGAACGAAAAATATTTCATTACATGTCAATCATTTTCTTTCCTCTGAGGGCTTCACTCATCTTGGAGAGTCTCTGGTTTTTTACTGAACCATGACCTAGTGTTAGACCATTGCCTCCCGTCCTCTCCCCCTCTCTTCCTCCGTCCCTCTCCCCTACTTTCCTCACTCCCTCTCCCTCTATCTCTCTTTCTGTCTGTTTCTCTCTCTCTCTCTCTCTCTCTCTCTCTCTCTCTCTCCCTACCTCAATCCCTCTCTCACTCATCTTGGAGAGTCTCTGGTTTTTATTGAACCATGACCTAGTCTCTGACCATTGCCCTTGCCCCTTTGATATAAAGAGACAGAAGAGAAAGTGTGGGGATTAGAAATCAGTGTTGAAAGAAATATGTTCCCCTTTATACTTTAATCACTACAGCTGAAAATTGATGCAATTCAAGCAAACTCCACTGCAGTATTCTGTAACATAGTTAATCGTCCTTGTACCTACATGTACCAGGGACTTTTTAAAACTTTGGAAAATAAAGATTTAGTTCATGACTTCCCACTGTGTATAACTCATCTATATCTCTCTCCTTCTCCCCTTCCCCTCCCCTCTATCCCTCTATCTCTCTTTCTCTCTTTCAGCCCGTTTCCTTCTCTCCCTCCCTCACTCTCTGTATACCTCTCTCTTCTACACATTGACTTACCATGTATAGACTGTTCCAGTCTTGGTGAGTATGACTGAGAATTGATTTCCACAGCAGGCTTTGACAGCATGTTGTCCCTGAAGCTTATCAACCAACTTTGGAAGCTTACATCCATCACTACCACCCCGTCCTAGCTTGCCATAGTCACCATTTCCAAAAGAGAACAGTAAACCTAGAGAACAAATAACAAGATTAGATTAAAATATGATTACAACTTTGACTGGTGAAAAGATTATTTTTCAATACTTTGGCCCTAATTAGTAGCTCAAATTTAAAAAGTGAATTGCTTTGTTTTCCCCTTTTTGTAATGTTCTTCTCACTAGTAACTCTGTTCTTGAAGAGATGATAAAATATTGTTGTAGTGAGAATTTGTTGACAAAAAAATATGCTAAATAAATATTTTTAAAAAATGCATGAGATATTTGTAATATATTTAGATTTTGATGTAATATTTGAGTTACATTTTGATTCATTATGCATGATTTATGGTCATACGTTTTAGTCATGCATATTTTGATTGTTTATTGTGTTGTACAATGACTTTGTAAATTGAGCAATTTCAGCTTCCCAGCTGCATGTTCTTTTATTGCAATAAACCAAACCAAATCAAATCAAATCAAATATCTTACCTGTATCTGTAACAGCTAAAGTCTGACCATCGTTACTTCCAAGAGCAATGTGAACAAACTTCTGTTCCTTCAACCCACTGACTAGCTTGGGAGTGAGCTGATCATCACTGTTACCTGAAATCATAAAACAAAGTAAAGCCTCGGTCACAAATGCCATTACGAACGGCTACGAACGCCGTACGAACGATTTTCAGACAATGGAAATTTGGGGAGACAATGGAAAAACGGAGATTCGTACGAAATTATCGTTCGTACGAACTTTTGTGACCGTAGCATTAGGCATTGTATGAAAATAAGCAGTGTGAAAAGTTCTCTGTTTATTCAGCTTTGGGGTAAGCTCATCACCATTATTACCTATAAGTCATAAAAATGGAAAAGTTTTGAGAACATGACTCATAACAATATTGACAATTTATAAATGTAAAGCTTCCTGGGAGAAATTTCAATAGTTTGAACATATTTGTGGCTTACACCCAGTAAATAAAATTGATTGATTTTTCAATTACAGATCGATCAATCGATCTTATTTACTGGGTGTAAGCCACAAATATGTTCAAACTATTGAAATTTCTCCCAGGAAGCATTACATTTATAAAAGTTATTGTCCTATGGCAGACTAATGAATATTAATAAGTCAGAATGAATCAGGAGAGCTTGGGTGTTTGTTTCTAGTTCATCGTGACTGTGCCATGGACCAGTGATGGCCTGGTGGTAGAGTCGCTGCCCGGCAAGCAGTAGATGACAGGTTCAAATCCCGCTGGTTCCAATATTTTTCTGACTTATTTTTCAATTACAGATCGATCAATCGATCTTATTTACTGGGTGTAAGCCACAAATATGTTCAAACTAATATTGACAATGATTGCTACCTCAAATAAAGAATTCAATATTTTTTTTCTTTCTTGATTTCTCAGAAAGATGGCACTTATATGATCCAAAATTGTTTACAATCTAATAAATGCTTAAGAACCGTAGACAACACATCATGATACTTCTAGTAAGAGACTAATACCATGTCCTAGTCTTCCATAGATGCCTCTGCCCCATGTATACACCTCTCCATTAGATGTCAATGCAGCGCTGTAGGAGCTTCCACAGGATATCTGGATGACATGCTGACCAGTGCTCTGGGATGGCAGACCTTGTACAAGAGTTGGATCTTCTCTGGCACTGCAAAATAAAACAATTTTAGGAAATTTGAATCAGAAAATGAGGAAAAATCTACCAAGATGGTCTTCTCAAACATAGAAATGTTTCTGTAACTAGAAAACGCTGCAAAATGACAAGACCACAAGATGGATGAAACAATTGTATGATACGTGCTGCAGCAACTACTGCTCATTGGTCAATTTCTAACACTATTCTAATTCCTATCTTCAATCCTAAACCTAACACAATATCTTACCTCTAGTCTAACAATCAAACTAACCGAAAACCCAAATGCAACCAGAGCCCTAACTCTGTCCTTGACAAACAAAGCCTAAAAGAAATGGCACCAGAGCAAACCAGACCGCTTAAACCTGACTACAAGTTGTTGAGTAAAATTACAAAGGCATATAAAATAAGAGTATTCATAGTAGAGCAACATAGAAATTAGCATAATTACCTTGTGTTACCAAGACCAAGTCTGCCTCCTTCACCATTGCCCCACGCATAGACTTCCCAGTCGGCTGTTAGAGCAAGGTAATGCTTGCCTTCAGGATGAGCTGCAATCTGGATCACATCCTTGTTGGATAAACCATCTACAAGATGAAATCCCTGTAAGAATAGAATAAAGATTAGATAGTAACACATACAGTAGGGGTAGATTAGTCTGTTTACTGGTCAGCGACTTGGTTTACCTTTACAATAAACCCAGTTTTTGTCTTCAATGGTAAAGTTAAATGACTGTCCTTAGATCATCTAAGATGTAATGATCACATCTGCTTGTTACATGTCTGTAAAATTCCAATTAAAAACATATACAAATGTTTAAAGTCCAGATTTTATGCAAAGAACACCATTAATGGTATTCATACAGCAAGTGTCCTATAACTTCAGATACTGGAGAATTGGATCAGTATATAAGATGCAAATGTGATTATTATATTTAACAAAAAAACATATATTTTCATTTTACTAGATCAAAATCAAATAAAGTGGTATAGGTATGACACATTTCATAAATAAGTCAATTTATCAATTTTGATGCATCTTCTTAACATTGTTGAAGCACTGTAGATGGAAATTATCGCAATATTATTAATCAATTACTGCTCAATAAAGTTTCACCCTTTCCTTTGTTAGGCAATGTGATTCTGTATGCAGATAGAGTTTGCCGTGTCTCATCAACATAATGAAAATATCTCTCAGAATAAGACACCTGGACAACACCAAACTAACTCACTCTCTTAAAGCGGGACTGCACTACTTGTAGCTACTTGCGCCCTCTATACAGCCAACAATGCCTAAGCGGTACCTGTTGATCCCCCATGGTCCCCTTTTTATTATGTTAATCGAGAGCTGATTTGATGAGATAACCACCTGCCAGTGACCATGCAGGGAGGTCTAATCCCTCCTGGCCAAACTAGCGCAGACAGTGTTGGCTCAGTCAGTAGAGCATCCGCCTCACATCCGGGAGGTCGTGGGTTTGAACCCCGGCCGCAATACCAAAATCTGTTAAAAGACGGGAGTTGCTGCTACCTTGTTTGGCGTTCAACAATAAGGGATAGAGCAACGTCGATCTGGCGCTGCTCAGTGGCCGCCGGGCTCATGATCAATTGGGCTAAAAGACTTTCTATTTTCGGTTTTACTTCATAAAATTTGGAGTGGACTTTAAACGATTATTATTATTATTTAACCAATCAAGCATTCTCTTACCGGTGGTTCATTGTTGAAGTACTGTAAGTAAACCTTGCTGGTTCTGGTCAGGACAATGAGACACCTCTCAGAGCAAGCCATCTGCACGACACCAAACTCACTTAGTGATTCCAGCATACAGGGGCTAGCACAGGTAGGGTTACTACCTGTCGTCTTGAATGGGAGTAGACCCCAACCCCAAACCTCTTGGCCTTGAGGAATCAGAGGACCCTACACAAATTAAAATAAAAGTATAGGGCAAAGGAAGGTCACAAACATTTCAAATTGCTAAGTGTCATGTTGGAGTTGCTGAACAGTCATTTGCAAGATACTAAGTACATGTAGACCTTGTTAGATCGGTCAATTGATATCCAATAAAGTCTACTACTTCTAGGTCAACAATCTGTATAACTAAATTGACAAACTTTACAAAAGTTACCATATTATTATCAAACTGTAATTCTAGCTTCTGGTTCTGCCATTATGTTGGTGACATGACCCTAAATAAACACAAAAAGTCATAATTAGAAGCAACCATCACAGCATGAGGTAAAGCATCATCTAATGTTTCAAAGGTCTCTCATCCCTGCTCAATTCCATCTTGTATATTGATTATTATTACCCGTATCAGACATCTGAGCTGGTCATTTACAAAACCGTATTGCCCTAGTTTTCTAGGGACCGGAGGGGTATATTCTTTGTATTTTCCTTGGTCTCCCTGCGCGTATTGACTTTGCGTTTAGAGACGAGTGAAAATATACCTTGGTATTTTCCACGGTCTCGCATCCGGGCATCTTGTATTGACCGCGTCGCATTTTCATTGCGCATCTAATGCGTACGAGAACCTGCATACTTTGCGCGCACTCTATTGTGACGTAATAATCACACCAAATACACACTGTTTGCAGTGTATCGAAAATTTTGTCAAGCACTGGATGCACAGTGTTGGTTTGACAAAGTTTGTTCAGTTCTTGAGATTGTCATGGTGGATTTCTGTATTTGCTCTAGATGTCTGATTTGGATAACAATAAGAATATTGACTGGCTTTACTTTCGGGGGATATCAGAAATATTGACCGCGCTAAGACCATATTGCCCTCGTCTTTCGACTCGGGGCAATATGATCTGAGCTTGGTCAATATTTCTGATATACCCCTCAAGGCCAGTCAATATTATATAATTATAATCTATATAAGGCTTCCAAGTGGTAGAATAATTCAGTGTATTCAATATCTTCAGCGCAGTACCCGGATGACTGTCCAATATTGTTTTCGTATTGCTCAGTCATCCGGGAACTTCAGCTATTGATATTGATATCATACCGATGTCACACCAAAAAAAAGCCATATTTGCCGAGGTAAGTCAAAGTTTGTTATTCGCTAGTCAGACTAATATATGTAGATAATAATAATATTGTATGGCTTTGTTTCCGAGTGATACAAGAATATATTTCTCTCACTAAGAGAATCTTAGACTCTTTTTTGTCTTGTCCAATATTGTCATAGCACAAGCAATATTTTCTTGTATCACCCTCAAAGCCATCCAATATTATATAACTATTCCAACTTCTATTGAGTTGATTGCTTGTAGACTGAGCAGGGAAAAAATTATTTATTTTTCGGGTCTACTTTTCAAGCTTGCTTGCATAAAAATAACACTCTAAAATTTGTTTTGCATTGAACTCTATACAAATTTACGGGGGCTCCTTTCTGATTTTCGGGGGCAAATTCGCCCTGAGCCCCCGTGTATTTTTTTCACTGACTGACTGACCTTCTGAGTGAGTGGAGGAGGCATGTATGGAGCAGCTAGTCTGTCCAGGTGAGACATGATGATGACTGCTGCCTGCTGGAAGTCAATGGATGCATCCTCATCATCAGGGATCTCAAGATAACGCAGAAAACACTCTGTGGGACTGGGGCTCATACCCACTGGAACCTAGGACACAAACAGGGAGAGAACGGGAGAGAGAAAGAGTGAGAGTAAGATAGATGGAAAATAAAATGAATTAGAAAGAAAGATAGATGATAAGAAAAGAGTAAAACAACTTCAAATGACAGTCTAAAAACTATAACTCTAACCTAATAAGAAAATACTGAAACCAGGTGAACATGCTTATTGTCCTACAATGCAAAGCATTCCTTACACTTAACACGTACATGGGTAAGCTGTAGACTATTTTCCCACCAAAGCATCATTTCTATACAATTTTTTTTTTTTTTATAATTAAAAAAACCCCAAAGAACAGTAGCTTTTAGTCCGCAGTGTCTCAAATCATCACCTATTGGTAACTTTTCCTTCTTACAAAGCATTCTCGAACGGAAAGAAAAATGTTTACTACAAGCAGTCTTACCTCTGCGTTTCCACTGACAGCCTCTATGAGGAACCTTCCCTTTGGACTTGGTACATTCTCAAACCTCTTGAGAAGGGGTACCATAGGTGCAGTAGTACCCTGGGGACTGTTCCTGTTGTCAGGTTCCTGGCGTCCTTTGTCCCATAGCTGTAGCAGGAGCAGTGTGGCGTCCAGGAGATGGCCTAGGGTGCCACGTTGGACAGCAAGCTCAAGGAGAAGGGCAAGGGCACTGTGTTGGTCTGCTACAGGGATGGTGTCCACTCCCTTGGCACTGGCACAGGCATTCAGGTCACTGAACAATAATCCAATAGTAAAATGAATTTGCTCAATCAATTCTTTGTAGGTTAACACTTACTTGAATCAATTAATTACCACAATTAAAGTTGTGGGTTAGACCAGTGAATATTGATACCCTCCAAAAAAAAAATATATATATATATATATATATATATATATATGAATTATGCTACAATGTTAATTCAATTCATATTCATATTTATTTCATTTCCAACAGAAAGGTAAACAAAGATATTACATTTTATTTCATACATAATTCATTTTTTCAAGAAACTATACAAATAAACTTTACACATAATAAAATTATTACAAGAAATTCTTAATTTCTGAGGAAATGGGGGGGGGGGGGGTCCACTAAAAAGCAGTGCTTGTAGTTTGTGGATCCCCCACATTAACATTTTTATTTCTGTTGATTGTATTTGATTGTTTGATTTGTTCAAAAACATATATTTAACAATAAATTCATTTGTTTTTATATTATTAAAAAATCCATCCAAACAACAATAATTGGCTTGACCTAGCACTTGCCTGAAACAGTTCACTTTGTAAACCAGCCTCCTAATGGTAACAAAGTTCAATCAACTCACCCTACAACAACTGATTTGAGGAAGTTAGTTGCTTTCTCTACTACCTCCACCCATACACTAGACATAGATGATTCATCAAATAGAGTAGCCTCTGGAAGAGACTGAAGAGCTTCTAAAGCATCACGTAAGAGCTCTGAACACAGGTCTGAATCCTCTCCTGATCTCCATGCACGACGTAGGAAGGCAAAGGCAAAGGACAGAGCTGTCCTAGCACCAACCCTTGCTAGAGAGGCAGTAGCTCGTTCCTTAAGTTTCTTCACACTGTTGAGATGAGAAAGGTCACATTGATTTCAATGTCATTTAAACTAAGCTAAGACTTGGATTTAGCTGACACTGTTTAACATACCCTTACTATTATATGTTCCTATTACCTTAGGCTTAATGCAGGAACCATTTGATTTCCAAGACAATTAATTAATTATTACTACAAAAACATTTTCCATCTAACAATATCTACATAGTTCAGGATGTGTAGGATGATTTTGAAATAGGTCAAGATACTAGTCGCTTCTACCAGTTTTGCTCAATAGCAATACTACCCGGTCCGTTCTGTTTGAGAGCAGTACCACCATGCATGAATATGACTTGTTCTTTCCAGTTCTGCTAATCAATGTCTCCTACTCAGGATACTAGTTATTCCTACCAGTTCTCCTCGATGGGCAGCGACATCAGGTCAGGATACTGGTTGCTCCTACCAAACTGTTCCATAAAAAGCGATCCTTGGTCCCGAATGCGACTGCACGTCATAGTTGTACCAGTTTTGCTTATCTATGCCTCCTCTTTCCTTTTCGTTCCCATATGACAGTGAGTAAGTTTAAAAACACAAAACTTACAATTTTAACAACCGTAACCGCAGGCTTCCTTAGGATTTGGAAACATCTGCTGGTGTTGTATGTTTGTTTGTTTGTTGTTGTTTTCTTGTCACTGTCACTGTTGCCATTGAATTTGAATTTGAATTTTATTAGTAAACTTAATTCATATACATGAACATTTTGTTTCACAATACATAAATAAAAAAAATATATAAATAAGATAATTATAATTGATAATTGGATGTAAAATGTACAGATTTCTTTGTAGACATTACCTCTTTGTTTGTTGGACCTCCTTGGTTGTTTCTTCCTGTGTCTTGCCACCAATGATTGTTGCCTTCTGTTCAGGACTCTGTCTTGCTAGAGCTAAGAAGTACCTCTCTATGATGACCAGTCTCTGACGTAGTCTTACAGATGATAGAGTGGACAGAGCAGCCTGTGCTAGCAGGTCTCTCTGCTCACTGATCAGAGATGTCAAACAGCTACGCAATTCACTTACATCTGCATGCCAAAATAATGTACAATTATACATGCAAATCATCTACCAATCACCACCTAAAAGATTTCATGTATTGTATTTAATACACTTCATTGATGTACATCAATATTATGTTTATAAACATATAAATATGAGAGTTCAAAATAATAAGAGTGACTTGGATATGTTACACATAAAGATTCGCAAATAAGGTATTACAATAACAAATTACAAAACAATTTTTGCAAACTATTGATTTTAAACTGTGAGGGTCTTAAATGGAAACTATTTTTCACAGACAAGTGGACTTCTAAAGTTATAATACAAGTGATTGTTATATGAATGAGTAGTGTCTTCTTCCTGTATAATAGAAGATGTGTATTCAAAAGCTTGAGAGTACTTTAATATGTACATGTATATATGGATAAATATAAAATGCGATGAAAACTACACTACTCAAGGAAGACAAGAAAAGCTGTCTTTATAGACAGAAATCTTTATGTACAGGTTCATTTTGTGTAGTACCTACAGTGTATTTACTTGAGAAAATACTGATCATGGGAAATAAAATGTGGTGCTTGTAAGAGGGAGGTCTACATGTATCTATACAGATGATTGCTAAAGCAGGTTTGATTGCATAATTTACAGTGCAACTATCATTAGTGCATACAGTGTTCATACCTGGCTGTGTCCCCTATGTCCAAGACTCAATAAAGCTGATTTGACTGTATAATTACAGTGGAACTATCACTACTGCATACAGTGTTCCTACCTGGCTGTGTCCCCCATGTCCAAGACTCAATAAAGCTGGTAGAGTGAAGGGTATCCTTGGCTTCTGAGTGTTTCTCTTCTTCATCAAGCTTCTGACAAGAGGAACAGTTGCACCCCTTGGTTGGCCCACATCGTCCCTCACAACAGGTGCATGTCAGCACCCTACGGCCACAGTAGTACTTCCCTGTCTCCCCTAAAACGCATATCAAAACAAAACACACAAAGTTTGAAAATTGGGAACTGTAGGAGCATCCACCAGAAAAGACAGCAAGGAGCTTAATGTCATTGTCACGAGATGGTTATACACATCACTATGAACTATACATATTACACAGTATGTGCATCATTATCATGTACATGTATGTACATTGAAACTCATTATCTAGCTATCAAGGAAAAGAGAGAAAGAACATGTGCCCCAGTACACTTACTATACTGTATATTGTATTCATCTTCACTTCTGGACCCTCATCTTACAAACCGTTGCGATTGATTCAAAGTTTTCAAACTAATCTGAAACCTTAAACTCCCAAATGTTCTCATTCCCATAAGGTTGAATACAAGGAGCACCTGGTTCCAGTGGGTAATGCGTTATACTAACTGCACCTCTTCACCAAAAGAGTTTCATCATGCATCATCATCATGAGCTAAAGTCTGCATTTTCCCTCTTACAATGTATAAGGGGTTACATGTACTGACTTTCGTGTCATGATCACACTCCCTCCCTCTACTTCTTCTTCTTGTCTCAAGCATCCTCTTCATTTAGACCAACCCGACTCATTTAGACCAAAATTCCTCTCAGCATTTACTCTAACTACGTGTATTTAATCACTAGATCAATAATAATAATAATAATATGTTCCTTTGTATAGCGCCCTTACATAATTGGTTTCACAGCTGTAAATCAAGGTTATTACAATATAAAAACTGTGATTCAGTGATATTATAGTGTATTAATGTAATCCACCTTCATGTTTAAGGGCCTATCTATTGCATTCTCCTGATACACTGTTCCTATGTTATACATATAGGTTTCTACATGTACTTTGATCATCACTGTATCATACTGTAGCTGTGTTTGTATACACATTTATTGTATTCACCCTCAATGTCAGATAACACAGATATTGATAATAAATTCTACATATATTAGATACTGTAGTGTAGATTAAGAAGTACATTTAATGGCCATGAGCAAAGGAAGATTAGAAAATCTAGCTTGCAATTCTTTCTAATAAAACATGTTTGTCTCATGTGCTACATGCAGGTGCGTACGCAGGGGAGAGGGGTTGTTTTGGGGGTTAACCCCCCCCCCCCCCCACTGAACGAAATAGCGGTCGGCGTGATTTTCACATTTTCAAACACCCCCTTGAAAAAAATCCTGCGTACGCCACTGGCTACATGTATAGTTTTAATGCTTTTAAATACAGTGCAAATACGTTTTTTGTATGCTTGCTAGTTTTAAAAAAAAATTATTTTCTCATATACATGTAAGACATTTCCTTACAGTCTCTTTAGAATTTGGAATCTACTCAGTGGTATGAATAGACCTAGCCTACATGTACACTGTAATGTCCATTCGTACACACACTGCACATAACTGACATACTACAATAGGGGCCTACTACAATTCCTTTGTATGAAATCATTTAGTGTTTAAAGGTAAAGACCAGTTATGGTCATGCGATTGTATTGTGAAAGAAACGTTGTGGAATCGATCAGAAAAGGTTGATCATCTAGCATCTAGCATCTGCAAGGTTCTGGAATCATCAAAATGATAAGAAATTTGGCCCATTCTTCGCAAAGTTACAAGCACTATACAAAGAAAGATGTATATGGGACTACCCTATATCTCTCACAGACCATGAGAGAAACAAATTTACCAAATATATGAATTAGTAGGCGGTTTCCCGGGAAATTTTTTTATCATCATGTATTAGTCAAAATATATTCTTTCACATGATTGGTAATGAGAGCTTCCATTTCATTTTTTTTAAATTGGGGCGTTTCCAATACTGGTCTTTACCTTTAATGCAGTATGATTGGTTCAGAACACCCTTTTCAGGGGGGGGGGATTAAAAATGAAATAAATGACACCTAATAATATTGCACCTCTCTGTATAAAACAAGAACGTCACACTTCACATATAGTCAATGAGCACTCCAGAATGCATTATTCAGGGCTGCTTAGAAATAGCTTCTGACTCATTTCAAGTCATGCAGGCCTACATACATGTACATGTAGGTAGGCATATATACACAATCAATGAAGAATCTATATATACTGTATCTGCTTTTTGTTTGTTTGTTTGTTTGTTTGTTTTGTTTGTTTGTTTCCTTCTTCTGATTTCTCGTATGGGCCAACAATTTATTGTGCAAGGAGTGCAAGAATACCAAAATCAGAGAATTGAAAATACACTGTATGCACATTATCTTTACAAATTATGTACATGTACTGTACATGTACATCTGTTATACTATTTTAACATTTACAATGTACAAAGTACAGCTTTAATAAACAGAAAGATCAATACAACAATGTACATGTATGTACACCTGTACATGTACAAACCTGATAAAAAATGAGAATTAATGGCACTTCTTTTTTTGTGACCATGGAGGTTGTATACAAGTGCGTGTACATTCAGAAATACACTATTGTACATGTATCGTGCAGAGTGTTCTATCGGGCTGAAAGGATTTGGTGAAAGGGCTCCAGAGAATCCTAATTGAAACCATTTGTCTTTACCAAACACAATTGCCAAAATTAGCTTCAAGAGGAAATTGATGATAAAGTCCTACTCCCCAAATGAGGAGGTTGCTATAATCATACCCATCAAAACTAAAACTGATTAGGAACCAATCAAAATGCACAAGAGAGCAAATAATAAAAGTATGTACTACCTGTACGAATGTAAAATTTTGATTTTAAATTAAGTCTCAGGAAAGGACACAGTAAAATACAACATTTATTCAGAGAGCAAAGGCCATTGACAAGCATTTCTCTTCATTGACAAGCACACAGTGAAAAAAAATACAGGGGGCTCGGGGCAAATCAGCCCCAGAAATGCCCAAAAGAGTCCCCAAAAGTCATAAAAGAGCCCCCAAAAATTTGCATAGAGTTCAATGCAAAACAACTTAAAGAGCGTTATTTTCATGCAAGCAAGGTTGAAAAGTAGCCACCCAAATTTGTTAAATAATTTTTTCCCTGACCTGGACAAGCACATATTTACATGTGTACAAAACCTTGGCTAAAAGAAATATTTACATACATGTAGATGTATGAATTCCCCTAGATGACCATGAATACATGTCCTCTCAATAGTGTCTGTATTTGCAGACTAATATCTGGGAACCCCCAAATTTGCGCTGTGTTGCTCTTATTGGAAAGAGCTTTGACCTTCCTGACATATGTATACACAATGTGCATTGATCGAGACATATAAATACACTATAGAAACATCAATTACAATATTGCTCAATATCTGTTGCCAATGTTCAACTACCAATGCAATATTACAACATACATGGGTGACACGCACTGTGTATGTCCTAATTATATTCTGTGATGTACATGTATATATGTACATGCATTGTCATTCTTGATACATGTTTAACATACATGTACATGTATCAAGAATGTGTATTTTACATAGTATTCCCATGTACATTAATCTACTATTAACACTTCCATCCAACTTTATTCATGTATTCTATTTTCTTGGAAGAATCGTTTTCTAATAATCTCTGTAATCTATTTCACCTTGGTCATTTTAAGCTACTAGCACAAAGGTTTGTACGAATCTCCATGTTTTTCCATTGTCTTTCCAAATTTCTATTGTCTGAAAATCGTTCATACGGCGTTCTAGCAATTCGTAATGGCATTTGTGACCGAGGCTTAAGATGAAGACTTTAGAATAGAAATTGATGAAGTTAATTGATATGTTGGATTCATCAATAATGGAGTTTAATTTGACAAGACCTTCAAAAGGCATGAGGAAAATGAAGATATATATCTCACCTTTTCTGGCAGGAAAGCCAGCGGAGTTGATGATACTGTCAGACAATCCCACAGTCACTTCACCTTCTCTCACTAACTCATTCCATAGGTGACTCAATGATACATTACCAAAAGCTCCCTAGAATAGAAGAAATGTAATACAGCGAAATAGAATTCATTACTAAATGATTATTACTACAAAATACAAATCATGATGACGACTAAATAAAAAATAATAAAGATTTTAAAAAGAAAATATATAATAATATACAAATTATAATAACAATTACAATGAAAAATAATAATAATAATGATAATAATACAAATAATAATAATAATAATAACTATACAATAATAATGACAGGTAGAAGAAGAAGAAGAAGAAGAAGAAGAAGAAGAAGAAGAAGAAGAAGAAGAACCCTAGTTCAGTACATATTGGAGCCCATATTGTGACATTTTAGCTTTATACATGAAAATGATAACAGAAAGCTACCTGTACATGTGTAAACCAGCATGCCTGCTGAATATGAATGGTGCACATGTAGCGATCAAAAATTGTACTGGCTGTCATTTTCTCCCTTTTTGTTTGGGGGGGGGGGGGTAAATTATATCCTGATTGTGTTTTCCTTGTGTATATACAGCATGTTTCTTATTCATAAGAAGAATTTCCCTTTCTATCATAATCCTATGAATCTACCCTTCACTTCCTCCTGACCTCCTGATGTCTGCCCACATAGAGCTATAATTAGAAGACTTACAGTATTAAGGGCTCTGAAAGACAAGTATTAATCACTCAGTCATCAACTTCAAATAGGTAGAAAAGTGAGCTAAAATAAAGGTCATTCTTTACATGTACATTTTATTTTAAAGAGTATACAGTTCAATAGTGTCTGATTTACAAAGCAGCTTATTAATTAGTTACTAACATTAGGGTTATTTCTCTGTTCCCATTTTTCCTTTTTTTTTTATTTCCTTCTTTCTTTCTTTCTCCCCCCCCCCCCCCCCCCCCCCCCCCCTCAGTTCAACAATGCAAACAAAAAGAACATGTTCATGTAATTCAATACACTATACAGTTCTCTACCTACATGTATGAATAGGAAAAATATGGGAATACCCAATGAGCAAAGTACAAGTACACTGTATACATGTTGATGTACATGTATGTGTGTCGCATTTGCACAAATATTAACATGTACACTTGTATGTAAATTTACAAGAAACAAAATTTATAAAATAATGTCAAAATTGCATGAGTGCATGACATCTAATGGAAAAGTAGTCTATATTGACATGTGTTTGTGCTATTGAGGTGGATGCTGTATGTTTGTTCAAAAATTCAGATGGGCTGTTCTCAGGAAAGTATCTGGTGGTCTTAGGTGAAAATTAGGAGGTTTGTATAGTTGTGTGCATAAATGAAAATGCTAACAAAAACTTAAGGAAATTATGAAAGTAAATGCTTGATTCAAACACACACTAAGAAGGTTGAATTTATGAGATATTTAAGAGCAAGCACCATGAGTACTCAGCAGGAGCGAATACGAGTGCTATAAAAGAAGCCCTCATTTATATCATCATCAGCGTCATCATCAATATCGTTATCGTTATCATCATCCTCATCATCATCATCATCATCATCGTCATCATCATCGTCATCATCATTGTCATCTTCATCATCAGGCCTACATAAGGATATTATTGTCTAAACTTTGTAAGGTAAAAATGGGTGTAAAAATGGTTCTTTAAAGGGAATCAATCTGTATTGAAATTACCTGAATATCAATTTTGAGCCACTTGGAGTCAAGACGAGGCTGAGTTCTTAAACGGATGCCATGACGATTCATCTTCAGATCATTGGCCCGCCCTGTTTTCTCTTTCTGTTTCTCCTTCATTGCATTGGGAATGCCTCTGTTCTAGTACTATCTAGTCCAGTTCATGGTACAATGAAAGGAGATTGCACTCCTTCACTAGTAGTTCTCCAATGTGTAAGTTGTTCAGCTTGGAGCAGTCTGAAGGAGATAATAACAGATAACGAGAAGGGTGTCATATAGTAGCAATTGTACACTAGATCATTCATACCACATTCAGATCTTTAATTAATTTCATGTAGGCTAATTTCATGTATAGTTTTTGTATATAAAAAAGAATGAAATATGATATATTCTTATATTGTTTCCTTGCTTGGACCATAAGAAACATCATTTGATATTTCATCCTAATTGAATTTTACTGTAAACATCTAAAAGGGATACTAGGCCATGGTTATACACTGCCAGCCCCTTCCACCCTCACAACTCCATGCACAACACTCTCAGGACTTTGCTTGGAGATCCGAGATACAAAGATTTGGAAGCATGTCACAGACACACAATCCTCAACTAGTTGTAGAGCACATTTTGACATTTTGACATTTTGGTTTAATTTTTGACCGATTTCAAAGTGCTTTGTATTCTGACTAGAAAGAAGAGTCCACTAGACCAGTGAGATCCAAAGCCAGTTTGCAAGGTTCGTCGGATGAGGGAAGGGGTGATTAAAAACGCATTTTAGGTTTTGTTTACCTCCCTCTTCATGCACGGGTACGGATGTAAATTAAGGCTAGGTGATATCAATATCATACTTCATATCATCACCCACTACCCAGCCACAAGGCTACATCAGAAAGCCAAAAAATCACACTGTCTGCACTCTGCAGATCAATGCTGTAATTTATTTAGTTTACATACGGTTTGTAGTTAGTGAATCATCTACATTGCGAGTCTAGATATATGTCATGACATTAACATTTAGAAATTGATGTGAAATTGCCCTTTATTTTACTGGAAAAATCTAGATCTAACAAAGTAACATTGTTGTTAGATTTAACATCACCATGTCCCTGCATGTGCGTGGCTTATGAATATATTTATAATGCTTAACAAAATTCAATTTTTACAAATGACACGGTGCACGCATTCATTTTTTTTTAACATGTAGATCTAGGGTCTATAAATGTCTCAGACTCGAGTCAAACAATTTAGCCTACAGTAAGTCACATTATCACTATCACTAAGTATCATTTGTCTTGGATGTTAATGACATGACTGTTGGCGTTATGATCATGTTGTTAATAATCAACTTAAAATAATTTGTCTAAAAAAAACTAAGAGTGAGAATTCAAATTCAGAATCAAGGTAAACTATACCCTCCAAAAATACATAAAACACTGAATTAATATTCTATTATTATTCTTCAGCAGCTACCAGAGTAGAGTACTGCTATAAATGGTAGTACTACACTAGGTCTAATACTAATTAGTAGTGAATTTATGTATAGCATTACGATTTCCCAGGCAATGTTCCAATTCCCATCATGCATTCATTCAACAATCAACATGATCAACATGATCGTAAAACTAGTTAAAATCTTACCTGGTTTGACGATTCCTTGAGACAGCAGACCCTCGTAATTTAGATCGAGTATGAATGCCGTTTAACGTCTAAATCCCAGATATCGTGGATCATGTGTTGACTTTGAAGGAAAATCTGGATCCAAACAAACACGAAATCCATGAAAATCCCCTAATTTCGACAGCATTTGGCAATTTGCATTGAATGTGTGTGTAGGCGCTAGCTTAGCCTATAACGTAAATAATATACGGCGTCTACTGTATTACTTGCAAAGTTCTAGTGCCCTCTACGGCCATTCTCGAAACGAGACGCACAGCACAGACCCACTGAACTCTCGTGCTCTAACACTACATAATATTAGTTATGGTTCAATGGCACCAATTATAGTTCATAGTTCATAGTTCATTTTATATATTTTATCACAAACATTTGTAAATAGAATTTCAAATAAAGTAACTGGAACAGCAGATTATCAATATAACAAACATAATTTGAAGTGCAATAGCGAATGTTCAACATAGGCATACAACTCTTGTTATTAACTAAAGAAATTCTATAAAAAGTTATGTAAGATCATAATGTTCTGTACATCAAAGAAAGAGGAGACCTTATAGAAGCTGCTCTCGTTAGAGCAAGGTCCCCAAACAGAATATAGTACCTGAATGCTTTAATTACTTTGAAGAAAAATTAATAACTAAACTACCTTAAAGGTAATACAAAGTTTTGGTATAGGGTCATGAATTTGGTTCAAATGAACACATTGGAAGCATATGCGATCCTACAATATTCAGTGATCGTTGTCGCGGTTGAAATCGAGTCTAAAGTTATGATTATCTAACGCTTGAGCTACTTTATCAACCTGTCCAAACACTTGTAATAAGAGTAGGGGAAACTTAATAGCATTATCAGTCGCTAATATCCTGTTGGGTGTCAATATTCTCTAGCTATTTATAATATATATTACTCCATATCACTTCTTTTCAACGTCAACATAAAAGTTTATACTTTGAAACATCGATCCATGCATATTGTAAGTGCAATAAAGTAACAACCCCGTTATTTCCCTATAATTATGATAAAGTATGGAGCTAGATACAAATAAGTTTAAAGGTATAGACCAGTTCTGGTCATGCGATTGCATTGTGAAAGAAACTTTGTGGAATCGATCAGAAAATGTTGATTATCTATAAGCATTGGTGTGTACTGCAAGGTTCTGGAATCATCAAAATGATAAGAAATTTGGCCCATAAGGCAGTCTTGATAAGTTACAAGCACTGTATAAAGTTGTATATGGGACTACCCTATATCTATTCAGTCCAGATAGATAATTTACCAAATATATCAATTAGTAGGCGGGTTCCCGGCAAAACTTGTATCATTAGTCAGAACATATTCTTTCACACAGGCGCGTACGCAGGGGGTGGTTTTGGGGTTTAACCCCCCCCCCTCAACTTTTTTGTTTATGTGTGTGTTTTGGAGGACCCCAAAACAAACACCTAAACTTTAAACAAGACCAAATAACCAATGTTTTATCTCTTTTTAGGACAAATAATATTTCCATATGTTTTGTACACAAATCACAAAAAAATGAGCGATTTTCGGACTGACATGCAAAGATAAAAGGTCACGTGACTTTGTAACTATACGTCCGATTTTCAAAAAAAAAAAATGTTTTAAAAGATGCGTAAGACTCGAAAGAAAAAAGTCATGAAAGGAAATCTCTGCCGCGGTTCCGGAGTAGTCGCTAAATTACTACAGGGGGAGGGGTCGAATTGACCCCCCCCCCCCCGGTTAGAATAGGGTTAAAGGTACTATGTCCCATTTGCAGGCCAAAAAATGAAAAGTTAAATTCCTACTGCATTTGAAAGATAATACTAATTTAGAACTTCCCTAAAAAAGGTGGGGCTTGAAAATGTCTTCAAGTGGGAAAATAACGACGATAAGTTGTCAAATCGACTTTAGGGCTATAGAGCCCAAAAGTAATAGTCTTGATTTTCAGACAATTGTACCGAATGGTCATACGTTTTATGCTGCGCAAAGATTCAATCAGTTTAATCTTGGTCATCACAAGAAGTGAGTTATTGATGTAGACAAATGTTCATGTACCCTTTACAACTCTTTTCATGTATGTTATTACCAAAGAAGAAAAAAGCCAGTCAGTCACTCAATAGTGTCTGACAGTGAAGTCTAGCAAGTAAACGGGTTTCCTTGCATAATTTGATTATGAGGACACTGCTAACGTTTAAATTTCACAGATAGGTCATACATCACATATTCATAATTCCTGCAAAGTTCTACATCATTTGAGGTTGGCTGCAAAAGGGACAAGGGCACTCCAAAAATAATTTACTTTCAATTGAAGCAGAAAAATCAGACAAACCAATCAAAAAAACTTTGAAAAACTTTCAAAATTGTTAATCTTGTCGTATTATCTTCTCGGCATGTCTGATGATTCTATTCAACAGAGAGAAGTCTCTTTTACGACAAATTGTGTACCCGACTTCCCAATCAAACGCCATGATATGATATTTTCAATTACTGAGTTGTTAAACAATACCATTATCGTGCGATCGACATAAAGTGTTTTACGCATTTAATTACCAGTGGCGGATTCAGGGGCACGTGCCCCCCCCCCCCCCCGTAAGAAAAGAAGAAAAAAAGGGGAAGGGTGGAAAAGAAAAAGGGACAAAGAAGAAAAAGGAGGGGAAAAAGAAAGAAAAGGGAAAATAGAAAAAAGAAAAGAGGGAGGAGAGAAAAGGAGGGAGGAAGGAAGAAAGGGGAAGAGAGAGATGAGAGAAAAGGCGGAGAAGGAAGAAAGGGGGAAAGACGGAGGAGAGAAAAGGAGGAAAAGGAGAATAATGAGAAGGGAAAAAAAGAAAGGGGATGATATTATAAGAAGGTGTTTTTTTTTTTACCGGAAAAAGGGGCGGGGGGGGGGGGACACGCAATTTTGCAGTGTGCATAATATGGGGTCCCTCTTGTCAGGCGTGTAGCTCCCCCCCCCAAAAAAAAAACAAAAAACAAAAAAACAAAACAAAACAAAACAAGAAAAACAAAACAAAAAAGAGATGGAAAAAAGGGGGGGGAGAGAATTTTTGTGAGTTAAAGGAGAAAAGAAAAAAACAAATGAAAAAGGGGCAACGATAGAAGAGAGGCGCAAGAGCATGAGGAATTGCATTTCTTTTAAAAGAATAATGGAGTAACAACAGTGCCGCCGGTGCACATTTTTTTTTTTTTTGGTCCTCGAAAATTTTAAAATTTGCACCCCCCCCCCCTTGAGCGCCAGGGGGGGGGGGGCCCAACCCCCCAAAAAGGTAAAAAATCGCGTGATTTTACATGATTTTTTTCTCAAGGGGGGGGGGGCCGGGCCCCCCGGCCCCCCCCCCCCCCTGGATCCGCCACTGTTACGACGTGACGTGGTCGAGCATCAATAGTGTACGTCTTGATCTGCACAGCTTGGAGTGTTGAACGGGAATAAGGAATCCGATCGAATGGCAAGAACGTGCGAGGTTTCTTTTTATCTTATAGCCATCGAGCCAGGACGGGATTGCAAGCTTATTACAGACGCATTCGAACGCAATAAAACGAGATGAACGAGTGGAACTGTCTCTGAAACTATAAATGTAACAAGTTGCGAACTAGTTAAGAACGGGTTTAAACTGACTACGGACGGGCTTGGACTGCTTGGAAATGGCAAATTTAGCCGATTTGAACTCGATATGAACTGAATGTAGACGGGTTACAGACGAGATGGACGAAATGAGAACAGTTTATGAACGAACTATAGAATCGTATTATATTATTTTCACATTCTACCCTGACCACAACCCGTTTTAAGATTTTCTAGGACGGTTCAAGAATGTAGTGAGAACTAATTTGGTGTGATGAGGGCTTTAAAAACTTTCTATGCCAATTAGAGAGGAGTCTTTATTAAATGCTTTTCATGCAACTAGTGCAGCGTCTGAAGAACGGGAGACATCTGATTTATGTTCAAATTTAGATGAGCGTTATAATTAAAACTCTGCCAGCCGCACGCTCAGCATGTTGAAGCTTATCCCGGGAGCTTATCAAGACCATGACTGTACTGATGAGATGTAAAACAAATGGCAATACCAAACGACTTTGGCCCATATCATGCACCCTATCCCCGTGCCTAGACACTAGAGTAATATCATCCATGAAATTTGAACTGCTATATAGGAAATCAACAATATTTTGTCATTAGGAGCTCTTCAGATAGGCCTACACTCCAGAAGGTCGCGTGACTGATAGCTGGTAAAGTGTTCACGATCAAGTACTTTTATCTTTTTGATGAAGTACTCTTAATGTGTATGTACGCGGCGTATCAAAGTACATAGCCATAATCTTGACCGGTGTAATTTACGATAGGGATATTATATTCTCGTACAATTTTGGAAGCATGCAGTGTTACAATAAGATTAGTCATGATACAGACACGTCTAAATCTTTGAATAATTTCAACTCTCTGCGACTGTAGGCTAATCGGTATACGCTTCAAAGTAGCGATTCAATTAGGTGATTGTCAATTCAGTCGTTTTGATTCAATTCAGCCGTTTTTATGCAATTCAGCCGTTTTCATCGGATTTGACACCTTTTGTTCGGGTGTGGTTGAAGCAGTGTTATGTAAGTCTGAAAAACATGTGCACTTGAAATATTGATTTAGATAATTATACAATGCGTATTAAAATATATATATACCAAACTTTAGTGGCCTTTCATTAAAAGGTAATACCCTATATGTAACCTCAGAACTCATTTTAAGATGATAAAGAAACTAAAGTCTTGTCTAGTGGTATCTCGTTCATAACTGTGCTGCTACGGATGACTTAGCAGCATGCTTTAACAACAAAATAAGTATTGTCAAAATTCTCTTTCACCAAGTCCGAAGCAACGAATGTGGGTTAAGGTCCATTATTGGTTTGTTATTTTAGTCTGATTGGAATAACTAAGTTTTTTTCAATTGTTTTTGCCATGTTTGTGCATTTCGATAGAATTTTACTGTAAATTCAAACTTTGGGAATTGTTTATGACAAGCAAAATCCTGATACCATCTTTGTCAGGATGACACAATTTTGATTTCTTTCATATCAACTTTTTAGGAAAATTTTACTTTTTTCATTGAGTCATTCAAAATGGACAAAGTTTATCTGGGAATGTCATTAAGTCTGCTATCAATTACACTAACTATAATAATCACTTATATGCTTTATACGGCAAGTTGATATTTATGGAGTTCCTCGGCGAAAGAGAACTGATAACAGGATGCATTTTTAATAGTTTGGAAGGACAGAGAATCGAGATGAATGTTAACATTCTGATGAAAAGAGCGACTGAGAGTTGAAGAGCTAGTTGCAGCTCTTGGTGTAACTATGTATATTAATGCTCTCTGCAATGTCACCCATAAAGACCTATATCATATGCAAGTCGACATTAGGCCTTACTATAAACTGCCTGTATTACTGTAAATGATTAATCCAGTGTGTGTAAATCATAACCGTAATCAAGTTACGCTGTCACGTTCGATAACAGGTCATGTATCAAACCTCATCTTGTTAACCTTTGTGTCTGGGTTTTCCCACTCGACTTCTTTCATAAATCCGGTGTTGTTCAATACTTGGCTGTGAATAGTCTTTCATCGTGACCTGAACATTTTTTCTTGTTTGTCATTTAGTTTCCATAAGTTAGCATTATTCGTATGACTGATCTACCTATATAGTCACGTTGTTCTAAATGTGTTTATGTTAGTGCAGCCACCACCGCATCCACCACCACCACCACCACCACCACCACCAATACCACTGAAGCCACCATCACCACCACCACCACCACCATCACTACTTCTATCACAACAACAACTGCCACCACTAACACCATCATCACCACTAACGCTTACACCACCACCACCACCATGCACTACCAAAACCACTACCACTACCATCACCCCCACTACCACCACCACCGTCCCCACCAATACTGAATGGCACTCGCCCCTGTACTATCGCATTTCCGAAACTCAACAGTTTCTCTTTCCTGGAGTTATGTTGCCGAGATCAACTGCATGTCATCTTAACTTTAACTAATACAAAACTGTTACTGTAGGAACTATAAATACCGAATTGTTTAATGGTCGTACTTTGCAATCAAAAAACTTTTTAAATGACGTTTATTGGAAAGAAAGATATATCAAATCACGTAAGAAATACACAATCTAGGTAACGGTTCGTTTCTTTCGTGTATTAGTCTCTATACCCGTTTAAAAAATACTTTATTTATCCGGTTGTGTATGTCTGACACTGAATAAACATCGCTAAAACAAGTTTATAAAATACACCCCGAAAAAATAGGTCAATAATATTATTGTACCCAATATCCTGAGAGAAATTTTTGTTTACATTCGAAAGGAAAATTCTATTGTATAATAATAATTAATTAATGATAATTATAGGCATTTCTATATTGCTGTCTATATCTAGAAATTCTATTCCGAGGCGCATTAATAATTATTACCCCGGCTTTAACCTAGCTGCCATTACAGCGCTCTAGCATTTCAAGGAATTAATTCCTGCCAGGTACCCATATGCCTCACCTGGGTCAAGTGTGGCAAAGGTAGATTGATGCCTTGCCAAAGGACATTAGTGCCGTGTCGGGGATCGAACCACGACCTTTGATTTTCAAGTCAAGTGCTTAAAGATGAAGTTGAGTTCTGGTCATGCGATTGCATTGTGAAAGAAACGGTGTGGAATCGACCAGAAAAGGTTGATCATCTGGCATATAAGAATTTGTGTGTATTGCAAGGTTCTGGAATCATCAAAATGATCAGAAATTTGGCCAAGTCTTGGGAACTACAAACACTGTACACAGAAAGATGTACATGGGATTATACGAACACGTGGCGTAAAAATCCTACCCCGAGTTTTACGATATTACATGACATATTTAGAATATGAAGGCATTTGAAGAGCCATGCTTTTCAGGGAACATGTCTTAGCTGATGTTCTTCCACACTTGCATAATTAGAATGATAACGCTCACAAATTATTTTTCACCTCTTCCCAGAACTCAACTTTCTCTTTAAACCACTCGACTACGACACTTCTACAAGTGTATTGGTATAAGCTTGTTTTGATGAAACTCGTGGACTTACCACCAGTATTGGTTTTGAATCGCCTAGTCGGTTGAGAGTGAAGGCCTGTTTTTAGCCTGATACGTTTAGAAACTGATAGTATCTTAAAATATCTAGAATTATGATCATGATGGTACATGTTTGGTTTATAATGTCTATACATATGATAATTAAATCTATAACAATCAATTGTAATGACCATATCAATCATTGAGAAACAATTACCTCTCTAATCATAATTATAACACACATTAATATCATGGTATAATCTCAAACTACATAATAATATTCATTAAATAATACGTTGCTTTCCATTTCAATTTCATTTTCCATCTCGGCAATATAATTAAGTATACACAAGGGAAGACAATAAAAGATAATGAAGACAACGATCGAGATCGCTTGTTGTGAAATTTTGAAGCCATTAAATGTTAAAATGAAATGTCTTACATCCTCATCCTCATTATAGCAGGTAGTCCCACTACCATCTTATAATCTTTGAAGCATTCAATTTCGCTTCATCTTAGGCGGTGGCTGTGTAGGACTTTCGAAAGCTGAAATGTGTTTAGGAAGGAGTATGTATTACGCAATTCATTCTTAATTGTTCATTGATAATGTTCATTTTTCCTGAGTAATATACATCTTATGCTGTGCATGCCTATATTGTGATGCTCATCTTCAATTAAGTTTTTCGTTTTTGTTTGAATTTATATAATATATTCCATTCGGCGCGGCACTATACTATTGACATAACGGTGTGCTTGCTTCCTGTACTGCTTCCGTATATCGTTTAACCATGTAGGTTCATGGTTTAACAGTGTGTATTTTTCATTTGTTGTCACATCATCAGCGGTGTATATCCAACCCAGAGAGAATCATCTAAGATAGAAAGAGGCATGAAGGGCGGGACCAAGTTATGTGTCTCAGCAACCGTAGCAGCAATGGGCGTGGTCATCGCAGTGATAGGCGTGTCATTTCTTCATTTCTTCCCTGTCATCTTCGATGAAACATTGAAGAAGGTAAAGTCAGAACAAATTATGGTGATTGACATAATTATGCTGTGGTGACATTACTTGATCTTAGATAAGTTCTTCAAAGATATATGATACTATTAATAATAATAAGAAGAATAATGGTAAAATGATTTTTAAAAATAATTGGATTTATAAACTTCGCCTTTTCCAGAGGACACACGTTGATGTCCCTTAATCAATCAACAAATTAAGAAGAATTGTAAAAGTATTCTTTCCTTTTTTGTTGTTGAAGAAGCCAAGTGAAGTAATATTATATAATAAGGGGAGAGCAGATGTGCTCTGGCACTGAAACAGTCGCGAGAATATTGAGTATTAAGAGCATAAAGTTCACGAATCTCAAAATATATCAAAGATAATGGAAAGAAAATAAATAGATCAATAAGTTGATAAATACTATGTTGTTGATGCTACAATTATTTCTACAATTTAAAATTAACGTTATAAAAGAATGATCTTTCTTGGTGATCTATAATTTATTTAATTTTCGTGACACTAACATCTTAACTGTGTTATGAAGGACTTTTAAACCACTAAGACAATTGAACAATTGAAAGGCCTAATGAACGAATTGTAAGAGAGCTGGGACTTTTAGACGGTCACTTTGTAGAAGAGATCGCTGGTAAATATTTGCTCACTTCTCTTCTGTGGCAAGTGTTAATGGGCATTTATTCTGTTTACGTTAAAGCAGAAAAAGTGACTGGAATGTGACTCAGTAATTTATCGGTTTGGTCATACCATAAAAGAAAAGTGCTAACGAAAATGTAATAAAAACACCTTACAAATTTGTAAGGTGTTTTTATTACATTTTCGTTAGCCCCGGCCCATCCCCCCCTATACGGCCTATAAAAACAACCAATCCTGCTTTATACACTTGTATCATTACCCTTGCAAGCAAACCCGACTCGTGGAGGGGAACATGGGGTATGAGATCTGGAAGAACCCACCTGCCGATATCTATGTTGACTTCTACGTATGGCACCTTGAAAACCCACTAGAGGTAGAGAAAGGTGCTAAACCTAATGTCACACAGAGAGGACCATATACATACAAGTGAGTCGTATGTAGGGGGGGGGTGCAATATTATTGTCTTAAGGCAGGTTGATTATGAATATTGCTCCAAGGTGGAGGATAGGACTGAGATTTTAACCTGTCCAGGTTGAAGGCGGCCTACAAGAATAGGATCAGAATTTCATGGAAAGTTACAGTTTTTGGAACTGCTTCCATATTTGACAATTAAATGTGCCGAAGTTGGTGATTTTAAAAATAAAAGTGCAATTTGTTAAAGCATCGCTGTCGTAGTATTTTAATTGTTTGGAATACTCTTACCGACTAATAGCTAAAGTATCCCAAAGCTATTTACACTAACACCAACAACGACAGTGAAGTATTTATTAATTTCTAGGAGTATAGTTTCAGTCTATTATAATTTGTTCGTGAAATTATACACCGATTGCCGTGCTTGGTTTAGCAGACGACATTATTTTGACGAAAATACCATACCTATATCAGAAAATCAGAGGTCAACATCTAACACCGACTGATTTAAAAAAAATCTTATTTAATGTTCGGTGTTCGATCCATGATGGAATTTAAACACTGATACCGAACACCAACACCGAGCATGAAATCACCCAATGAGTACATAAATCATTAATTTTGTATAAGGTAGCATATTCGTTATAACATTTCGATCCTATTCCTTTGATCTTTACATAGAGAAAACCGGTCCAAGGAGTTTATCCAGGATAATAAGAATGGAACATTATCCTACATCCAGCCACAGCGGTTCATCTTTGATCCTGTCCATTCTGTAGGGGACCCCAAGATTGATAACTTTACAACCATCAACATGCCCCTCCTGGTAGGCACGCACATTTTTACGTTTTCGGTTCGTCCGTCCGTTTTTCCGTCCGTCCCTGTCCGTCCCGCTTTCTCGTTATAGCGACATCCCAAGAATCATTCGAGACATGAACTTCAAACTTGATGATATATGTATCACCATATGAGGACAATCTGATAATAGTTTGGATAAACTGGGTCAAAGGTCGAAGGTCAAAGATGTCAACTTATGACATTTCAGATATTGGTCTCGTTTTCGCGATATTTTTAGAACCACTCGAGATATGAGGCTCAAATTTGGTGATAATATGTATTACCATAGTTAAACGATCCGATCATATTTCTGGTAAGTAGGTCAAAGAGGTTAATTTCTTAAATTACAGTTTGCATATTTTAAGAACCGTAAAGATGATCCCATTACATTTTGGGGCTAGTAGGTCAAGATCATAGTCGTCAGTTGATATTTGATAATAGTGCCTTCATAGTGATCGAATAATTCCATACTGAATTTAGGGCGGAAGCTTAATTATAGGAAACGCATTCGCATTAATATTATTCATAATGCCATGGACTCTTTAAAGACCGTCAACACTACTGGGCCAGAAGGGATTAGACTACACAGCGAGGTCGCTGACAGGTGGCTATCTCATTAACTCAGCTCCCAACTCACATAAGAAAAAGAGGATCATGGGGGACCAACAGGCACCGATTTGGGAAGTTTTCTATATAGAGGGAGCAAGTAGCTACAAGTAGGACAGTGGGGCTTTAAAGGTGTGGGCACGTGAGTTCTACGGGCCCTTCCCACATAAAATATGGGGAAGGAAATTAAGTAACAGCATGTAGTAGTGGTAATAATAATGATAATATTGTTAACCCTGCAGTGCCCTGCAGTAATGTTTACCCCAGCGATTGCCAGGTACCCATTTAAACCTGGTGGAGAGTGCCAAAAGTGGATTAACGTCTTGCCAAAGGACGTTAGTGCCGGGCTGAGATTCGAACCGTCAATCTTTTGATTGAAAGCTCTGATTAAAAGTCAAGTGAATGAACCACTACACCACGAGACCTCTACATATCGTAATAGTGGTGGTGGTAGTATTGGTTTTGCCGTGGTAGGAGTAGCTTTGGTGGTACTATGGTAGTGTATAGTAGGAGTATTGTAAATATTTCGAAGTCATTATTTTGTATCGATATGGCAACAACTGAATAGTTCCATAAGTAGAATCATTATTACCATATTAATAAATGATGAGTTAAAACCTGAAATGAAATTGTGGTGTCATTTTGTCTTGTATTTGTCTACAAATTTATTAGTCCTGTAAGGTTTAATTAATGAATAGTTTACCACTCCTTACAATTTGCAGACAATCGTCAACCATCTCCAGTACATGCCTGAGAACTACCGGTACCTGTTCGACATGATAGCGACCATGGTAGAGAAACATCTCCACGCTACACATACCGTTCATGACTTCATCTGGGGTTACTTCAGTCCTCTGCTCTTCCTTGCCAAGATGCTGGAACCCGATATGGTGCCCAAGGATTCTTTTGGAATATACATTGGGGTAGGAAAGATGAATTATGATGAAGATAACGATGATTAGGATGATAATAACGATGGTAATAATAATAATAATAACAATGATACAAATGATACTATCACTATACTTCTTTTACTACTAATAATGATAATGATAATGAGATAACAATATTTATACAATAATACTAATATATTTGTTGCTATTATCATCATCATTATTACTATTGTTTATATTGACAATGTTAATAAGAATTATAACGATAATTACAATATTTCTGCAATAATCAAACAATGATTATAGAGCGATGATAGAGATGACTGGGGATGATCAATGGTGACAATCTGTATTTGCTGATTCTGGTCCTTAAGAGAGTTACAATAGCATTAGTAAATGATATTCGATTGTCCGTTATTATGATACTTCGCACGATGACGGTATTAACCGCTAATCAAAAGTTGTTATAGGTATGAAGTTCAAATTTAATATCAAAGACCGATTAACGCGTCCACCCATATACATTTCAAATTTAGGGTGGAAGTTGCTGGAAACTTCACGTACGACATATTTTTGAGGATCTCCCCCGTTACAACTCAACATTAAAAGAATCACAATATTTTAACAGCGATGGGCCTTCATATACATATACAAATAACCATTGTTCATTTTGTAAGAAAGAAGGATACATGAAGTCAGTTTTTTTTCTTCTATAAGCGTGTTCGCATTCAAAAGATGTGGAAAATGTTAACAATAAATTCAAATAATCTATTATACAAGATTTTAATTAGGAGAGAATATAATGCGGAGTTTAGATGGATAATGCAGGGAAAGTTTTTTTCAATTATCATATGATTCTATTCGTTAGAGTCAATAATTCTATGCAAATTGAACTACCGTATAGTTTTGTTTTTTTACACGTTGTGTGATAATCAACCCACCATTGCTACGCAAGTGAAGCTATTCGAATCATGTAAACTGAATATAATTCAGCCCAATGGCTGCCAGGTTCAACATTTCATTAAGCCATCCAATAATGATTATAATACTACTAATGATAATGATAATAGTAGTAGTAGTAATAGAAAAAAATTATGATAATAAAAGTGACAATAGTGATGATAAAGATTATAATAATTATTATAACAATACAAATAATATTAATGATACTAATATTAATACCAATAATTTGCAACTACTTCTACTATTACTATTACTACCAATAATAATGACAATAATAAAAGTGATACAGAAACAAATTATGCTAGGAATAGAAAGATAGGCCTACTTCCGACCTAAAGAAGAAATTAAAGTAACGGTGTCAGAGAATCAGTTAGACGAGAAACAGTTAGCTTTGGAGAGAGTCACCCTATATCGTTACACCTGAGAGAAAGCGGGGGGGGGGGGAGTTGGTGCTTCTTTCTCCCCCCCCCCCCTCCCCCTCCCCCTTCGCGAAGCGCTGTATGACTTGAGTGTAAATGCGCTCTATCAAGTATATCATGGCTTAGATTGGGTGATGTTTGAATAACATAATGCACATTTATTGTTATTATTATTACAGAAGAACACTACATATGATGGAATATACACCGTTTATGACGGAGTGAGAAATTACACTGAAACCAACGAAATCGAGAAGTGGAAAGGAATGGATAGAGTCTCGTATTGGACTACGAAGTATGCTAACATGATCAATGGCACAGGTAATATTCTCATTATATATAAACCGCCTTTTAATAATGGCTAGGTCCTCAGCTCGTAGCAAGAAACAAGATTCACTTTTTTCTTGAGAATAGTCTAGTGTGATTGCAAAATTGTGTAAAATAATGAGAAAAAAACACATTATAAATCTTGTCAAGATTATGTGATGTATGTATTAATTATTGGTTCTGTGGATATCAATTTGTCTTTTTGCAGATGGTACTTACTTTGGACAATTTTTATCGAAGGAGGAAAAGGTTTACATTTTTGTTTCAGACATTTGTCGGTAAGTCCTAATGGCATGACCTAATTTGGGATCAAATTTGTAAAACTATGTTGGCTCCTAGCAAAGATATCTTCTCTTCCCCGTTGTTGTTTCTTTTATTTTGCTTGTTCTCTCTGTTGTTGCTCTTCCCCTTCCATTTTGCCTTTTCCTGTTCTACACATGTTGACGTTTCTCTTCCCTTTCGCACTTTATATTTTTTCCTCACTTTCACATTCCTCTTCCCCTTTGCTTCTTCTCTCTCTCTCTCTCTCTCTCTCTCTCTCTATCTTTCTCTTTATGATTTTGTTGCTCCCTCTTCTCTTTTCTCCATTACTGTTTCAAACTCTTAACCTTTATTTAGTGCTCGTGCCTAGTTTTTTTATTCCTCATTTCATTACCTTGCTCTGTCTAGTCATCGTCATCCTCTTTCCCTCTTTCATTTCGTCTCCTTATTTCATTAACTTCCTTTTCCTAGCCCTTGCCATCCTCATATCCCCTTCATGTCATTTGCTGAGAGTGTGTGCTGGTTTAATAGAAATTCTAAAAATTAAAATGTGTCTCACCAAATTTTGGGCAATTATATTATGTACAACTCGGATGGTTTGTGCTGCGAATTTTAGTAAACTTACATCGTGATTATGCAAAACATTACCAAATTTGGTTATAAGGATGTTTCAATTGGTCTATAGGGGAAACGTCATCGGGCTACGGTTTTACATGGGTCACTCGAGTCCCGTCGCGCCACTAATGTCCTTTATTTAGACATTTATATACATTTGCCACTCTCCACCCAGGTATATAGTAAATAGGCTCTTCAAGTAGGAACCTATTTCTTGAATGCTTTCATCGTCTCAGGCAGCTTAGGTACAATGATGTAGTATATAGGCGCCTTGAGCCAGTGGCGGATCCAGCCGGCGGCAAGAAGGGGGGGGGGGGGCAATCCGTGAGAAAATATTTAGTTGCGACTCAGCTAGCAGGGGAGGGGGGTATGAGGCACTTTTTTGTTGTCTAATTTTTCAGGAAATATTATGTGCCGACTCAGCCAGCCGGTGAATAAGCGGGGGGGGGGGGGGGTAAAGTACTTTTTGACCAGCGGGTCACCCCCCCCCCCCCCCCCCGTGGATTCACGCCTGCCTTGAGCATCCCGGCCTTTGGCGCGGGATAGATTATGTGCGCAGTGTCAATAATTATACATGTTATTACTACACATTACCATCAATAAGTTCAATTTCTTACCAATGTTTTTTTTACAATGCTGCAGTATGTGTTGTAAAATAAAGCCCTCCTGGCTCCTAACAAGCATTATATCATTTATGTTTTTAATTGCTGCTTAGATAAATCCCCAATATATTTTGTTTAAATGTTGTTGATGTAATACGTGTCATGTATCCAGCTCAGTGTACGCGACATTTAAACAAGACATGGAAACTCGACGAATTCCAACATGGCGATACACTGTACCCAAGCCTGTGTTTGATAACCATTACGTAGAACCAACCAATTCTGCATTCTGCACACCAGACAAGAAGAGCTGTTTACCAGGCGGAATCCTCAACATCACCGATTGCCAGTTTGGTAAAGTTTTTGGCTCGAAATCTGACTTTCAAGGGTTAAATTTAAAAAAAGGAGGTCTCAGTTCGGTTAAAAGCGGTCAAATCATGTCGGTGTTCCGAATATCTGTTTAACTCAAGTTTAATTCAGGTGCAACTCACTCTGAATTAAAACACTTGCAAAAATCTTTTTAATACCGCTTATTACAAAAAAAACGGGCCCATTGTTTTGAATCAATTTAAAATTTCGATACCAGTCTAATCTTTACATTTGCCTCGATAATTCGGTATGCTTTTCAGAATATTTCAATCGTTTTATTCTTGCTTTCAAGTTTTCAATTGGAGGCCTGTCTTTTAGTTGGAGTGACGCTGCCAAATTTGTAGTGATGTACATAGATTTAGTGAATAGTTTCTACTCACAATATTTAAATTTCACTTTTTTCCTCAAAAGATAATCTAAAGCAGGACATGGTTCGCTCTCTCTCTATCTCTGCCTCTCTCTCTCTGCCTCTCTCTGTGCATGTCGCTCTGTTGTTAAATTAGCAGGTTTTAAGTCTGAAAAAACAATCCATTCTCTTCTGTCTTGAGTTCTTTCCTTAATATGTTGGTATATATCCTTTGCTTTGCATGATACCATCCGACATCATAATTCTCCCCCCCCCTCCCCGGTCTCTTACCTTCCATCCTTCCCTTTAAAGGGAACATTGTTCAGATGAGAGAAAGTGGTGCTGAGGTAGTGACTTTAAAGGGACTTGGTAACATTGTTCAGATGAGAGAAAGTGGTGCTGAGGTAGTGACTTTAAAGGGATTTGGTAACTTTGTTCAGATGAGAGAAAGTGGTGCTGAGGTAGTGACTTTAAAGGGATTTGGTAACTTTGTTCAGATGAGAGAAAGTGGTGCTGAGGTAGTGACTTTAAAGGGACTTGGTAACATTGTTCAGATGAGAGAAAGTGGTGCAGAGGTATAGTGACTTTAAAGGGACTTGGTAACTTTGTTCAGATGAGAGAAAGTGGTGCTGAGGTAGTGACTTTAAAGGGACTTGGTAACATTGTTCAGATGAGAGAAAGTGGTGCTGAGGTAGTGACTTTAAAGGGACTTGGTAACATTGTTCAGATGAGAGAAAGTGGTGCTGAGGTAGTGACTTTAAAGGGACTTGGTAACATTGTTCAGATGAGAGAAAGTGGTGCTGAGGTAGTGACTTTAAAGGGATTTGGTAACTTTGTTCAGATGAGAGAAAGTGGTGCTGAGGTAGTGACTTTAAAGGGACTTGGTAACATTGTTCAGATGAGAGAAAGTGGTGCAGAGGTATAGTGACTTTAAAGGGACTTGGTAACTTTGTTCAGATGAGAGAAAGTGGTGCTGAGGTAGTGACTTTAAAGGGACTTGGTAACATTGTTCAGATGAGAGAAAGTGGTGCTGAGGTAGTGACTTTAAAGGGACTTGGTAACATTGTTCAGATGAGAGAAAGTGGTGCTGAGGTAGTGACTTTAAAGGGACTTGGTAACATTGTTCAGATGAGAGAAAGTGGTGCTGAGGTAGTGACTTTAAAGGGACTTGGTAACATTGTTCAGATGAGAGAAAGTGGTGCTGAGGTAGTGACTTTAATGCTAGAGGTACAATTAAAGATAATCTGAAAATTTGAGTGAAAAACAGACCATTATTCTTGATACAAATTGGGAAAGCCAGACGAAAAGCTGTAGTGTGTCTGTTTTTGTTTATATTTTCAATGAATAATAATCTAGAAATACAAAAGGTTATTAGTATGACATTGTAACACTGAGCACAGAGCATTTTGGTCAGGCATGCATGCAATATGGCTTTAAACCGGCTTCATTTTATTTCCAGGAGCTCCAATCTATTTCTCATCGCCGCATTTTCTCTACTCGGATGATGAAGTTTTAGACATGATAAACGGAGTCCATCCTAATGAGACACTGCATCAAACATTTGTTGATATAGAACCGGTGGGTAACAAGACATTTCATTGGAGTTTCTATTCATGTATTGTATTGTATTTATTATTAAACTTTATTGATGTACATCAATATTTTGTTTATAAACTTGTTTTTAAACATATAAATCAATTTACATTGCAATGTAACAAATCAATAATCTGTTTGTAAACATATATATATCATATAAATCAATTTACAATGCAGTGTATCTCTTCATAAGCTCCTTCCCTTCTCTTTCCCAAATCCCACATAACAGCCTGACTTCAAATCCATTTCAATGTGTTTCCTAACGCCTAATGAATAAGCTCCCTGCATTTCTAAGATATACATGTAGTGCTTCACTAACTTCTTCACACTATGAACATGACGGACAAAGAAAGAGGACAAAATATACAGTTCCTCAGGTAGACAAAGGAACACCCCTTCACTGCTATTATGTAAAAATGTGTAGAGAAGGTGTCACATGCATATTCACCTGTTTTACTCATTTTTACATAATAGCAGTGAAGGGATGTTCCTTTGTCTACCTGAGGAACTGTATATTTTGTCCTCTTCCTTTGTCCGTCATGTTCATAGTGTCAATACCTCTACGATTCTTCTTCATTCTTCGATTGACTAAAGGACAGCGCCTTGTATTCTTTGGAAAAGGCGCTATATATTATCGTTTATCGCTATTATCATTATTTTATCATTATTATTATTATCATTGATAGTATTACTGTTATGTAATGACTGTTCGAGTAAATGCGCGAACTTATGAACCTTTGTGTCATTTTGTCCTGTATGGCAATAAAATTTAAAATTCATGTTGAAGACAAGGAGACGACCCCCCCCCCCCCCCCAACTCCGGGGTCGGAATGACCGCATGCGTGTTACCAAAATGTCCGGTAAAGGGGTACTTTTCACGCACCAAAGTCCGGCTCGTACATACACAAAATTGACTTTACACACCGGACTTAAGCCCCAGTCCCATATAAAGCCGGACCAGCACGGACGAGCACGGACCACTCCGGACCATCCCGGACCATGGTCTGGGGTGATCCGGGATGGTCCGGGATGTTTTGTTCAAAAAAGTGTGATGCTTTAAAGCTACAGTCCCATATACGTCCCGGACCGTCCCGGACCATCCCGGACCCCATCCGGGGTGATCCGGGATTCGGTCCGTGTTGACACCGTGTTGGCACCGGGGTGGTCCTGGATGGTCCTGGATGGTCTTGGATGGTCCTGGGCGGTCAATAACTCACTCCCGGACTGCCACGGATCAACACGGACCGCCCCGGCGCCACTACGGATGACCCCGGACCCAGCACGGTGGCTACACGGATCACCCCGGATCAAACTATTGTCCCGGACCGTCCCGGACCACCCCGGCAGTTTTTGACCGTCAAAAACATCCGGGGTCGACTCCCGGACCGCCCAGGACCATCCAGGACCATCCAGGACCATCCAGGACCATCCAGGACCACCCCGGTGCCAACACGGTGTCAACACGGACCGAATCCCGGATCACCCCGGATGGGGTCCGGGATGGTCCGGGACGGTCCGGGACGTATATGGGACTGTAGCTTTAGGGGGTGTTTTCAAAAGGAGTGAACACGCATATGCGTACCCTAAATAACACTGAATGGGGGGGGGGGGGGGAGACGAACTATCAAACAGTCGACGTTTCTCCGAAGAGATGAAAAGAGGACAAGCTATTAGAAAGAGAGAAGGTGAATCTGACGTTGATGGTCGCGGTGACTTTGTTCCGTATTACAATAATGGGCCTTATATAGAAATACACAAAACTCGATTTTGTTCCATTTTGCCAAAATGCATTTCTACGGACTTTATTCAGTCTTACATTTCGGTAATTTAGATAATTCACAACTTGATCTATCCCTCTTGCTGAAACAACAGCTTCTTTCATTTAAAAATTACATTTCCATACATAGTTTCCAGATAATACATCATTAAATGTATTCAAATTTTGAGTTTGGTACATTAATAATGGGCCTTATATAGAAATACACAAAACTCGATTTTGTTCCATTTTGCCAAAATGCATTTCTACGGACATTATTCAGTCTTACAATTTCGGTAATTTAGATAATTCACAACTTGATCTATCCCTCTTGTTGAAACAACAGCTTCTTTCACTTACAAATTACACTTCCATAGTTTTCAGATAATACATCATTAAATGTATTCAAATTTTGAGTTTGGTACATCATTTATATTAATATGACCCAAAGAAGAGAACAGAGAGTATTAACTTTTTATAAAAGCATGACTTTTAACAAATGTTGATTTATATTAATTTGTCTTTATGATTTTATTTTCTACCTCTTCTTTCGTCTAGTACTCTGGAGCTCCTTTAAAGGTTGCGAAGCGAAGCCAAATAAACACATACATCCGTAGCTATGATTTCATCGAGTAAGTTATTAACCCGTTGACTTCTGAATTATCTAATTACCGTAGGCCTCATACAGGGACCACTCGGCTTCCGTATACAAAGGGTTAAAACAACAAAATAACAACAACAATAATCAATAAGATTAGATTACTTAAAGACATCTTAGTAGTAGGCTACATTGAGCTCTAAGCTTGTTCTTCTGAATCATCCTTAATTTATCAGATTTGTTTATGATGGGATGTGATAGTCCAGTGAATACTCAACTTTCAAATAACTTGCTAAATAGAAGAGAAAACAATAATGGTTTTTATTTTCGCGACTCGGAGTATGTTAGGGGTGCTCCTTTCCACCATATGCCAGTGTAATGGAACAGTTAAGAAACATGTACATACAGTGGCGTAGCGACGAGGGGTGGGGGTGGGGACATGTGCCTCCCCTCCCCCAATCGAATGGCAAAAGAGGGGGTGAAACTGGAGGGAAAGATGAAGGAAAACGAAAAAAGAACGTGAGATAAATATTATGTAAATGCACCTCTTACAACAGATTATGTATGATAAAGCAAAAATCGTGATTTGATTTCATATCGAGTATTAGACCTGTAAACAGAAACTGATTCTTAATGTTTATTGTTCGTAAATATCCCTGTTACAGTGGCTTTAATATCGTTATAATCATTTTCTGTTAACAAGGTAAAACTTCACTATCTATAATTGTGGTAGCAAAGACACGCGATTGTTCTTAAGATCTTCTTAAGTTATTAGATTTAAATAGGATCAGTATACTATGCATTCAGATCAAAGAACATCTTTATCATAATATAGTACGTTGACGTTTAATAAAAGCAACACAAATATATAAAACAAATAACCTCCCAAAACTGCTCATTAGGTAACTAGGATATGTTTCCTTGATCCTCTATTTATAATCTTATTGATTATTACCCGTATCAGACATCTGGGGTGGTATTCTGAACATTGTTGTAAGTTTTGTGTTATCTTTTGTTGTATCTTCCATAGATAACACAGCGCTAATATTGTTGTAAGTTGGTATTCTGAACATTGTTTTATCCCTGTGTTATCTCTAGAAGGACCGCCTCTATCTTATCTTTTACCACTGTTGACACGCCCATTTCTATGGACCCTACCAATCAAAATCTGTTTTATATAAGCATGATAAGTAGGTCAACCAATAGAAATACTTTATGCCATATCTGAAGATGCGCCTAGCGCATACTAATCTTGGGCGTAATTAGTTATTTGAGCATTTAGTACGCGCGTCTTTGATATGCGCTGTGGCATGTGGATCATGAAGACAAATCACGCTTTCACTATATTGGTTGAGATGAGAGCACTAAAATCGTCATATTCTAGCATGTAATTTCTTAAAAAGTTCTCATCTGTGATGTTTCCGGTCGACACACAATGTTTTTCTAACTCGTCTATTGGCGTGAAGTTGGTTCTGGGCAAAAAATATTGCCGCCATTATATCAACACGAAAGATACAACAACCCCCTACCTGTTGTAAATATTGTTGTAAATACCATGAAAGATAAGATAAGATAAAAGATACAACAACTTTCAGAATACCAATTATCTCGACATATTATCTCCCGTGCGCATATGCAAATGAGGATTAAATGCCACTTTATTAATAATACGCACAATTACAAGCGCACCAAAGTATGAGCGCAGGCGCGGCCAATAAGATGAGAGAAAAGATACAACAAAAGATAACACAAAAGTTACAACAATGTTCAGAATACCAACTTTATCTTATCTCCAAAGATACAACAATATTAGAGATAACACAGGGTTCAGAATACCGCCCAAGAGCTGGTCATTTACAAAACCGTATTGCCCTAGTTTTCACTAGCAGTGGGAACGGAGGGGTATATTCTTTGTATTTTCCTTGGTCTCCCTGCGCGTATTGACTTTGCGTGTAGAGACGAGTGAAAATATACCTTGGTATTTTCCACGGTCTCGCATTTTCATTGCGCATCTATTAATATTAGATAGCTTAGACAGATACCGAGATGTGATTGGTCCAGAGCTCGTCACGTGATATCAATTGCGAGGATCCAAATTGTTATATTTTCCTGGCCGGTCACTTTTCAGTGTTATATTTTACCGGCTGGTGAAATGAATATATTTTTAATCAATGCATGTCGCCCTCTTGAGGACTGTATGTCACAAATTACACACATTACACCATTATCGAGGGTCATTTTTTTTTTCAAATTTTTTTTTCATGAATTTTTTTTTTTCCCTAGAATTTTTTTTTTCCACATTTTTTTTTTCCCCCAAAAAATCCTTTTTTGGGTAAATTTTTTTTGTTTCCCGAAAAATGCTTTTTGGGGTAAGAATTTTTTTTTTTTTTTTTTTTTTTTTTTTTAATTGAATTTTTTTTTGTAAGGTAATCTCGACAGATTATTTTTCCGTAATTTTGATTGTCCCCGAAAAAAAAAAAAAATTTCGGGCAAAAAAAATATGGAACCCCTCCCCCCCCCCACAAAAAAAACAAGGCTATCTAATATAACAGTTATTGACTGGCAGGGGGTATATAACATTCTTTGGACCTGAAGGGAGTTATATTTTCCCTCGTGACCATATTTTCCCTCAGCGCTGCGCGCTTCGGGAAAATATAATCACTTGGGAAATATAACTCCCTTCAGCGGTCCAAATAATGTTTTATATACCTCATACATAGATGGTCATTCACTGATTGGTCAAGACTATATCACATGTCAAGGAGCATTTCGATCTATCAAGTATCATTACGTCAGAGGGGTTGATAGCTACTATCAAACCCTGGGATAGGACCCCTAACCCCTCCCGCGACTTAGTTGCGCATAAATTTTTTTTGAGTTGCTAGGCTACCGCAATCGCGCGGTTACGCGCAGCGCGTAGGAATTCAATACTCTTGCCTTGGACTTGATGTTGTATTTTTCTTATTTGGGTTAGTAAATTCCTCTTGATCTCGTTTCCTGTTTTTAGAGCTAGATCTAGACCTACAGCTAGACCTAATCATGAATCAATAAAAAGGATGAGGTATATAAAACAAATATGGACTGCTCTGTAATCGGATGATGGTGGGAACTACCACTCCCTCGGTGGTGTTCACACCGGCCCTTCTATCACCCCCTCGGCTTCGCCTCGGGGGTGATAGAAGGGCCGGTGTAAACACCACCTTGGGAGTGATAGTTCCCACCATCATCCTCATGAGCAGTCAATATTTGTATATTATTACCCGTATCAGACATCTGAGCTGGTCATTTACAAAACCGTATTGCCCTAGTTTTCACTAGCAGTGGGAACGGAGGGGTATATTCTTTGTATTTTCCTTGGTCTCCCTGCGCGTATTGACTTTGCGTGTAGAGACGAGTGAAAATATACCTTGGTATTTTCCACGGTCTCGCATTTTCATTGCGCATCTATTAATATTATGCGTACGAGAACCTGCGCACTTTGCGCGCACTGTATTGTGACGTAATAATCAAACCAAATACACACTGTTTGTAGTGTATCGAAAATTTTGTCAAGCACTGGATGCAAAGTGTTGGTTTGACAAAGTTTGTTCAGTTCTTGAGATTGTCATGGTGGATGTCTGTATTTGCTCTAGATGTCTGATTTGGATAACAATAAAAATATTGACTGGCTTTACTTTCGGGGGATATCAGAAATATTGACCGCGATAAGACCATATTGCCCTCGTCTTTCGACTCGGGGCAATATGATCTGAGCTTGGTCAATATTTCTGATATACCCCTCAAGGCCAGTCAATATTATATAAATATTACACCCCCTGCCAGTCAATAACTGTATAATATTATGCGTACGAGAACCTGCGCACTTTGCGCGCACTCTATTGTGACGTAATAATCACACCAAATACACACTGTTTGTAGTGTATCGAAAATTTTGTCAAGCACTGGATGCACAGTGTTGGTTTGACAAAGTTTGTTCAGTTCTTGAGATTGTCATGGTGGATGTCTGTATTTGCTCTAGATGTCTGATTTGGATAACAATAAAAATATTGACTGGCTTTACTTTCGGGGGATATCAGAAATATTGACCGCGCTAAGACCATATTGCCCTCGTCTTTCGACTCGGGGCAATATGATCTGAGCTTGGTCAATATTTCTGATATACCCCTCAAGGCCAGTCAATATTATATAATTATTGTATAATGGAAATTAATATTTTCACTAAAGTCGTAAAAGACCACTCTGTGACATATTTGGGATCATTGGTTGAGTGAATTCATTTTTTCTCCAACAAACTAAGTTGAGAATTACTGGTAGTGTAAATGGCTAGTGCAGACTGTCAAAATGATACGAAGTGAATTTCCGTGATGAAAATGGATTTGGGTAACACGAAGCTTTTCATTTATTAAATTTGTGTCGTGACTAAAAAAAAATATTGTTGAATAATACACTGATCTAGTAGTAGAGTAAAGACTGCCCCCACCCCCCCCCCCGATGACTAAGTCCACCATGTACGTACGACAATGTTTTGGGGGACGGTCACAAAGGGGTGGGGGGGGGTATTTATGTGCAGCACAACCCATTTTTAAAAAATGCTCTCTTTTGGTTCCCTTTTTAGCCTAGCATTAAATTGTATTTGTTTCCTGTCATTTGATGTGTCTTGTTTTATTAATGTTTTGGGTATTTTGATATGACTTTTCAAGAATATATTTATATGTTTTATTTATGCTATCTATTATCTACTCATAATCAGGATATCTGGGGATGACTGACATCAAAACAAATAAAATTATTCAATTCAATTCAATTCAATTCAATTCAGGTTTTATTGTAAATAAAAACATACTGAATAAAAAGTCCGGAGACTCATACAATTCAGTTTACAAATTATGAATACATACAAGAATAAAGAAATCAATACTTTTGGCAATCTTTTTTTTTATATTAATTACTGATTCTAATGAACTAAACAACTAATTTCAAACAATCGTGAAATAATACATGTTCTAATTGTGCAATTAAAACGTTTAAAGAGTAAAATAAGTTGTTACCGTTTTCTAAATGTCATATGCAATTTTGTAATACACTTTCAAATTAATAAGTAGTCTTTTTTAAACCTAGTTAACATTTCTTTAAAAGTATATTTATATATAGATGATTATCTGAGAGATATGATACTCAAAATATACAATTTATGTTTGCTTACAGAGTATATAGTGTTATCATTTTACAGGTAGTATGAAATTTGATTTAATCTGATTAATTAGCATGACAAGAAATTAATTAATTACATCTTGGTCACATATGGTCATAATATTGAGTGAAAATATCTATAGATTTGAATTCAGGATTCGTGTGAAGTGGGGAATGGGAGACTGCCTGTAACGTTCTGTTCTCATTTTGGGGGTATTGAGCTGGAGAGAGTTGCGGAGAGTGCGTCGTGAGATAGTTTGTCTGGTTTCAGGTAAAAGATGGCGGTGGCGGTCTGAGATCAGAAGGGATTTAGCAAACTTTTCGCAAAGAACAGAGCGTCGTTCAGACAGTCTGACAACACTCAGCGACTGCAGAAGTTGAGCATAAGACATTGTGTCGGGAAATGTACCAGTGATAATACCCAATGCTCTTCTCTGCAGCCGCTCAATGCTGTTTACTTGGACAACAGTTAAACTAGATGACCAAACGGGTACACCAAATTCAAGACACGGACGAATGTACATCATGTATATCAATTACAAAAATGAAGAAGATTCATGCAAGGATAGAGCAGAATAAATGCTAGTTCAGATATGACGAGGCAAAACCGCGGCGGTATTTTTATGATGACGTTAGGCGTAAAACGCTCCACAATATTTTCTGCATCTTATAATGAAACACAGAGCTCAAAGAATACGCGCAGGTCCTTGTTTACAAAAAAACGCGGGGAATTTATAACGTGAGAATAAATGAAATTCTACGGGTTACCACGCCATTTAAACAAGCCTTAAACGTGATTTTACTCATAGATGAAATCTAAGAAAGTTTTAAAATTGTCTACCTTTGTTGTGCAGGTTTTACAAGGAAGTACCAGAAGCCTATTTACCCCTCGTTTGGATGGAAGAGGTACGTAGATAACTAATAAAACAATCCAACAGCAAAGTTTAATGACACAAACTAGTAATATGAGGGCACCGGTCTTGTGCCCCATCAAGTGGCGTAGAAAATAAAATTAAAAAAAAGAGGAGGGAAGGGGGAAGACGTTAAACGATGTTAATACAACTTCTTCCAATGTTCTTTATTTTCTCAACGATATTAGGCTAATATGTTTCATCACCTTCGTGTTTTCATTTTTAAACTGTATAATAGTTGCAACTTGTCGTTTAAAAAACATCGTTATATTCTTTTTCTTGTGAAGTCAAGTCAAATGGATCGTAAAAGTGAAATTGATTTGTTATATCATATTCTTTTTCATGTGATGTTAACTCCAATGAATTGTGAAAATGTGACCATGCATAAACAAATAAATAAATATTTGTGGTACCCCTCCACCACCAAACAAAATAGACCAATAAATCAAATCAAATCAAATCAAATCAAATCGTATCGATTAGGAGATCACAACCCTGGTAGAGAACTAATAAAATAAGATGGAAAAAGAAACAGATTTATAGCGGAGCTGCTAGCTATAAGTTAATTACAATACTTATTATATTTAGGCATTGCCTAAATATCTGTTACTCATTATTACGCACCTTGTTTATCCTAATAAACGTATCTTTCATTTCAAAGTGGAGAACACTATCTCCTTTGTTTTATTTGACTGTGTAAGGATAAGTGACACTCGACGACGTTACGCCCATCAGGAACAATTATCATATTCATTATCATTGCTAAATATAGAGTGTTACAATAATAATAATAACAATGGAGGAAGTAAAAATAGTTAATTGCTCTTAATTTTATTGATTGTTTTGATTTGTTTTAGAGAAGCTTCGTTACCAAGGAAGCGGCTAGTCAACTTGAGCAGCAGTTAATGTTACCTCTGGCTATAGGAAAATATGTACCGTGGACAGTCTTCAGCTTCGGACTCTTACTAGTGCTGGTAGGGGTAGGTTGTTCTTGGCGCCAAAGGAAAGAATGGAAGGGGTCCGACGGCTTAAATGTAAATGTAAGACATATACATTAACAAATATATATGAACTATTCTTTTATGTATGTTATTAGGTCGATTCGTTTGAAAACAGGGCTATATAATGCAATAGTCACACTTCAATGTACTAGAACACAGAAGCGGGCGGGTAAAGGGGAGGGGGCGCTTGATCCCCTCCCTCTATAACCTCCACTTTTGTATTCATTCATGATTTGTCCTATCCTGTAGCGAGCCTCTTGCACATTACCCGTTGCACTCGAGGCGTTATTTGCAAACGTTGGCTTGTACCTGTGTCTGGTGCAGTCTTCCAATCCATGTGAGAAAATAAAATGTGATTACACAAATAACAATGGAAACTCTGAATCCAATTACTGGCATATGGGTTAATTGCTTGCATATGCTTCGATTAGTGCAGGTAATGACTCACGACTCATCTAGTAGCCTACACTCAGAATTCAAACTCAGAATCAAACTTTAGTCCTTAATACATGCTTGGATGAAATGAAGATCAATCAAGTTTTCTGCATTTTTTAAATTTTGGTTCTAGCATGTCCCTGGTTTGATCAAGTCCTTAATGACTCATCAATAGTTAATTGTGCCTCTTGCTAAAATAGATGCCTATGAAAAATCTCAATGACCTTTTTTGCCGCCATGTATATAATTAAGACAAGACAAAACAATTTTTTTCTAATACTTCAACATCTGATTATTATCTTACCATGATACTATATTTGGTAATCATCATGGTAACACCCCTGTTTATCTTGCCAGACATTGATGACGGACGAAGACGGGTAACCAGTGATGGACTACATGTGATTATAGCTTCCCAACAATACAATGGCGTTTCCAGCACACAGCAAGGGAAGAGGGCGCTACTATTTACGCTGGTTGCACTATTGGTACCACCAAGTGTTTTCAAGGAAGTTGAAAAGATGTGTTTTGATTTCATATGGAATGGACATGATAAGATAAAAAGGAATATTTTATATTTGAACTATGATAAAGGGGGTTTGAAAATGTTGAATTTCAAGTACATGATCTATGCTCAGCGTGTAGTGTGGATTAAGAAACTGCTCGGTGGCAATAATGACATGAAATGGAAACAATTTTTCGAATATATATTCAGAACGGTAGGAGGAAAGTTAATATTTCTTTGCAATTATAATCCCAAAACAATCAATATTAAGGCACCCAATATATACTTGGATTTTTTGAACATCTGGAATTATCTAAAGGAGAAGGAATATATTGTAAAAGAAACACATAATGAAAATCAAATTATCTTTAACAATACTTTTATTGAAGGTAGGATAATTCCTTTTAATGCAAAATTATTTCATGTGAACATTTTTCAAGTTAAACATTTGACGGACGCAGAAGGTGATATGAGATCAGGGGACTATTTCATAAGGAAAGGTCTTAATGTAGACGATCTGTTTTATCTTAATGATCTATACACCAAATTGCCAGCTGCCTGGAAGATTAAGAGAATTTGCAGAGGGAGAGATGATACTCTAAATGACACTGTTGATCTTTCCAACATTAACTTTATCATTAACAAAACAGTGTATTCTTTTGAGTCCGTCTCTTCCAAAATGCTCTATAACATTTTTATTGCTATAATACAAGATGCATTTGCTTTTAAACATCCAGAGGTAATAGCTTTAAATCTAGATAAGTCGGAAACTACAACATGTTTCTCAATCCCCAGATTTTCCACTCTAGATGGGAAGTTAAGGGAATTTCAGTATACACTTTTACATAACATCATATTTTGTAATGATAAATTGTATCTTTTTGGATTAACACAGTCAAATTTATGTTCCTTTTGTAGAAAAGAAGTAGAAACCTATCGTCATATCTTCTTTGAATGTTCTGAAGGGTCCAGAATATGGAATGAGATGGGAAATAGTTTAAAGATGTTTCAGTTTCTTAATATGCAATGGATTGATGTGTTGCTTGGTTTCAGAAAAAATATGAAAGATAATACATTGTTAAATCATGTATTGATTTTGGTCAAATATATGATTTACAGTAATCGTCAAAAAGGAAAGTTCCCAACTAGTAAAGAAATATGTAAGGCTGTAGAGAACTCAAAAAAAGTTGAACATGAAAAAGCAAAATTAAAGGACAAACTGCCAATACATTATCAAAAATGGGAAAATTTTACCCCTTAAGGCAGGGGAACTGATTGTCTATATATTTGTAATTCCTGTTTCCTGTTCACTCCCTCACTTTCTCATCGATCCGAACACTTATCTGCTATCGTGTTTGCTTGTTTTTTATATTTTATATTTTTATTTTTTTAAATAACGGTATAGTTAAAGACCTCCACTGATACAAGACCCTTATATAGTTATAATGAAAAATGCACCATATCATTATTATGTAAATATAACAAATTTTGTTATCATGAATTATGAAGCAGCACCTTCACCTTATACTTTTTGTTTATATAAGAAAATCTTTGTTCAGATTGCTTAATTTATATTGAACTAATTAATTTGCTTATTATGTTGTAAAAATTGTTCCTTTGTTTAATGTTGCATCCAAGTATTACCGTCACCTTTTCCTTTTTAAAGGAATTGGAGCACATTCTGTACACTTGTTTTGAATGTGTACTTTATTAGTTTGGATACAAATGGAAAATATTTTTTAAATATGTTTGTGTTTATAATGTATGAGAAAATGTACTGCATGTATGTTTATACTGTAAGAACAATTGTGTTCGTATTCATCATTTTGTATAATTATGAAGATCTGAATAAAGGCAAAAAAGCTTTAAAAAAAAAAACTATTGGAAGGGATATATTTCTGTTCGGAGTGAACATTTTCCTGCTAAAATTTCATGAAGCTGAAAAATATCGCCACTTGGAAAAAGACAAAAGCCAGTTCATCACCGAAATCGGATTTCCGTGCACATACAGCCCCTATTTTTTAACGCTTAAATCTTTTACGACTTTCTGACATTGTTAAAAAAGTACAAATTACAACTATATTTATGTACAAATACCATACCAAAGGCAGGTTCTGCCGCTGATTTGTAATAATATGTTTTGTACTGCAGAATATATTCACTAGCACAACCCCCGGAAAAAAAACATCCTCGTCAGCCACTTTTAAAAAAGGGTATAGGCTATCTTCAACTTCCATTAACTAAAAGTGAACGGTTAAAAACTGTCGAAAATACAACGTCCTTGACCAGGTCTCTGTTGGCATCCCCCCTTTTTCTTTCCGCTATTTTGTAGTTCCTTTTGTAGTTACGGATTAGTTTATTTAATTACTCATTATTCCTAAGTATCATTTGAAGTGTTCACACTTGTACAATCATTGCTTTTTAGTGGACCCCTCTGTTTCCAACATGTACCTCTTACATTTGTTTTAAATGCTCATAATTGATTTGTAATGTTTTGTTGGAAACATGAATAAATTGAAATTAATATTGTAAACAGGGCAAGTATCAGAGGTGAAAAGGGGCACTCACCGAAGACGAATAATGACAATAATGAGAATGAAAAAGAGGCACTAATTATATATAAACTATTTATTCTTCTATATTCACCTCATCATCTGATATCCCTTAATTCTACAGTTCATAACTATGTAGATATACATCAAAGTACTTTAACAGGATACATGTCATGATACCATACCAGGCAAATATTATTGTTATTTCAATATTCTGAAACCACTTAGGATATTAAAAAATAAGGAATAATGATAAGGCTTTCATAAAATGCATTGCGTATGTGTAAGTAAATAATCATAAGCATGTAGAGGTGTCGTGGACGAGTGGATATGTCACCGGACTGTGGATCACAAGGTTCGCGGTTCAAGTCCCACCGCGGCACTAATGGCCTTTGGCAAGACATTGATCTACATTTGCCACTCTCCACCCAGGTGTTAAATGGGTACCCGGTAGGATGCGAAAGCTAATGTGGTTAGATTAGCAAGTGTGCGCTCGTAAAAAAGACGCCTGGCTGGAATGCTCCCCAGGGAGTGGAGAATGTGCATACATTGTGTGCGGGTAAGCCTGAATCCTATGACCGGGGTAATAATATATATATCTGTAAAGCGCTTTGAGAGGGCCTTCGGTCTTGAAAAGCGCTATATAAGAACTAGCTATTATTATTATAGGCAAATATATAACAAATTGTAGAACGTTATTGTGATTCGTTTTTTTGTTCTATGTGCATTGTAGTTGTAAAATTATTGTACCTTGTAACAAAGCCAATGGAAACAGAATTTCTATGTATTACCATGGATCAATAAAGAAATGAAGTAAAGGAAAAAGGGTATTTTATAAAGTGGTGAAAATTTGCACTTTTTGAGGAGGGGAAGGGGCTCTTATCAAAAAAAGAAATGGGTCACTTATCACAAGGTTAGGGGACCCTTATTAGAAAAAGGGGCACTTATCAAATTAAAAGGGGCACCTTTTAGATTTGAAAAGGGGCAATCATAATAGGTAAAGGGGTATTTATCAGAAGTAGTAAGGGTCACTTCTTGTACTTGAAAATGGTCACTCACCTGAAGTAAATAGGGGCACTTATGAGAATGAAAAAGGGCACTTGTTGAATGAAAAGGGGCAGCCATCAGATTTTAAAAGGGCATTTATCAGAGGTGAAAAGGGGCATTTATGAGAAGGGGAAGGTGCTTTTATTAAAAAGAAAAGGGCACTCATCACAAGGGGAAAATGCGCTTATTAGAAAGAAAAATGGATACTTATCTTAGGTGAAAAGGGGCATTAATGGAAACAGTGGAGGGGCTCAAAATATTTTTAAAAAGGGGCGGGGGCACTCATCAAAAAGAAAAGGGCACTTAATAGAAAGGAAAAGGGGCACGTTTCATAGGGGGAATTATAAGGGGAATTATCAAAGCATTTAATCTGGCACTAATTAAAAAGTGGGGAGATAGCGGCCCTGGGATGATTTGTTTTCTGCGTAGGATGGCAAGTGAAAATTCATGATTGCGTATAAATGCAACCTAGCCAATCTTCGTGTGCAGTAATTCATTCATTTATCACCAGAATGTTCAGATGTTCAAGCCACGGATGCTAGAGCACCAGGGTTTTTAAAAGGTGCTGTCAAAATATCACCATATGTGCATGCGTTACTTTAATCTTAAGTCGTCCGAGAGTTGATTCCGTTTCATGATTCAATCCATCATTTTTTTTAAAATGATCCAATGATACAAGTATCTAAGCTTTCGCGGGACCGTGTTTTAATCCACAGGATAACCTAAAATGATTTTGACTAACTATCTAAGATATCTTCGCTCAGTCATGTCTATTGCACCGTTTCACATGCGTAAGGTGATAATGTACTTGTCTCAAATAGCCGCACATTAAAACCCAGAGATTTACTAACCTCGAAGACTCAGTAAATGCAAGAGAGAACACAAGTCTGTTGATAACCTCCAAAGATATTGACAGAAAACTTTCATTTAAAACAAGAAGATAGCTTCTCCATTACACTTTGTCCATGTTGAATAACTCAATGACAAGGTTAACGTTAAACAGGGGAAGCGAGAGAAGCCAAGATTGTGTCCTCATGACTGGGAGAACATCTAACCCTGTGGTTGTAAATGAGACTTTTCTAAAGTAAGTTGATTAGTAAAATTAGATGATTCCATAAATAACACACTACAAGTTAACATAATTGTGTTACCCATTTTAAGACCATCAACAAATTGAGCAGGTAAAATGGCCCAACTGCTATTTCATTGATGAAAACGTTGGGCTTTTCGATACTACAGTGAGTCTTTCCCGGCAGAGATCGAGTTGGGTACGTGTATATACGAACCCTAATGATTCCCCGGACTATTTAAAATCTTGAATTCAATAAATGCTATTACCAGATTAAAGTTTAGTATCAACAGGTTTGTATGAATGGCCAATTGAAATCGTAATTGTAGTGCATGGTGGAGGGTGTGGTCCGCGTCTCATTCATTGTGGTAGCTCGGCACAGTAGAGAGTCCTTAAACGCATCACGATATCTCGTACTCATTCCGATATACTTGGTTAAGTCCAGAATCTGGCAGATTTAATTTTGATCTCCACCACACCCGTACCAACGCAAATATTTATATATTCAAATATTAATATGCAGGGCAGCGTGGCAAGGTTAGGTTTAAAAAAGACGCACCCCTAGCAAAGAGTGCCGGCTTAATTGTCTCAGCACTCCGCCCTCTACATGTTTAGGACAGGGT